CAGCACACCTCTCTTCATGCATCTACGGGATGGAGCTATGACGAGTAAGAGATTCGCAATCTACTCATGAGCTCCTACTCTCAGATGGTTCGCAACCATGGGTGAAATTCCTAGCATGAAGAACACTTTGGGGTCTGCTCTACTGGTCCTGTCGCAAGACAGTATTCCAGAAGTTGCTGAACGGAAGCTGCAAAGCCTCTGCTACGACGCAACTGTTGAGACTGATTAAAACCGTGTGTGAAGAACGCATGAGCTAGTAACTAAGACGTGAAGCTGAGCGTAAGCTACGAAGCTGCCGAGTGAAAGGAAACCCCTCAGTACATGCACTAAGAGGACGCAGGGTGTTGACGAGTTGGAGGCTTAGCAAGCCTCTCATGAATCCTGTCTCCGTGGATATGAAGCAGTGACGGACACGAAACATTGTTCATGAGCTCTCCTAAGGTATGGGTAGCTCCCTAGGGTGCAATTCCCTGCATGGATAACAATTCCTGAATGCTTTGGAGGGATGGACTGTCGTTTGAACAGTCATATGTCTTCTCCATCTGCTGTTGACTTGGTATCACCACACCAGGAATCACGGTAAAGAGAACCGCTGACACACGATCCGAACCTGATCCAGCTTGTTCCGCCTGAGCATAAGCGTCTGCAAAGACCGCCACCAAGCAAAGTGTTTGTGCCCAACCTGCCAGACCGCCAGAGCAAAGAGCCAGTCCGAGCCGCCGACCGACAAATGCCAACAAAACAACACCACGATAACGCTGAAGAGCCGCCTGGAGCTGTTGATGGTGAAACTCCACCAGCCCCCAGAGCAGGAGACGTTGTAGCGACTGAGACACGTTAAGTTATGCTAGCACAAGAGTGACACTGTGAAACGATGACGACAGCGCGAAGGTGAAACTGTGAACTGCGAGAGCAGAATGCCAGAACCTTGAGAGCATGGGCCAGAGCCAATCAGTAAGAGCCCGAGCCATGACGATAAGCCAGTGAGTGCCAATGAGCCAATAAGAGCTAGGTGTTATGCCAATGAGAGCCGGAGCTGAATTGAGCCAGAGCCAATAAGAGCAGAGAGATCCAGAGCCAACGAGCCAGATCTAAAGAGTCAGATCTCCACAGAGGAGCCATACTAAAGGCAGTCGGAAGTTGATCTTCTTGATCCAAGATTCGCATTCAGAAAGGATGTAGGCAGTCGAACCTCGACACGAGGATGTAGACTATACCGAACCTTTTAGTCTATAGAAAAGAGGATGTAAGCGGTGAGCTGAACCTCTGGGGTTAATATATTATGGACCATGAAGTCCCACCCAAATTATCATCTGTAGTGTTTCTGTAAAAGTGGTTGTGCTGAATTGTAGATAAGTAGCATGGAATGCAAGTAGCTTCACTTCTTAAAGGTCTACGAAAGAGTACAATGAAAATTTCCTGATTCGGTAATATATTGTTCATCTTATGGGAAAAAACTTGGAAAATCCTCCTTTTATACTCCATATTTTCTTATATTGCTATATAATTCCCTAATATATATACTGTACGACTATTTTCAAAGTACCAAGCAGCCCCCACTACTGATACTTCGAAAATAGTCGAAGTTTATGACTAGTGGCTGCCGACACCAACAGCCCCCACTGTTGATGTTTCGACGCTAGTCATGGGTTTGGTCTCACCAGGGCAGCCAGTCCCCCGTTGTGCTTGACGCGCAAATAAAAAAGTAGTGAAAAATTCACTGAGCAGCCCACACCGCAATAATCCGACACCCCACTACACAACAGACATCGTGTTTTGTGCACTGAAAAAGAGCCAACATCCCAACAAGAGCCAACACCGCAAAAAGAGCCAACACCACTAATAGAGCCAACACCCGAAAGAAAAAAAAAAGAGCACTGGGGGGCACCCGAGACTTACTTGCATCACTGGAAAGAAGCGTCAGACCTTGACCACGTGAGGTTGGGGGGCGTGGTCCAAGGGTAAGAAAAGTGGCATCTCCGCCAGATTCCGGTTTCCGGAGGTCCGGCAGAATCCACCGCCTCGAGCAATCTTGTGTAAAGGAAATTGAGACACTAGAGGGATGGGGACACCCCTTCCCAATCGAGTCTCACGACGTTTCTTCCTATTCAAAACTGCCAGAAGAAGCTGAGACGACCCTGATCCGGGTAGACTCCAAGGAACGGACACGAGGCTGCTCTATAGGGCCTTGGGAGGAACTTTCCACCACCCCAACGCTGCATCACCTCCTGGCCGGCCCTGGCTCTGTAACCTCCTTACAGAGTGGGTCCTCCACCGGCACTATGTGCCAAATGGAGGGGAACCAAGGCTACCTTCCGCTGTGTTAGTATCGCTCTAGAGTTTTCAATGGAATCCGCACATGCATCTTTGACTGCTCACTTGAAGTGACGCAGACACAAAGAGCTAGAGATCGTGAAAACTCACCGAAAAGCCCACCTGAAATGAATGGAGAGGACTGAGTCGATGCCCGTTCATCTAGTCGTAGAAGATGTGTCGTAATATAATCGTAAAAGTGTCGTGAATGATGAAGTAGATGATTTCGTGAATTGAGGAGAGATGAGGAAGAAGAATAGAAGGCCACAAACATCTTCAGAAGGTGGGGATGTATATAGACATTGTGGTATATTGTTGCGGCTCTTCACCTTAAAATTGTATGTTTTGTTAGCCGTTTTACCCTAATAGGAAGAAAACATATAAAATAAAGGTTCCTATTCCCAACACATAATCGTTATCCTTTATATATTGTATATATTCTACTGAATACATATCACCACTATTGTCAATATAAGGTTGAGATAATGCATGGGGTGCATAATTATCGAAACTTTGCGAATATAGGCGATGAGCTGTTTTTTGGTGATTGAATTAGATTTCATTTGACTCGAAATTGTTGGAATAAATTTTGCCAGACATTTTCTGATATGCTCTGATTTTATCTGATCTTTTTGGATCTTTGGGGTGACCCAGGGTTCTAGGTCACTTTCAAAGAAGCTTGACATTAATTACTATATCGTGCTGACTCGAGTAAAGTAGTTTAACCGCGTAGAACTTGTACTTGTAATTCTGAGGTAAATTTCCATATCTACGTGTCATTATCCTCATTTTGGTCTTTTTTGTAGTCGTACAAGTACAAGTAGTACTGCACTGTATGTACTTGTATCCGGCTTTCAGATTGGCTATTGGAAAATGTAGAATAGAAAACCTTGACATGGGTGAAGAACCACTAGTTTCAATTCTGATGGACAAATTCACTCAGCTGAATTTGGTTAACCTGATGGTGGGCTCAGTTGAATCCTCCACTAGGGTGCGGGGACTCTCCTGTGAGTCTCTCTGATAGAGAGAGAAGAGTCTGGTTATCGCAGGCCTCCCAGCAAGGGATATGTAAGTCGTGTTTGTTTTTGTTATATCAATTTTCTTTTTATTCATCAGAACATGATTTGACCACTGTGATTATACAAGTACATTGTACTTGTACTTGTATCGGCACACCAGGATACGGTTAAGAGAAGAGCTGATACACGATCCAAACCCCTTCCAGCTATTGAAGATCATAAGTATTATTGATGTGATATAGTTGATTAACAACTTACAACCCACTTCTAGGGACACGACGTTCCGATAGTAGCACACACCAGAAGGGTGTGTGCTTGCTCATTCACCAGAAAAGAGATTCTAGACCAGTGGATAAAACTATCTACAGGATGGACATCTCGTCTACGACCCAGCTGATTCCTCTCATCACTATGTGGTGGCATCTCATCATATGTGAGGAATTAGCCAGGTATTACCCCACCGGGTATTACCTTCAACACCAGCTTGTTCTGCCTAAGCATGAGCGTCTGCAAAGACCGCCACGGAGCAAAGCGTTTGTGTCCAACATTCCTGCCCGCCAGAGCAAAGACCCAGTCTGAGCCACAACGATCCAGAACTAGAGCGGCCGATTGAAAAATGTCGACAAAGTAACACTAAGATAATTCTGAAAAGTCGCCGTTTATGGTGAAACTCCACCTTGAGAACATTGGCCTGAGCTATGTTACTAGCGTAAGAAGGAAGTGTTATGCCAATGAGAGCAACGGAAGCTGATGAGAGCCATAGAGCCGCCATACTGGCATCCAAGAGCCCAGTAAGTGTTGCGAAGCCAGTGAGAGCCATTAGCAGTCGGAGATCCATCGATCAGAAAGGATCAGAAAGGATGTAGGCGTGGAACCTCATTATGAGGATGCACACGAGCCGAACCTTTAGATTATAAAACAAGAGAGTGTAATCACTGAGCTGAACCTCTGGGGACAATACATCATGGACCATAGAGTCTCATCCAAATTGTGAGACTGAATATTTGAGTGCGATGTAGACCAAATCATTGATGGGGATGACCTTGTAACTGTGACATGTTTGGTATATCGTTTGGTAACTTTGTACAGAACGTACAGTAACATCTTGAATCCACAATTTCAAGTTTTAATTTATTTAAAAGGAGGTGGAAAACGAGCTTATTTTTGATTTATTTTTGATACAATTAGCAAAGTATTATTTAAGGTTGTGCAATTCCTAATTCGGCAACCTCGCCAGCCTCCCCTTTTATTCAGAAATAATTCCAGGTTCATGTAAGCCTAATGCATTTTAGCTTTATAATACGAACACTGACTGACAAAGATGTCCGAAAATATGAAGACAAAATATCAATGGAGATATTGTATATCAATGGAGACATTGAAGTAATAAGTGAAATACAAGTACTTGCACTTGTACTTGTTCTGTTTCGATCTGGAATTTGTGCAATTTTTCACCACTCCCAGATGTGTACTTGCAAGTACAAGTACAACGCCTAAACACCATACACATAGACAAGGTGAGTCACCGACCAACGAGAATGATTCAAAGTACAAGCACTTGTATATATAGTACTTGTACTTGTAGATTAACCAAGAAAGCCATGCCTATTAATTTCTTAAAGGGTATTCATAGATTGTCTTATGTAGCTACTTGGGTTAGTATGGTGCTTATTTGTAGCCCATCTGCTCGCTGTACGAGTCGATTTCGAACTGGGAAAGCTGATCTCGAGACCAGTTGGCGGAGGAGCTTCGGCCTCGGAACTTTGCTGCCCGAGCGTTATTGGAATTGCCAAAAATCTCTTCCATCTGAAGAGGTGGCAGCGGGCCGAAGATTCGGTCGGGATCCATCACCTGCTGTCGCAGCAACAGCGATCGCAGCTCGGGCGAGTTGGCCCAGTCTCGCAGAATTCCGTCTCCTTCGTCATCCTCAGAGTCGGAGTTGATTTCGGGCAACTGAGTCACGGGCACATGAGAAGCTGCAGGGGTAATGGGGTCGGACACTAAAGTGGAACCCATAGAAGAAGCCACGGGGGTAGGTGCTGTGGAGGAGGAAGGTTGTTTGAACAGCTTGGCCTGAAACGACATGGACGAAGAGAAAGCACCAGTTCGCTGCGATCGGAATTGCTGGGGAGTGGTGTGAAGAGGCCGGTTGGGTCCCACTCGCTTCAGAGGTGTAGCAACACCTGAACCTGACGTGATAGTGGGAGGGGCAGCAACAGCAGCGGCGGCGGCAGCAGCGGCAGTCGATGAAGAAGTTGCAGTGGCAGCGTTAGTGGATGAAGATCCAAACTTGATGGTGTCGTTGGAAATCATAACACCCTCAACAGCTTTGCCAAATCGAGAGTGAGCCATCTGGCCCATCTGGCCGGTCTTGTACTGTCGCTGCAACGACTGTCGCATTAATGAACCGGTGGGCTTGTTAAGAGGCGAGTCCATGATAGAAGAGGATACTCGATGGTTCTGAGAAACTCGAGTAGACGAGCTTAGAGGCTTTCGCATATTGGAAAGATGCACCTTCTGTGACTGCTGTTGCTCCTCATCACCAACAGAAGAAGATCGCTTTCTAGACTGTCGCTGCTGTTGCTGTTGCTGTTGCTGTTGCTGCTGACGAAGCATGTTCTCCTTCTCCAATCGCATGGACTCCAGTCGGGCCTCCTCGAGAAGCTCTTCTTGGATTCGCTCCTGCTCAAGTCGCTCACGCTCAAGGCGTTCCTGCTCCTCTCTTTCCTCTCGCTCCTGCTCCTCTCTTTCCTCTCTCTCTTTCAGCTCTCTCTCCATTCGCTCTTTCTCGAGACGCTCCTGGCGCTCTCGAATGAGTCGTTCTCGTCGAGCTCGCTGAGCCCGCTCGGAACGCTCCTTCCGTTCCCTCTCCAGTTGTGCCTCTTTCTCGGCAGCAGCCTGACGTCGTCGCTGTTCTTCGGCAGCAGCCAAGAGACGCTGTTGTTCTCGCTCAGCTACAGCAGCAGCCTCCTTGCGCTCCCGCTCCTGTCGGGCAAGCTCTCGCATTTCAAGCTGCTCCTTTTCTCGCTCGGCAGCAGCTCGTTCCTCCTTCTCCTTGGTCTCCTGTTCCTTGGCCCGGATCTCGGCCTGTCGTCTGGTGAACCGCTCAGCAGCTTTTGGGACTGGCACCCGAGATGTTCGGGAGTTTGTGGAAGCCTTGACACTAGGCTGTCTCAACACACGGGGTGTTCCAATGTCGAGTGACGCCACAGATGAGGCTCCACTGGCCACCCGGACGGGGGAAGCAATTCGGGTGGGAGATGCAGGCTGTCGAGGCTCGGGGATCTTTGTGGGCGACCGAATCTCGGGGTACAGCTTACTGGGAGACCGAGTAGGAGACCGGGTTGGTGATCGAGCACTGGAAGAAGCTGTAGGAGCCATGAGCCGCGAAAGATTGGCTGGGGGCTGCTTGGGTGTGTGGGGATGCTGCGGGACATTCTCCTTCTTGTCGTCCTGGAATAGGAGCATCTTGGCTCTTCGAATAGCACCAGAAAAGAAGTGTCCATGTGAGTTTTCCTTGGAAGAGATGTTTGAGCTTTTCGAAGGTGAAATGGGAGGGTAGAGCGATCCGATCTTGGAAGGAGAACCGGTGTGAGGGTTTCGCAGCTTGATGGGTGAGTTGAGCTGACGGCTAGTTTGAGTAGGTGCAGCAATGTGAGTAACTGCAGGGACAGAAGTAGCAGCAGGGGCAACGTTCTTGTCAGAAGGCTCCACTTCGCCGATAGCGGCACTCTTGGTAAAGTCATCGTCTCCATCTATGATCATGGAGGAGAACTTTGCTCCGGACGACTTTTCGAGATGTTGACGGATTCTCTGGACTCGTAGCGAGGTGGCTGAGGGCTTGACGGTGTCTGAACCTGGAGTTTTAGCGGTCAAAGGCTCCCGAGGAGGAAGCGATGTGAAAGTAAACTCAGACTCGGGCTCCATCTGAGGAGGAACAGGAAGCTCATGAACGGGAAGCTCATGAACGGGAAGCTCACGAACGGGAAGCTCATGTACAGGAAGCTCGTGTTTCTCTACCTGCAGTGTATTTGTGTCGGCAATGACGTGCTCTGTGTGATCAGAGGGTTGTTCACTCATGTTGTCGGTGTTGTTGGTATCAATGTTGTTGTTTGCGACACTAGTCTCTGTGACATCCTCGGCGGAATGGAAAGATGCATCAGGTGAACCGTCGGAGAAGATGGTGACGGCAGAGGCAGAAGCCGATGGGTTTGTGCTAGGAACCGAGCGATCTTTCAATCTCGAGCCGCGATTGTTCGGTTTGTTGGAGTACTCCAATTCTCGAGCCACGGCCTTTCGGAAGCCGCTGTTCATGGAGTTCATGCTCTTGGGCGACAGAGGTCCACTCTGAGGCGCTCTAGCCATCAGACGGGCTTTTCGGGGAGAAGGAGCGCCCTTGAGACGTCCTGGAGTCTGTAGCAATGTTGATAAGCTGTGTTAGTAAGACTCCATTGCCAACAGATCAACTCCTGTCCAGAATGGATTGTGGGGGTCTCTGAACGAACGGAACACAAAGAGCCCCTTTCGTCACAGCTCTCCGAAAAATGCGCCCTTCATCACCCGGCATCATACTGAACTCCCTCTCACCCCCTCCAAAGTACTCACCTAAATCGTGTGTCTAGGACATCATCCATGTGTTCGTTAATCCATTCCAAATCTCGTCGAGCAGCATAGGAAAAGTCGTCCGTGTTGTCATCCACCAGTCCTCGAATGGTGCCCAATTCCTTCTGGACCCACTCTGACGTTGCGAAAGACATTTTCTAGTCGTTTGTGGTTTTTGAAGAAGTGGAGGTCGAGCTTTCACTGACGATGCTCTCCTTTCTTTACACAGTACGAGTAGCTATACTGAGTTTGTACAGTGTTTGTCTTTTCCCGAAACAGACTAAACACACGGTTGCCCCGCAACGCCCATCTCCCATGCAGCAACTTTAATATATAGACGAGTTCTGTAAATAAAATTTTTAATACACCGGAAGAAAAAAAAGGAGCGAAAAAGAGGAATAACGGTCTACATTGTAGTTATAAGTACCATAGACGCTGTAACTACGCTTGCAACTCGTCTGTATTAGACGCATTGCAAGTGTAGTTACAACCCTGTGACGCCGCCAGGCAACTCCTTGTAGTGTAGTTCCATGCACTATGAGAATTGTGCATGTCACGGTTGCCAAAAATAATAGGGAAAATAAACAGCAACGAGTATCAATGTAGAGGATGTTAACAGCCATTGAAAGAATATGAATGCTTGTTAGATTGAAAAAATGTACTTGGAACATATCTACCTGTCCTTAATTAACAAACAAACGGCAATCCACTTCTCGTTGTTGCCGCTCTCCCCTGAGTGATACTGTATGTAGTTAAATCATACATTTCTCACACCCAGTGCCATTTCTCACACCCAGTGCCAGTGACGTAAGAATATTTATGGACGTCATCGAAGTATTTTTCGAGTACAGTATGAGTAGCAGGAGAGCTCGTCAAAACCACTGCAGGCAGGACCTTCTCGTCTACAACTGCACGACTACATACTAAGCGAATCATCATCCCTTTGCGCGTCAGGAGGTGGCTTGTCTGTATAGTTCCTGTCAGGTTCCAAGAACGACACAAGAGCCTGTTATGAAAGATATATATTGTTCTTTTCACACATGATTGGAGCTTTTGATCATTACGCTTTTTCTCTCTCCATTAGTTGTATTGATCTCTCCGTTTCATCTCTGCCTACTGCTCTATATGGTACAGTCACAAGTAATTTCTCAAGATATTTCGATATATTAGCTGAAACTTCAAACATCACTCGGTAATATCTACCACTACTTGTACTTTTCTATTATGGAATCAATTTTTGATAAATTTATCTGTATTTTCCGCCGTATTTTCATTTTTCGTATATGCTTGTGCATTATCCATGCACGGGGTGTTCCATTGTTTAACGGCGCTCTCTCGAGTTTACGCAACATAACTTCTACTGAAGAAGCAGGGGTCTTTCAATCAATATTAGACCCAAATCACTTCACTGCTTTCCAGCATGGCTCCTTATGCAGCTCCAAGACCCGTTATGGAGACTTCTCAATGGTACGGGCTGTGTCGTTCTTGAATACTTACAGTGAGAATACTTACAGTGAGAATCCTAGAAGTTCACACTTGTACAAGTGTGGGATTTCTGCCAAGCTGACAAAAGCCATCTAGTCAAAGTAAGAGTCCATGTTGGCTGCTGGAATGCCACTTTCACGCAACAACCAGAGGCAACTGGCATCGACTTCAAACGCAGACAGATGATCCCTTATTAATACTGGAATACTTCTCACCACACCAGCAAGACATCTCATGACTCATGCTCGGAAGCAAGATCACCAAGCGACAATGGATCACAGCGTGGAGATACGGATAATAGCGAGAATAGAAACGAGTACTATCGTCCTTGAAATAAAAGAATGACACTTGCATTGAAATACAAGAATGACACTTGCAGTTTTCTGGAGCAAGCATTAACGTGAAGAATGTGACTTATGCGATGCCTGATATGGAGTTGTATGAAATCGTGGCTCAGTGATCCGCTTGAAGTACAACCAGCTAGTAGCAATGCATAACTTCAATTCAATCCAATACATGATAGAGATTGTAGTATCATGACACTACTGAGAGGCTACAAGTAGTCGCATGTCCCGAGGTGACGTACATTTCCTGCACTTAGAACGGCAGGAACTGAACAGTGGTTGCTCTATATACTATACCGATGTTGGAACTTCCAAACTAAGAACTCAGCAGCACTTGATAACCTGCTCTTTGACTCTGTAAGACGGCCTCCAATGCACTCACATTACTAAGCAAATGGATCAAGCTAAAATGGTATCAATACTGAGGATCCCCCTTAGAACCGCACTTGAAATCCAAAGAGGGGCCGAAATTACACAGAAAGACAAGAATCAAACAACTAACATTCTTGCTATGCTCACGGTCCCGGTTTTCTTTATATTCCTGTCCGTTTATATTAGATAATCAACGCCACTAGGTGTTCGATTTTAGCTCGTGGTGCATGCCAAAAAAATTTTAGGCTTTGTTTCTCACATAAAAATTTAGAGGTACGGACCCAAACCTCTTTTTTTCCACCACCCAAACCTCAACAACCATGAACATGGATATTGCGAAACCCGTGGGTGCGGAAATCACCAGGGTCGACTTTGGACTGTATAGTCCAGAGGAGATTCTGCAGCTTTCTGTCACACAGATTACTAATCCCACGACCTTTGATGCGTTGGGCAACCCCATCTCGGGAGGTCTTTACGATCCTAAGCTTGGAGCGTTTTTGCGAAACAAGTGAGTACTCTCTACACATGCTGACGATGAATCAATACTAACCCAGCTGCGCCACATGTAATCTCGACAACCGGTTCTGCCAGGGTCATCCCGGCCACATTGAGCTGCCCATGCCCGTCTACAACCCTCTCTTCTTCACCCAGCTGTGGGTGCTGTTGCGAGCAGCATGTCGTTTCTGCGGCCATTTCCGAACCTCCAAGGCTGAGGTGCACAAAATCTACTGCAAGCTGCGACTTCTGCAATACGGACTTGTCGGTGCTGCTGCAGAGATCGACAATATCAAGTCCTTTATGAAGGAGTCTGACGACGACGTGGTCCAGGACGATGCCAGTGCGTCCGTTGACGCTGCGGTCATGGACAGACAGAGCAAATTTACCGAGAAGACCATTGCCGAGGCTCTCAAGGAGGGTGTCACCACTCCTCAGGGTGTTCAGACCGCCACCGTGCTGGAGGAGCGAAAGTTTGTCATTCGAGATTTCTACAAGCTGCTGGTGGCCAAGAGCCAGTGTGCCCAGTGTGGTATGCACTCTCCCGCCTACCGAAAGGATGGTATTTCCAAGATCTTCGAGATGCCTCTGTCCGAGAACAAGGAGAAGGTCAACCAGAGCAAGGGTCTGCGGGCACGAAACATGATCCGAGATCGATCCGACCCCATCAACGAGTACCCCCTTCCCAAGGCCGGCGCAAACGGCCGATACCTGCTGAGTTCGGAGGTGCGAAACATTCTTGTGACTTTGTTTGAGCATGAACAGCAGCTCATGTCTGTGCTATTCCGAAACAGACCCAACTTTGACAGCCAGTCTATTTCCGGCGACATGTTCTTTCTCAAAAACATTGTTGTCCCTGCCACCCGGTTCCGTCTTCCTGCTGCTCGAGGTGAGGAGGTTGTTGAGTCTACTACCAACACCCTTCTTGTAAAGGTGCTTTCTACCGGCATGAAGATCCGAGACCTTAACGGCACTATTGCCAAGATGCGATTGGAGAAGATTGGACTTCCAGAGCGAAAGGTGACTTTTGCCGCTCTCATGAACGCTTTTGTCGAGCTTCAAAACGATGTCAACGGTTTCATTGACAGCACAAAGGGTAACCAAAAGACTGGATCTGTGCCTGTCCCTGGTATCAAGCAGACCCTGGAAAAGAAGGAGGGTCTGTTTCGAAAGAATATGATGGGTAAGCGAGTCAACTACGCCGCTCGATCCGTTATTTCTCCCGATCCCAACATCGAGACCAACGAGATTGGCGTTCCTCCCGTCTTTGCCGTTAAGCTCACCTACCCCGAGCCCGTGACTCCCTACAACGTCGCCGAGCTGTCGCGAGCTGTCATCAATGGCCCCGATGTTTGGCCCGGTGCTATCCAGATCCAGACAGAGGACGGTAAGATGATCTCTCTGGAGGGTATGACTCTGGAGCAGCGAACTGCCACAGCCAACCAGCTTCTGACCCCATCAGCTAACGCCTCTGGCTTCACTAACAAAAAGGTCTTCCGGCACATCCGAAACAACGATGTGGTGCTCATGAACCGACAGCCCACTCTGCATAAGGCTTCCATGATGGGCCACCGAGTGCGAGTCCTGCCCAAGGAGAAGACTCTGCGTCTGCATTACGCCAACACTGGTGCTTACAACGCCGATTTCGATGGTGATGAGATGAACATGCATTTCCCCCAGAACGAGAACGCCCGAGCTGAGGCTCTCCTTCTGGCCAACACAGACTCTCAGTACCTTACTCCCACCTCTGGTAAGCCCCTTCGAGGTCTGATTCAGGACCATATTTCTGCTGGTGTCCTGCTGACCTCCAAGGACACCTTTTTTACCCGACAGGAGTACCAGCAACTCATCTACGGATGCCTGCGACCCGAGGATGGCCACACTGCTGATGTCGGTCGAATCCATACTGTTCCCCCTGCTGTCATCAAGCCTGTCCCTCTCTGGACCGGTAAGCAGGTCATCACCACTGTTCTCAAGAACATCACTCCTATTGGCCGACCTGGTCTTAACCTGAATGCCAAGAATAAGGTCAAGAACGAGTACTGGGGTGAGGGATCCACTGAGAACTCTGTCATCTTCCAGAACGGTGAACTTGTGTGCGGTATCCTCGATAAGTCGCAGTATGGTGCTGCCGACTACGGTCTTGTGCACTCCATCCACGAGATTTACGGTGCCCACATTGCCGGCAAACTTCTGTCTGTGCTAGGTCGTCTGTTCACCCGATACGTCATGAACATTGGCCTGACTTGTGGTATGGACGATCTGTGGCTTACTGCTGAGGGTAACAACTGGCGAACCACCACCCTGGAGGGTGCCAAGGATGTCGGTGTCAAGGCTGCTGCCGAAGTCACCAACTTGCCCGAGGACACTGACCCCGAGGATCCCGAGCTTCTCAAGCGTCTAGAGGAGATTCTGCGTGACGACAACAAGCTCGGCATTCTCGATGCCATCTCTCAGTCCAAGGTCAACGCTGTCACTACCTCTGTGGTTTCTCAGTGTATTCCCAACGGTACCATGAAGCGGTTCCCCCAAAACGCCATGCAGCGAATGGCCCTGTCGGGAGCCAAGGGATCCAACGTCAACGTTTCTCAGATTATGTGTGGTCTTGGTCAGCAGGCTCTTGAGGGTCGACGAGTCCCTGTGATGGTTTCCGGCAAGACTCTTCCCGCTTTCAAGCCCTTTGAGACTGATGCTATTGCTGGTGGATTTGTTGCTTCTCGTTTCTTCTCAGGCATCCGACCCCAGGAGTACTACTTCCATTGTATGGCTGGCCGAGAAGGTCTTATTGATACTGCCGTCAAGACTTCTCGATCCGGTTACCTGCAGCGATGTCTTATTAAGCAGCTGGAGGGTGTCCACTCTACTTACGACAACACTGTTCGAGACTCTGACGGAGCTCTTATTCAGTTCATGTACGGTGGAGACAGTGTCGATGTCATAAAGGAGTCCCATCTTCAGCAGTTTGATTTCTGTGTCGAGAACTTCCAAGCCATGGTTCACAAGCACCAGCCCGGTGGTAACGTCGACAACCTCGATACCGATACCGCCATTGAGTACGCTAAGAAGGCTAAGAAGAAGGCTAAGAAGGCCACTTCCGATGCCGAGCTTCCCGAGCCCACCATTTCTCTCTACAACCCTGCCAAGTACCTTGGATCCGTCTCCGAGGAATTCTCCAACTCTTTGGAGGCCTACATTGCTTCCCGACCTGATGTTTTCCCTCCTAAGAAGTCTGGCAAGAAGTCCACCTACGCTGATCAGGGTGTAACCGAAAAGAAGTTCCGATCCCTCATGCAACTCAAGTACATGCAGTCCACTGTCAACCCCGGTGAGGCTCTTGGTATTATCGCTTCTCAGTCCATTGGTGAGCCTTCCACTCAGATGACTCTTAACACTTTCCATTTCGCCGGTCACGGTGCCGCCAACGTGACACTGGGTATTCCTCGAATGCGAGAAATCATTATGACTGCTTCCAAGAGTATTATGACTCCCCAGATGTCCCTACCTGTTCTTCCTGATGTTTCCGATGCTGAAGCCGAGACTTTCTGTCGATCTGTTCAGCGAGTTGTTCTTTCCGAGTTTGTTGACTACATTGAGGTGACCGAGAAGACTCGAGCGGAGACCATGACTCAGGGTGCTGCTCGATCTTTCGACGTCAAGATGCAGTTCTACACCGCCAAGGAGTACGAGGAGGAATACGATGTCTCTCCCGACATGCTCAAGAAGCGAATTGCTCTGCATTATCTGAACCGAATCGAGAAGGCTGTCGTCAAGGAGCTCCGAGATCAGCGAGTTTCCAAGGAAGTCGATGGTGCGATCACTGAGGTCAAGGAGACCCGATCCAAGGCGCCTTCCAAGGCTTCTGATGAAGCCGACGACGAGGATGACGATGAGGACGAAGACGAGGCTAAGGAGAAGCGATCTACCAAGCAGTCAGTTTCTTACGATGAGGGTGAAGAGGAGCACAAGACCGCCAAGGATGCTGTCGAGGGTGACTCTGACTCTGATTCTGACTCTGATTCTGACTCTGAGGGCGAGAATGTTATGAGCGACACTGATGATTCTGACGTTGAGATGGCTGATGATGAGGAGGAGGGCGAGGATGATATTCTGTCTCGATACAAGACCATCAAGTCCTTCAAGTTTGACAAGCAGGGCGAGTGGTGCACCTTCACCATCATGCTTCCTGGTGATACCAAGAAGCTGCTGATGGTGAACATTCTCGAGGACCTGTGCCGATCTCAGGTCGTTCGAGAGATCCCCAACATTGGTCGATGCATCTTCCCCAAGGCCGACAGTCCCAAGGACCGAAAGTTGACCACCGAGGGTGTCAACTTCCGGGAGATGTGGGAGCAGGGTGAGTTCATTGATGTGAACGCCATCTACTCTAACGACATTTACGCTGTGCTCAAGACCTACGGTGTGGAGGCAGCTCGAAACACCATGGTGCAAGAAATCAACAATGTGTTCAAGACATACGCCATTACCGTGAACCTGCGTCATCTGGAGCTGATTGCCGATATGATGACTCGAGAAGGTACTTACCTTGCCTTCAACCGAATGGGTGTGGATTCCAACACTTCGCCCTTCCTGAAGATGTCTTATGAGACTACCTGTGGTTTCCTGACCAAGGCTGTTCTTGATGGTGGATGTGATGCTCTCGAATCTCCTTCCGCTCGAATTGTCATTGGTCGACTTTCCGGTGTTGGTACCGGTTCCTTCGATGTCAAGGCTCCCATTATTGAGGAGCCTGAAGAGTAATTGGTGTTGCATGAGGAGGATTGATTAGTAAGGATAGTTTTTGTTGATTAATTGATATTATATATTGTTTCTGTGGCACATCATATAGGGCTTGTTTTCTTCTTGATAGATAATACAACTGCCGGTACATGAACAAGTTGTATGTCTTCACGGAACCTGGTGCGTGTAATTTTAATGCTGAACACGTATGGTACATAGTGGTAAGAGATTTCTATCCGTCGACGTTAACTTGGAGCGTCCTCGGCAATCTGAAGCGACCTCGGCAACCTGAGGCGTCCTGCTAGCCGAAGGTTTCACTACGAATACAACTCATAGTCGCTCCTACACGTCACTAAGCGCATTGCGAATAGACACACTGACGATACCAGACATCTCGTAGACTGCATGGAAAGATATCCACGTCCATCTACTTCTTCAATGCTGACGCTGAAACCACAAGGATCTGTATCGTTATGGAAGGCCACCCAGCGGACAATTAGACGCCTAGAAGTACCTTGCCATAAAACGTACGAGCATGGTCAAGCGAGCTTGTTTCAAACCGCGCGTTTGACAGCGGCACCAGCACTGTCTGGTCAACAATAGCCATTCTTCTGTCTTAACGCGTCCTTCCAAAAAGCTACAGTAAGTACAGGTAACACAGGTAACACATGGACCAGGACCACATGGAGTTTAGTTTGTGAGTCTCCTCAATGAAAGAAGCGCATGGTACAGCACGGATATGTACGGAATACCTGTACTTGTACTTGTAGTCTCTTTGCTGCAGGCGGTTCATAAAGGGTGTATTCCCAGATAATACGCAGTGCACTATGAATTGGCGAAGAAATTCTATATGTATGAATTTTTTTTGGACGCAGGCCAATCCTATGGTTGCTGGTGGGTGGTACAGTACTGTGTACTGTTCCTTTTCATTGACACAAAGCTTCATATGCTGAGGCCAAGTGTTTTGCCGGGGTGGAAAGACGAGAGTGGGTCAAGACAATGCATGCCTGCTAAATAAGCGAGTACGAGGGCTTGCGTCTTTGTTTTACATTTAGAAGCTGAGATTTGGCCCGGAAGCCGGACCAAGGACCTAAGGGATTAACTGCAAGTATTAATAGTTGTGGAATTTGCACTTGCAACCGTCATGAGTATCTGACGCTGCCATCTGTCACTGCTGCCCTTGTCCTTGTTGGATGACTGAGGAACCCCAATCTGACATCTATCAAAAATACTGTGGTTGATCCTTTCTTTTCCCGAGGCATAAACTCAATAGATACATATGTGCCTGTCTAATCTCGCTGCACATCGCCAATGCTCTCAGCTGCAATACATCCGCGGATGGGAGGGGGGTGGAATGGCACAGCCGCCGTTGAGTTGTAAGTTCGCAGTAGCGTAACTATATAAGTAGTATAAACACGGCGAAATGTCCATGGTGGGTCTGATGCATGCTATTGCTCTGATGCTATTGCTGTTTGGGCCTGCAACTTGTCCTGTTGTTTACACTTTGAGTCTTGACACCACTGCAGCGGCTTTTCATAAATGTCGTCTATGCTGCTGCTCGATAACTGGAGATGGACGGGGCGGAAGCTTTGCAAAGGTAATACTAATGCAGTCCAACCCATTGTGCAGTGCATAGTTTCGGTAGCGGAGTAGATGCTAGTCACATATAGCGGCCAATCTGTGGAACGACGCCCCGCCTCCCAGTTTGGACGCAAATCCGAAACTGTTCGTCACGGGCAACTTTGTCACGCCGGCCGTCCCAGCAGCTATCCCAAAAGTCAGTTTCCCACCTACCCAACCTTGTTATGGACAGTTCCTGACAGTGGTGTCACAGCCAAATAGTGTTCCTCCAAGCGGTGACAGGACAGTCTTTCTCTTTGATGTGATATCCAGCGACCCAAAATGAACAAGATAACGGTGCGACGCAAACGGTTTTTGTGGCACCCCGACGACATCGACGCATACTACTCGGACGACTACTTTTCCGACGACAATGAGCGCAGGCACAAGCTTTTCAAGCCCCGACCAACGCCCATGGCGTCTCTCATGAACCTCGAGCTCGGCGAGTACGAGCTCCTCCGGTTCTATAAGAATGATTCATCACCGTTGCTGGTGGCGGCCACGGGAAAAAATAAGGAAGCACAAGGATTCTGGATGGAAAACGTGACGAAGCTGGCTACTAGCAACGAAGCTCTCAAGGAAGCGTGCATGGTGTTCGCCATGATGCACCTGGGACACAACCACAAGCATGCCACGTATCTGTTAAAAGACGGCGAGGAAGTCCCCAAAGAAAAACTCCCTCCAACGGACTTATCCCACGTCATCGGATACACACGGTTGGATGAGGCTATGCTGGAACAGATGTTCATTCGATTCACCAACACCATTAAAGCACACAAACAACAAATCATGACCATGACGCTGGAGACTTCCGAGTCTGTATTGCTCTCAAGCGTGCTCATCTATCTTATCGCCATGAGTATGGGTCCATACGTGCCGCTGTTCAACTTTGATGGCGGTGCCGACCTGTTCAGTTTGGGCCGAACAATCTCAGACCTAACCTTCCTCTTCAGTAACGCTCCACTGCCCACACCCTTCTACCTCAACAATGATTTTGATCTCAACGATGAACGCGAGAAACTGCCTAGAGAAGAAGATCTATGGGAGATCATTGATTTTGTGAACACAGACGAGGAGCTGTCGTCGACGGAGAAGAAACGCATCCAGAGGATTCTCACAACAGAGCTCAAAAACCTAGTCGGTTTGTTCCACATGGACGCTGCAGGCATGTCTGTATCACATATTGCCGGATGGTGCACGTTTTGGACCCCCGACTTCTATAAGCTGCTCCGGGAGGAGATGAACACATACGCGCTGCTGTTTGTGTGCTACTGGTGTGGATATGCGCATATGTGGCACGTCTTGTTTTGGTGGGGGGACCGTATACAGGAAGACTTGCTGCATTTGATGGACCACCTCCCATCAAGAGTGCATCACTTCTTGAAGTGGCCGCTAGAGAGCTGTTCCCGGTTTGATATCAACTACTTTGATCTGCTGAGTGGAAAGATGCGGGATTTGTATTTATGAGAAGAGTAACCTAGGACATGGGACAGTCTAATTAACACAATATATTTATCAAAGACCTTTCCCACGCGGTAGAAGATGGAGCTTGCCAATTATTAGTAGATGATATTATTATATATGTACAATGAAATGCGTTTTAATGTGGGGGAACTAGTTCCATGCATAAGGGCTCTTACTTCTGAGCTTCTCTCCCTTGATATAAAAAACAAAGGGAATAGGAATCATCAGGCAAGTGACAAAGCCCAGCAAACTGGTGGCCCAGTGGTAGCTCCAGTTCTGGTACATTTGTCGAGTGAACAGCGGGAAGGCTGACGACAGGACACACCGAACAAAGGCGTTGGCTGCCATGGCAGAGGCAGCATAGAGCCTGTAACCATCGACAAGGAATCCAAATGTGCCAGCAAAGACAAGCACAGTTCCAGCTCCGAAAAATGCACTTCCAATCATGGGAACGATCCAGTGAATGGACTCATAACACGTCCAACCGAACCAGAACAAACCAATAGGACACAAGAAGCAACCGATCATCATAGGAATGAGCTTCAGTTCAGGAGTGCTTGGGGTCTGTCCTCTAGCAATTCGTTTTTCGTTGAACTTTTTGGTCAGCTTTTTGACGATAGGAATCGAGCCATAGGTGGCGACGAACTGGCCAACACAAAGCGGAAGGAAGGACATGCCAATAAACTGGACGTCAAAGTTGTAGACGTTTCCAAAGACCAGAGGGAATGCAACGAAAAAAGCGTACACAATAGCCAGCAGCAAACCAGAGTAAAGACAGATGAGAAGGACCATAGGGTCCTTAAGAAGCAGACCAAAGGGACGCTCACAATTGATGAGAATATTCTTCATCAGTGACTGGCGCTTCTTGAGCTCCATCAGAGCACAGGTGTAAGGCTTCTTTTCTGTTTCAGCCACAGCTGGGGTCTTTTCGCTGTCCTTTCCAAATATTCTTTGGAAAACGTTTTTCTCGCTCTCGCCTCTGAGTCGTCGGACCTTCTTCTCTGTCAGGACAGGTCCATAGGTCTCCTTGGAGAACAACAGAACAACCACAAACAAGACACCGGACCAAATGAGCATGAGCCAGAAAACCCATCGCCACTTGGTGTGCTGGACAATGAAGCCTGAAATGAGAGGACCCACAGAAGGACCGAAGAAAGGCGAAAGAGAGAAAGTACTCATGGCCAATACCAACATATCGTGTTCCTTCTGTTTGTCAAAGATGTCGGTGATGGTTCCACCAGAGACAGCCGCGAAAGAAGAGGAGAAGAAGGCAGACAAGAACCGACCGATCAGCATGGTCTGAATGTTGGTAGCCAAACAAACGGGGAGTTGGAAAAGCACATAAAGAGCAAGTCCACACACGTAGATGGGCCGTCGTCCGTAGTACTCACTCAGAGGTGCAAACACCATGGGTCCAGCACCCAGTCCGAGAATGAAAAAGGAAATTCCTAGCGTGGCAACAACCCTTCCACATTCCAAACGCTCCATGATGGGATCCATAGCATTGGTATAAGTACTACTGTTGGCTGTGATCTGGAAGAAGGTGACGCAAACAATAGCTGTGAGGAACCACTTGTGGGTCGTGGAGAGCTGCGTGTACACGTTTTCTGGGTCATCATCTTCGAGATTGACCAACAGCGACGGATCGACGCTAGAAACGGCAGATTCGAGTGTGTGGACGGTGTTGATAGTGTCGGCCGAGTGGGTGGAACAGGAAGAACCCCTCAGAGAGATGGGCCGTTCTGTGTCCGACATTGATTGAGGTGTGCAGGGCGGGGCGAGACAGCGAAGGGCACTGCTTACTAATCAACAGGAGGTATCTTTTGAGGGACGGGTATGCGGGGATGGAGAGGAGGAAGTGTAGACGAACCGGCTTGTGGAGGGTGTGCGAGAGTAAGATGTTTCCCTGATGGTTGAAGTTAATCGAGCATAGGGTTTGGAGAATTTGATGACAAGGGGCAAGCAGTAGAAGGGTCTACGGGGTAGCAGGGAGGTGTTCTGGGACTGGAGATACCGTAGGAACACTCTTTGGTGCGTGTTAAGTAGTTATTCCGAATGAATATCTGCTCATTGTCCTTCCACCGCACTCGAAAGCAAGATTTTATTTATGCGGCTGAGTTAAGATAGACTGAGGAAATCCCACTAATGTACCCCCACCTTTAACCTAATGGATTGGGCCTGTAGGAGGATTGACGAGAGGCATGAATGGGAGGTATCTGAGTAAACCGGGGGTTGAATCTGAGCTTGTTGGCACGATTCCGACAACTGTCCAACTTTTTGGCACCTTTTTTTCTCCGTTACCCTTGTCTTTAGACCTGCTCAAAGGGTTCCCCCTCTCTACCGCGGAGCTTCCGAAGGTTTATTTGTAAGCTTTGACATTTATTCGCATGGATGGAGCAAGCAACTTTCGGACGATGGAAACGAGAGCCGTGTATGTACGGGAGACCCGGTACGGTGCCGCGCGTTATTCAAGCACGTCTCCGAGGCAAACGACAATAGCGGATATCAATAAACGATCTGAATCACCGCCCACCTTGCCAGCTGTGTACCCTTATAGGAGTGCGTGCTCCTTGGATAATGTGGTTAGATTGACAAATAAAGTTGATCAAGGTTTCGTCAGAGTTCTGTCAAATCTACACAAGATCTCAACGGTGTCAAGAAAAGGGTTCAGGTCAGATTAGAAGACGACAGGATGGTACGGGACGCTGAATACCCATTACAGATATTTCACAGTGCGGGTCTGCGCAATACGTCTTGTAACATCATCATACGGAGGTCGTATATTATACGAAGAGCTACCATCTACAACTTGTAATTAACATCGTACACCAGAGTATGATGGTCATCTTCTCTTAATCATTATATATATTGTTTTATATGCTTGTTTTCATCCTCGTTCAGGCAAAAGGATTGATGGTTCGAACAGTAAGACAGGGGAGAGTCTTGCCGAGCTCAGCCCGCAACATGATGGGCACTCGCTGCAGTTCGCGAATCTCCTGGATGAAGTAGCCATTCTCCTCTCGGGTCACCACATCCCGCAGCAACTCGTCGTCGCTGTTAGAGCCATCTCCGTCGGATCGAGCACAGTACTCGTTTTCCAACTTGTTCATGGAAATGGCCCGGTGGGGGGCAAGAAGACCGCCGGTCAGAGACTGCTTGGGAGAAGAAGGCAGGCTCTTGGAGTCTAGAGACAGGCCCTTGACCTGGTCAGCCAGAGACTCCTTGTTGTTGCTGGCGTTGCCGGTGTCCTTGTCGCCTCCTCGTCCCTTGCTCTTTCGCTCGTTCTCAGGAACAAACTCAGCAGAAGACTTGCCCTGTTCCCAGTACAGCTCCAGAAGCCGGTCCTTCTTGATGAACTCGGCCTTCTTGAGAGGCAGCTGGTCGCCGTGGACTCGCTTTTCGATTCCAATGTCCGGAATGTACACGTCGAACGCAGACTCGTACACCTGGATCACCAAACCTTCCTTAATGATGTCACCGTTTCGGGCCTGCTTCTTCTGCGACAAGGCAGCAATGGCCTGCGACAGGAAGAGATGCACACTCTGCTCCTGGGCATTGTGTGCAGAGTCCTTCTTGAAGTTGCAGTAGTCTGCAGCGTTGTTGAGCAACTCCAGCGACTCGTCGTAGGGAACGGAGAAGTTGGACAGCACTGCCTTCAACTGTCGATGCACAATCAGGTCAGCGTACCGTCGCAGAGGAGCGTTAAAATGCGTGTAGACAGGCACGTTGAGGAAGTAATGTGCCAACTCGTCGGACTTGTCAGCAACGTAGTACTTGGCCCGGTTCATGCACTTGAGCAATAGGGTCTCAAGTCCACGTCGGATGTCATCAGACTCGATCTGGAACAGACACTTCTGCAGAGCACCAGAGGAGGACGTGTCAATGTGCACCCCGAGATTCTTCATCTTCTGGGTGAAAGACTCCATCTTCTGCAACAGAGGGTATGAGTGTCGTCGCAGGAAGGCCTTGGGACCCAGAGAAGCATACAGCTTCTGGGCCACGGCACAGTTGACCTTGATGTTAACCTCGTCCACAATGTGGGAGATCTGAAGAGCCTGGTAGATGTCGGTAGAGATGGGCAGGTTCTCGTCGTCGATCTGGTTAAGCAGAGAAAGCGCAGGAAGGTCCTTGCCGCCAAGGTTGAGGTTCTTGCAGTTGAATCGGTCCCGCTTGAACTCCATCGACAGCAGACGCAGGGTCTTGACATAGTCAATGTCGGTCTGGCTCAGCAGACCCTCGGCGAGAATGGCCTGGATCTGAGCCTTGTCGTCGCCGCCCTTGTCGTCGAAAATTCGCTCCACGGTGGCGTAGTCAAGCTTCTGCTTGGTATTGATGTATGAGGTGCCGATCCAGGTGTCCGACACATCGAAGGTGGTGGCATCGATCTCAAACACCACGGAGATGGTCAGCCGGTTGTTACCTGGGGTCAGCGCAAAATTGGAGTTGAAGTTGTCGGGGAACATGTTCAGATCCCGCTGCACCAAGAAACAAGACGAGCCTCGCTTCTTGGCCTCTCGGTCGAGAGCGCTGTTGGACTGCACGTAGTGAGTCACGTCCAACACGTGCACACCCAGTTCAATCTTGTCATCGCCAAGCTTCTTGATATGGAAGGCCTGATCGGCTAGAATACCGTTGGGCGACAGACCCAGAGTGTACTCTTCAGTGAAGTCCCGTCGGCCTTCAGTCTCCTCATCGGTGAGAGGTGTGCCTGTGGCAGTCTCTTCGGGAACTGCTCGGAGTGCCGAGTCGGGGAATACATCGGCGGTGAAGTTGTTGTCTCGCAGAATGGCCTCGATCTGGATCTCATCATCGTTCGCATCGCCAATCTCCTCAACGAGGGTACCAAAGGGATGCAGAGAGGTGATGGGCCATCGCTTGATGGAGGCGGCAAACAGGGTGTTTGCGTAAGACTCATGGTTCTCAACAAAGTCCTTGGGGGCCTGCTCAGTGGGGATGGCAATTAGAGGCACCCGCTTGTCGGTAGGCTTGAACCACACAATCTTGGGTCGGGGAGGCTCTTGATGCTGGTTGTTGTTGTTGTTGTTGTGTCCTCCCTCTCGTTCCTGACGGTCCTTTGTGGCCTGGGACGAAGGTCGCAACAGACCAAGTGTACCAGAGAACAGCTGGCCAGGTACTCGCTCAATGACAGCGACAATGTGGCCGGCGTAGAGAGGCTTGGCAGCGTCGGTAAGCTCCTCCTCCTCGGACAACAGCAGGGACTGGCCCTCGACCTCAACGTCGTCATTTCGCTTCTGCTGAGGTCTCTGCTTGAGAGATCCTCGTCGCTGGAGGCCTCCCGAGTTGTTGGCTCCGCCGGAAGTAGTCTCAACGGTGTCTGAAATATCGCCGGTTGTCTGGTCCTTTCGCTTCTTCTTCTCCTCCTTCTCGCGTTTGGAGTCCCAAACTTGGTCGACGTTGAGCAGCTCGACAGCAACCAAGTCTCCCTCGAGTGCTCTGTTTCGGTCCTTGGAGCCACAGATAAAAATGTCGGCGTCCAAAATTCCGTCGGTGGACACGTACGCGTCGGATCGGTTCTTCTTATTAACCCGCAACACACCGCTCACCAGACGGCCCTGGTCCATGAGCTGACCAAGAGACGCCTGGGGGAGGTATGGAGCAAACAGCGACTTTCGCTGCTGCTGGCCGCCGCCGTAGCTGTTGAAGGCATGCATGGAGGACACAGAGGAGCCTCTGTGTCGGTGGCCGGGAACAAATCCTCCCTGGTCGAAGTTTCGAGAGTTGGATCGCGAGTGTCCGTGGCCAGGGTGGAAGTTGCCTCCGGTGGAAGGTGACGATCCATGTCCACCGGCGGGGAACTGGAATCGAGATGGCGACTGATTTCGCTTCTGCTGGCCAAAGGCCATTGATCGAGATCGCGAATGCGACTTGGTGGGCGAGGAGTCGTCGGCAGTGGGGGGGAACTTGAAAGATCCAGGGTTGGATGAATTGGAACCAGATGAGTGGTTTCGCTGCGGCGAGGCCGGCACGGCCCCTGCTCCTCCCTGCCGCTTCTGCTGCTCAATAGCAGCTGCTCGGATAGCCTCAGGCAGACCGAGGGACTGTCGTCGGTTGTGGCCTCTGTCTCCTCCGCCGCTCTGGGAGGGGGTGGATTGGTGGCCACCCTGGAAATGCTGCTGCGGCTGCTGCTGATGCTGGTTGGGGTGGGAAGAAGATTGGGCCCGTCGGTGGCCTCCGCTCTGAGGAGGGCCCATCTGGTGGACTGGCTGGACGCCAAATTGGCCAAAGGGACCTGTGGCAGTGACGTAAGACTGCTGCATTGGCGGAGGGGGCATCAGGTTGGGCTGGTGGATGAACTGCTGCTGCTGGGCCAGAATTTGCTGCTGCTGGGCCTGCAAGATATCGATTTGTTGTTGTAATGCGATTTGTTCGACTGTGTTAGTTTGTGGGCCGGCATGTCTGACACGGCTGTGTGTCAGCAGTTATGATGATACTCACCCATCAAGGGGGTCAGCTCAGAGGGCGATCGTCTGTGGGCAATGTGCAGGTTTCGAGGGCCCCTGCTAGACGGGTTGGGCAGCAGGTTTTGGTTGCCATTGGCGTTGTTGCCATTGTTGTTGCTGCCATTGTTGTTACCACTCATGATGATGCAGTGGGGTTGATGGTGGTGGGTGTAGAGTGGCGGTGACGGTTAAAAAAGTGGCGAGACAAGGAAGGTGTTTGTGTGATAAGAAAGCAAAAGGGCGGCCGTCGGTATCGTGGCGCGGTGCAATTGAAGGAGTGACAAGAAACACTGGGCTCAGTGATCTAACGAAGTGGTTGTTTTTGTCAAGCAGACGCTTTTTGGAGTCACAAACAAGTGTGTGTCGTGGTTGCAGAGGTGTGTGGTGCAAAGGGTAGCTAAAGCGAAAAGGACACTTAACACACATTTGAGCATGCACTCCTTTGGGAAAAGTGTAAACTGAAAGAGCGTTAAACCGCGGGGACTAGGGGTCGGAAACTGCTGGTGTATTGTTGCATAACTAGGCTCCGCAGCCGAAGGAGCTCGTCTCCTCCACGTTCTCGACGGCGTCTACGTGCCCCGGAGAGGGTTGCGTCTTTCCAAATTCCTCCCACTCCCCGCACTAAAGCTCTGTCTCGTCGTCCCCCAAAATGATCGTCTACACACTTTTAAGTTGCTCACCCAACTCTGAGCCAGGCTCTTGTCTACTCTCATGCTCTCATCTGAAACCTTGTGCCACCGTTAATCTGGCAGGTGTCCTCCGACCTAGGCCGTAGAACTAGTCCGTGGACATGTGCGACGATGACGTTGCTGGACCGGCTCGCACGAGAAGCGCACGGAGCTCCTCCTAGGTGTCAAAGGCGCGCGCAACCAAGTCCGACACGTTGAGTCAATATGATGCCTTGACGCTTTGCTGCATCCAAAAATAACCCGCCAAATAGTCCCTGGGTCTCTTCAGACTTTGAGATAGCCCCTTGGAGTTTCAGAAGAGTCACATGTGCAGTCAGATGAGTGCATTTGTGTGTTTGGGGGGGGGGGATCCTACCAATACATCTATATATTGCCCGAGCCGGACGTGCGCGACCAGCAGCCGTCACTGTCGTACATGCCTACTCCGCTGCCAAATTGCAGCCATCACACGAGTGCGGCTTAGCGTGCATGGGTTGCTACTGGATATAATATTCGGAGGCACTAAGGCAGTCAAAGACACCAGATGAAGTCAGTTGGACCTTGAGAGAGAGCCCCAGAGAGACAGACTGAACTATCGGAAACAGCCAGACCGCGCGATATTATTTTCTATACGTGATCGTTGCAGGATGGACCCCATCGATGCCTTCGTCGCGTGCGCACCCTGGATCTCTATTTATGAACCGAACCAATTTGGTCGGTACTGTACCATGGTCGGTACGATACTTGGTCGGTATTTGCGGTACGACGAGTATGTCCTATTGAACCGACGCTATGGAACAACTGTGACGGTGTTCTCATCGTAATACTCGCATCTATCGTACTCAGCTGCCATGTTCATGCTGCAGATCTTCTGAAGATGACTGATTGATCGAGTTCCACTCAGTCACCAAGGCAAATTCGTGTAGCACCATGACGACTGCGACTACGACTACGACTACGACCGTTTCGTTTCGTCCCTCGCCCTTCAGGGGGCTGACTCATCACCACCAAGAACGCACCTATACGAGTACACTGCCATGTCTGCTTCAAGTATGTACAGTACGAGTACAACTTGCACTCCAATCAACAGGCTCCTTCTCCTACACACACTCATACCGTACTACTTGTAGTACAGCAGGAGATGAGCCCGCGCACCGGAGTGGTCACGTGACCTCCCCCTCGTGACCATGCGGCACCTTCACTTTGCGTGACCGCGGCACTTTTACTTTACTTCTCCGTCGGACTTTTGCTTTCTGCGGCTTAATTTTCACCACTGAACGGCGTGCTCTACCGAAAGTATGATATCATGGCTGCCCAACCTTGTGGGACGACAACAGAGACGGGTGGTGAGAGTGGTTAAAAGCCGGGGAGCGAGGGAGGAAACAACAGTGGAGGTGCAGGGGGGATATATAGTAGACAGCGGCCTTGTGCACAAAAGCACAAAAACGTCACGTGGAAACGTCAGATGGAGGTCTGTCTCGAATGAACAAAGGGTCTTCTAGTCTTCCGCTTGTGTTTCGCCTGTACATACTTAGGTCCCCTTGCATGGATAGCCAGCCAAGCCTCCGAGTAATACAAAGACGTTTTCTTGGGGGGGAATAATTTCACCACGGAGGAGCGTCGTACATTTACGCGAAGAAGCGGCCTGAAAAAAGCAGAGGAAAAAGAAGAAAAACACCAACGTCTGGGTGCACCGCAAAAAAGAAAGCTGATTACCCGAGGCTCAAGGAACCACACACCTGCCGTACGTACCCTCTCGTCTCTCTCCACCACCAAGATAGCACACTAAGGTTATTTCAAGTTATGTTGCCCAGCTACTCGTAGGATCGAAACCATTGGCACCACCTTTTTCAAACGCGACTCCACAACATGTCCGGGTCGGAACCCGTGTCGCCGAAAAGAGAAGATGCTAGCGATGAGCTGGGCGTCGCCAGCGCCTCCATCAAAAAATCCACCCGTCCGGTCGCCAAGGCCGCTTGTCTGAGCTGCCGCGAGCGAAAAATCAGATGCGAGGGCGTCCAGGACTGCTCGTACTGTAAGCAGATGAAGTTGCCATGCGTGTTCGTCAAGAGCCATCGTGGCGGCCGTCGTCGACGTAAAGATGATGCCGGCTCCAGCTCCAAGGTCGATACCCCTCCAGTCTCACATCAGCAGCTGCAGCACCAGCAACATCAGCAACCGCCCCCACAGCCGCCATTACTACAGCACCAACAGCCCCCACCACCTCCACCACAGGCGGCAAACACCCATTACCAGAGCCAGAGTCATAGCCAACATCACCAGATGTACGATGAGGGCCCAGGCTACTTTTATCCGGGTTCTCCAGGTTATGACCATACGCAGCACCTCCAAGCTCAGCCTGGACCTCTTCATAGCCACCAGTCTGGACCCCCCCAACAGCATGCTCCCCCTCATGGACCGGCTCACCCTCCTCCTCATGGGCAGCCGCACCAACCACACCACCCTGCACATGGCCCATCCGCCCACACACAACACATTTCGCCCAATGTGCAGTCGGTTTCTCCCCACGACTCTCACAGCTCGCATGGCCCTTCACCAGACATGCACGTTCACCAGCCACAAAAACCAAGTCCAACCTACTTGAAGCCGGATTCTGGCCACCAGAACCAGGCACACCGATCCCCCAACCACGTCTCTCCAAACCATCCGGTCCACAACAACCATGTCTCTCCTCATCATGTTTCGCCACACAACACTGTGTCTCCCCACCACCAGGTGCCTTCCCACAATGTTTCTCCTAACCAGCAACCTCATCACGCAACAAATGGGACAACATTTACAACTCCCGCTCCTCCAACAGCGCCCCCAACGGCTCCTCCACAAGCATACAAGAGACCTGTGGACGCCCAGGGAGAGCAGCGGTCGAGTAAAAAGCAAAAAACACGCATCGTGGGCAAATTCACGGAAAAACGGGGTCTGTTCACTCCACCAGAAAACACAAACCAGGTGATTGAGTCGATTTTCAAGGCGCTCAATCATATCCAGTCGCAAATCACAGACCTGAAACGAGACCAAGCTATGAACGCAGCCTACAGATCATACTCGCGTGAACAGGGATATGAGTCGTCGCCAGAAGTGGAACATCAGTCTTCAACAAGTAGCAGCACTCGGCGTAAAGATGCGACTTCCAGCTCGAAAATCAAATTCACATTCACTAGCGAAGACTTGATATCACTGGACTTGCCCTGCATCGATGTCATTAATCTCTTTATTGACCTCTACTACGAGTATTTCCACCCTAACCATCCGTTCCTGCTGCCTAAACGGATCTTTCTGCGAAACTTCTCTCCCAGAACAGACGTGTCTGTGCTCCATGCCATGTTTGCGGTATCGTGTAGATTCGCTTCTCTGAACATGGACGCCATTGAACAAGAGGCCAGCAGACAGCTGGTCCCTTACCTGCTAGATCCACAATACTGGATTTCTCGAATGCAAAAACACCAGGCTACTCTGTCGTCAGTTGAGCATGTTAAGTGCATGCTTCTTTCTGGCCACGCTCTGTTCTTCTCTGGACATGCTGAGAAGGGCCGAAACTTCATCCAGTCCGCCTATCAACTCATCAAAATGCACAAACTGGAGATGCTGCATTCTGCCAACCCGGATGGTATCAACACAGAGATGACTGCTCTTCGAATCGCCAATTCTCAGCAGCTTCTGATGCGTGAATCGCTAATTCGAACGCTTTGGGAGTTATGGGAGATCCGAGTCATGGTGGCTACCTTCCTCAACCGACCTGATGAAATTCCAGAGTTCTATACCCGCATCTGCTTGCCTTGCAGCAACGAGCATTATGAGAACGAGCTCAAGGATTGGGACTACAAAAAGTACTATTGGAACGATTTTGAACAGAGTCTGTTACAAGGAGACCCTGCTATCAACGGCCCAGGTACCGTCTGCTACGATGTCGTATTCAAGATTGCCTCTCTCAACTTATTGGCGTCTGTGGTCAAGGCCACGCCCGGTATTCAGTCTGGCTCGGGTCATTCAGTGCTGGCAGCTTATGACCGACGCCTTCGATCGCTCATGGGCCGTCTGCCCACCTTTAAAACCGAAAACCACGCCTACTTCCTCTCCGAGTTTCTCAATACTAACCACCTCCATGTGCACCATCATGAGGACACTCCGGGAGACTCGGATAACGGAGCCACAGCAGCCTTTCCTGGTCTGCGCCTCGATGAACGTAAGTTCTCTCCCTTGCAGCACATCAACCCGACCTTTTACTTGGCCTATCAAGTGCTGTATATGGCTGCCATAATCCTTCATCGAAACTCGGCTATTGAGAAGATGCCGTATCTGTTGACCTATCCCGAGGCCCAAGGTAACGTCTCCACCCCTGCCATTGTGGAGAACCACCAGGCTCTGAACGATATCTTCAACATGATGAGCAAGGAGGATGTCAACCTCAATGCTCTGCTAGACGAGAGTGTCTACTCCACTCTAGATTTCAATGACGACTTCCATGTGGATGTGGTCAATTCCATCCTCTGTCGTGTCCCTAGCAACAGTGCCTTTGGAACATGTGATTGGGCCTCTCACTGTATTTGGAAGCTGGTCAACTTGACTCTTCCAGACGAGCAGCTGTTGACGAAGCATCACTCGGTGGATATTCTCAAGCAGTTGGAATCGGCTCTGTTTGCTGACCCCGCCACAACCCAGAGCTACGACTTTGCCGACTTTGACGATGACCCTCTCGCGCACTCTAGAGGACCTCAACAAAGAACGCAGATGTTTGCTGGCACAAACAACTATTCCACAGCGTCTTTGAATCATAGTTTGATCCAGTCATGGCTTCACATTTCGCCCTTTACTGGTCTCATTGTTTCTACTGCCTTCCCCGTGTTGGCTTCAGTTGGAGCCCGTCACCTTGTGCTGGTGACTGCTTGCAAGCACAAGATGGCCTCTACTGACTCGCAGTTCATCCAGAGACACGAGACCATCACCGACAACATTGTGCGGAAGCTTCGTGACTTGCTGCTCATTCTGCGAGTCATTGGAGAGTACTGGGCATCTTTCCAGATGCACTACGATGTTGCCAGTGCCACATTGGACAAGCTGTTGTCACTGAGTGAAAAGACTTATTACACTGATAACAATCACTTTGACGACTTTAGCGGCAGCAACAGAAGCAGCTGAACAAGATGAGGAGGAGGGTCACTAGGGCGATGGAATTTGTAAATATGTATATTAGATTAATGTTATTGGGTGAGTTATTGATGCAAGTGACTACAGTTGTACAAGTAATGATTAGGCGGAGTTGAAAGTGATATTTGCGACTGGCCATAGCCTCCCACTCGCCGTATTCAGTCTGTAAATACACCGTCTAGTCTCTTCCTACCCCCTGTCGTTTTAGCTCCTCCGCCGCCAGTGACAGTTTTAGTGGTAAAAGACCCATGATGGCCATATGAAAAATAGCTGATTACGAACAGTAGGGGGAAGGGGGTGTATATCGATCAATTTCTCATACTTGTAATATTTCACAAGTAGAGCATATTCAACGACAGTGTGGTCGTCCAAACACTAGACATGCAACTCACCAACAGATGATGTCTTTCATGTATTGTTACAGCAAAGTACCATTCACTACACTGAGGCTACCAAACAAGACTCATATTGGATCGTTTCGTGTATGAAACTGGATCCTATCTGTTACAGTAGCCCTACAAGTAGCTAAGGCCCCAGCTACAGTCAGGGCGCGCGATTCAGACGGCAATCCACTATCCATGCAACAGACCTTCATTTCACGTTGTCGCTCCAGCAGCTTGCTTGGGGTCTATCAAACAATGACGTAGTGGAGACCCCGAAAGCATCCATCCCTTGATGGAGAGCTGTGGGGACAAATGCAACACTAGATCAACATTGCTGCTTTAAGGGGCTAGACTGAACCCTTGAGCTGAGGCTGAGAGCCATGGGCCACATGAGATCCATTGTTGTCAATTTGGCCTTGTTCTTCACGCTACAACTAACGTCGACCGCATTAGGAGATGTCATTGAATGTCAGCTAGCACCGCAAGGCTACGAGTAGTTGTTGCACTAAACTACGGCAAGCACACAGCGAATGATCTGTGACTCTACGTATTTCTGTTGTACTCTCGTACAAAGGACTATTAAAACAAAGATAGTTGGTGTAGTATATTCATTACTGTTAGTGCCGAAGCTATAAATTAAATGTAAAGATCAGGCAAAGACGCCTTGAAACTCTGGGTCCAATCCTGTTTGATGTGGATGTAGGTGGCAAATGCCGTTTTGGACACTTCTTGAGTCATCTGGAACAGCTGAGGGAACTCGTCCTTGAGAGACACAGTCGAAGTAATGTACATATCAGCCAACTCCTGTGTTCTCTTGAGAGTGGTGGGCTCCAAGTTGGGGGGGACCACCAAAGTATGATCCGAGTTGAGTCCAAGAAGATTGAGGTTGATGGGGGGTCGCATGTCCCATTCATGAGATAAGTATCGGATGTAGTAGCCCTCCAGTCGGTCTCGCTTTTTGATCTTGGATCGGACCACGTCGTAGATCTGGAGCATCTGCTGGAGAGGAGCCAGGACTCGAGCAGTCATCTTCTGCTTGAGGATGGCATGCTGCAAAGTCAGAGTCTCGTGGGGAGACTTATTCGACCGAGCGGACCAGGCCGAACGAGATGAATGCATAGAAGCAGTGTCTGAAACAGGCAGAGTGATGACTTCTTGGGCTCGTCCGGGAAGCAGACGCTCGTAGAGAACAGTCATGGCCTTGGATGAGCTCATGAAGTCGTCAATCTTGGCCATCTCCACAGTCATGAGCTTGAACATGTCTCTGATGTAGTGTCCATGCTTGTAGAAAGACTTGACGTTGTCGAAGAAGATCTGGTCGTGGAGAAGCTTCTGGGTGAACAGCTCGTCGTGAGCAAGCTTGGTATGCTTGGAAGAGCCCCCATGATGCAGCTCAGTAGGAGAAGAAGCCTTCCTTCGCTCAAAGTGAGTAGAAGAGGTGGGACTCAGCATGCTCTGGTGAGAAGAGGAGATGTGAGAATGCACAGGCTGAAGGCCACCCATGCTGTTACGCTCAAACACACCCTTGAGTTCTCGCAACTCAGGCTCAGCAGAGTAGAAAGAAGTGGGAGATTGTGTAGAAGCGGAAGAAACTTGAGAGTGACGAGGAGACATGGGAGGGGTGGCCAACTGGGAAGGAGGAGGGGGCAAGTCTCGCTGGACAGCCTTGTTGTTGTCAAAGAGCTTCTTGACATTGTTGATTCGGTCAGCTACAACTTCGTACTCAACAAGGGCTGTTCGAACGTTCATATAGTCGGGGTGAGAGGCGAGAGTCACAGAGAGCATGTTCTTGAGTAGCAGGGGGTACTTGAGCAGACGCTGGACGGGCTTGATCAACAATGAGTCTAGAGTCCAGGCTGTGGTAGTCTCCTTGGTGTACTCTGTGCAGTTGTAGAACCAGATGAGCAGTCGAGGGGGAGCAAGCTGAGACAGTCGGTAAAACGTTTCCATCTGCTTCTCGTTATCGTTGCAATAAGTCTGGTACGAAAGCTCAATCTCGGAAATGGAGTCCAATAGCACTTGGCCCACTTGAGTACTCAGATCCTGGGTGACTAGACCCAGCTCATTACCCTCGATAGGGTATCGCTTGTCGAGAATTTGCGCGGGACAGTTCTTTCGAATGTTCTTGATGAGTCGGCTGGAGACCTGCAGAATCTCGTCAAGGTTGGAAAATAAAACGTCCTTATCATGCTTACATACGAAGCCCCTGTATCGAGAGGAGTTGAGGGTTCGCTGGTAAACCTTGAGAGCCACACTGAGGTCCTTGTAGTAGTTGACTTCCGACATGTACAGTTCTCGAAGAAGATTGACTCTGATACGGAACTGTGAGAAAGAGAAGTCGCCCGAAGAAACGGAGTCAGCCATGGCAGCTGGGTTAGTATGGTTCGAAAAATCGATCGATGAAAGAAGATGACATTTGGCGTGACCAATTTTCCAACTGCAAAATGTGAAACACAGGGGCTAGCACATCGTCCATGAGTAAGCATGGCTTATCGTATCTTGTGGCCGTAGCAAGGAAAACTACGGAAACAAACAGATGACGAATAGGAATCGTCATTGTGGTCCGAAGTCGAGAGACTAGATTGCCAACATAGCGTCCACGATCCCCGCATTCCTCACTAACACCAAATCAACAAACATGTATCAGTACCCCGGCTGCAGAAACCCAAATGATTCTGAGACATGGAGTGAGGAATAACGGGATAACAAAGTAGTTGGTCATACTGGGCACGTCTTGTGTACATGCCGAAGAAAAAAACAAGCAAAATTCCCTTCGATATCTTTCGTCCACTGGCTGATGCTACTTGGGTATTTATCCCCTTTGAGAGTGATGTGACAGTTAATGAAGATCTCTTTACCCCGTGTAACTGTAACATTAAAGTTGGCGACACTGATGCACTAACATGGGTAGCTGGTTTCAGGTTGTTGACGTTCGGGTATCCAAATAATAAACGTCGCAAGTGGCCAAGTGCCAGGGAGAGAAAAGGGAAACGGTATTGCTGTCATTGGGATGTCAAAAGATTTTGAAAAACGTGTCACATTGGAAAATAAAATGGTCGTAAATCGGCATCATCATGCAGATCGATAAATAGGGGGCGGGGAATGTATACTCACTAGGATCGAGATATGTGCTCTGTTGTCGCTCGTCCTCCCTCTTGATAATCACCACGTTGGCGGTGTTAATCTGAATTTCGTCCTCCGAGCTGGACGAGCTCTTCTCCATCATGTGGTCGCCCTGAATGGCACCCATGTACGAGTCACGTAGATAAGGGTCCATGGAACGGTAGCCTGAGGGGAGGTAGCTCTCGCTATCGTTATCGTGACCAACATCGTCGTTGGCCTTGATGGACATGCTGTCGAGTTCGTTTTCGTTTGTTTGTCGAAGTTTCGACTTATCGATCCAGGGGGTCAGAAAGGGGTCTTTGAACTGCAGAGCTCGGTGCACATCCAAAGGTGGCGATGAGGGGATGCTGAGCTGCTGTGAATTCTGCCGTTGGTGTTGCTGTGTCTGCTGTTGCTTACGGTCTTTGGGTGGAAGAGGAGGAAGAGTCGCATTCATTTGGGTTTGTTGACGGCCCGGGGGGATACGCTTGTTTAGGCCGCTAGGTGAGACATGATCCAGTGGAGGTAGAGGTGGGAGCTCCTTCTCCAACCGCCGTTTGGGAGGCATGGCAGATGTACGGGGGCTATCGTCGGTTCTCAAAGATGCGGAGTCCGTAAGGGAGAAGGTGTCGTCGCTTTCCAGAACAAAGTCGCGGGTATCGTCGTAGTTGTCGTATCTGTAGTCGTCCAGATTGAAGTTGTGAGACAGATGACGATGCTGGGTGCGGTCCGGGTTATACGGCGTGTGCTGGGGGATGGCAAACGGGTCCTCAATGTTGCAGTCTAGCTGGGGACTCGAGGTATTGCTACTGCTGTTCTTATTGAGCGTCAGAGGCAACGTTTCGGGCACGTAGATGGAAGGCGGGATGTGCAGACGAGCAGCAGGGATTCGGGGAGCAATGGAGGGCGCCCGCAGACTGTCGGTCTCGGTAGTTGCAGATGCTGTGTCGTATGTGTAGTTGTTGCTGTTGCTTGTGTAGATGGAGGCTGAGAAGGGCTCATCTAGGCCGGCGGAGTGTGTTCTGGGTTGGAAGGCGTCCTGGAACGACTCCAAGGTCGGCGTCTTCAGATCCCAGTGGGGGTCGGGCCACTCTCGATCCAGTTGCTGTGGCGAGGGGACTGTGGAGTTGTCGTTACTCGAAAAGACCGCCGAATCTCTGGTGGAAATGGACACTGACGAGTGAGCCGTCTCGAACGATTGGGTGGAATCAATGGATCGTTGGTTGGGCCGCTGGCGAGACCGCTGTGGGATGGTAGGCATGGGCGAGTAGCATGCTTGGCCATATCCGTCGTCTTTGTCGTCTGATTGCGGCCATGGAGCTGCAGAGTGGGTCACTGACATTGGAGCTAGAGAGAGATGTGGGTTGACGTGTTTGCAGAAAAGAGCAGAGACACTGGTGTATAAGCACGAGCAGGGAGAGCTTTCATGCCCGGACCAGGGCCGTTTTGCAGAAACGCAAAGGCGAGCCAAAAAAAAGTTGTGTCCATCGTCTTCTCCTTTGTGCGTGCCTTGCCGCTGTGATTACTACCGTCTCCCGCCAAAAAGGTCCCTCCATCCTATTCATGCACGCTGGTGCCCAAACACTAACCTTATCTTGGCAGAAGGGTACCTGTTCTTGCCGAGCCGTTGTGCGTGTTTCGGACAAGAGTGCTGGTTTCGGACGCACCCCATATGGCTGGCTGTTTCAAGCCCGTTTCTCGTTTCAGCGCGCACATGCGGTAAACACCACACATTGTACAGTGTAAATACCGGCAGCAACCGCTCCCCCAACCGCGATCGTCACCAGTGACTTGGTGCTTTTTTCCTCAACACGCCAATCTTACGCAGACCCTTGCTTGGATTGGCGGCAGCTCGCGGATCGAGATCTACACGACAGCGAGCCCCTACTGCCGATCCCTGGCTAGTGAGTTGTTGCGGGTGTGGCATGTGGTATACGCTGCACTGTTCCCCGCCAATTGACACACACACGGTCTGCCTCCTGCTGCCAAAGGTGCTGCCACTGTATGCGCTCGCTGCCACTGCCTCATTAGTGCTGTTGCAGCGGGTTGGTTTCACGCTACAGTTGTGTCAGGGCCCAAATGCATCCACCTGCATTGGCACAAGAAAAAAAGGGTATTTCCACCTTTTGACGCGCCTAAATCCAAAAACGTTTGGCTTTCATGCCTGGACCTTGTGGACAAGAGCCCATTGTTGGTAGCCAGTGTGCAAAATGTGTAAACAGAACAACGTGAAAGCGTTGCAGAATGTATGTTTTTTCCGGCAGCCAAAGAGCCACGCTGAACGGGACCGACAATAAACGGATCCAGGAGCGGAAACAGCAGCCTCTCTTCACATCTGCTCGCTCGTACTCCTCACCGCGTCTCCTCCAGTGTCCATCACGACAATCCATGTGCTTGCCCATGCCTCAGCCTCTCCTTTTCTCGCAACGCGTGTCCATCACTTGTAGGTCCGTGCTCGTTTTTTGCTCTTCTAGGAGAGTCTGTGGCGCCCCTAGACACCAATGATTGGCATGATAGTCGTGATAGTCGCGATTGTCGCGATCTTCACCCCCCTACCCTAATCAACCTGCAAGGTGACACTGTCGACAAAAAAAGGAAAATACACAGTCAGCAAGTCGTATGATTCCATATACCCTTGCAAGTTTGTGCTTCCTTCATGTAGGGAGCTTCTGGAACAAATGTCCAGGGTGCTATTTCTTGCAACACTTGTGGATGTTTGCTGTGTGAGCCTGGGTACAGATCGGGACAGCGAGAATGTACCTCCGGGGCTTGTATGGTATGTTACGTACAGTTTGGTAGTCCCGCTACTTGAAGCTCAGACTGATGATGTTGGACGGCATAGAATTGAGGAGTAGAAGACGCTGGAAACCTGATGCATTTAGTTGTACTGTCCTCCAACTTTTACATGTTTTTTTCCGCACAGTCTGCCGATAAGTTCCGCAGCTACTTGTAGTTCACTCTCTACAATCCACCTCTTCCCGTATACTGTTTTGAAAAAGATCGCTTATTCCCCACGATTCGGGAGAGATGTGCCGATGCCGATACGACAGAAAACATGATACCCAAAGAGACCCTTTCTGCCCCCATACAGCGCCACCAAGGCTCCAAAAACCCATGGCTGCACGCTGTACATCTCGCAGCACAAGATTCACTCTTTCTCCAAGCACAAAGGTTCGGACGCCGCTCAAACTTCCATGGTGTAGCCGTATCCGCGGAGAAACAGTTGAAGCCATAGGTTTGCATTTGGCGTATTGGAGAGAGACAGGATGAAGGACGGCAGGGGTCTAATGTGTTGTGCTAAGGGGAGGAGAAGAGGCGTGAAGGTGGAGGCAAGAGAGAACCCGTTTGCTGTACTGTATCCGTTGAAGGTGAAACCCCGACGGCTCTACCGTCGACACGAGACATGATTATGTTTTCTCCATTACGGCTGAAAAAGCATTGCTTCCTTGTACACACAAAGGAACTGAATGAATCGGTTGTCTCACCAAAATGGAAGAAATCGGCATACTCGTAGCAGCCACGGACTATTGAGATTATCAGGGAGTAGAAACAACTCTTACTGGTATGAACAGACCGTAAAAGGATAACAATCAACACCAAGCATTGCTACTGTGTCGGTATCACCTTCGCTCAGTGTCTGTGCTGTACCGATTCCGTCCACAAGAACCAGAACCACAATACCTCTCTGTGCTGACAGGTACCTCTGCCGGGTGCCTCTGACGGGGGTGCCTCTTCACGCTTAGTCAATGTGCTCAGATACCGCGGCTCTGTTATTCAGCTTGTCTTAAAACATGTTCGTTAATGGAAATTCAGTACACGCTCGACAGTGCCGTCGCCCTCTCGCTGGTGATAACAGCACATCTATGATCTGGTGTGACCCTGCAATTAGACCATTCTAGGATTCTCATGTTCACACTAGTCAAGACGCCGCTCCAAAGCAGCCCTTGCCTTTTCCAGAACCCCAGCATCTCTAAAGGCTTCTATGCATACTAACCTGCGTTCTCGGGAGACTCTACATACGTTCCATTGACATGATACAACCGGGTCGGTTTACGCTAGTCTCATGGGTGCTTTGTCGGTTCGAATATGTAGGATTGAGTCCCAGCTCGATTCCACAAGTCCGTTGTGAAGCAGGATCCTGTGCTCTGGCATCTCTTGCTTTTCAACCGAGCGTCTCTTGCCTTGAAGTGTCTGCCTTGAACTACCACTATCAGTACATGTACATAACACACTTCTTCCCTCCATTGCCATTGAGATACCAAATCATACCCCATCACTTTGATGTCGCTATTCACATGTCTCGCGTACCATACAAAGATGGTCATCTAGGGTCCATGCCAAGGAGACCCCTAGCAATTGCTTATTTTTTCCTGTTCTCATTCCGCATAGTGTCGATCACTAGGCTGCACTTCGGAAGTAAGGCTAACATGTGAGATACAGGCCCATGGTCGCACATGCCCATAGTCGCACATGCCCATAGTCGGTAAAAAATGCATTCCACCAGCCCATCTTCACACCCACAAAACATTATACCTCCGGTGTCCACGTTGTTGTGGGCGTATTAAGGGGCGGTGTATAGACTCAAGTATTGTCCAAGTAAATGGAAATATTAGTAGAATGTGGTCTCAACACAGTTTTCGCGTCTTTCCGTCTTTCCGTCTTCCCAGTTCCGCAAATACGATACTTGTGAGCTATAATATATACCAAAAAGTTCATTGGTTCTATCTCTTGACTTTCTGACCTTCAATTATTTGTCCGCTTTTTTTTCCCAACTGTCCACAATTTTTTTGGTGTTATCTCACACTTCATCATCCCTTACACCCCGCCCAAAGCTTAAATCTCCAGTCCACGTTTCGCTTACATAATCTTACTCCGACATCCGCCAATAACTATCGCATCTCATCAAACGAACCCCGTCAACTCGAACCTCCCGGAATCCCGCCCAAATTTCGCCCCGGTCTTCCCCTATCGTATCACGTGACGTGATTCAGGGTCATCATCACCACCTCACATACAGTTCACAGCTCTAACGACAGACACACATGCAACATGAACTACGCTCTGATAGGCATCACGACCGCCATCTGTGGTAACATTATCATTTCGGTTGCTCTCAATCTCCAACGGTATGCGCATATTCGTCTCGAGGCCGATGTGAGTTCTCCGCATTACACCTCTTCCAAAGTGTGGTGGTGTGGGTTGGCTCTGATGACGATAGGAGAGGCAGGCAACTTTCTGGCATATGCGTTTGCACCAGCGTCGGTCGTCTCTCCACTCGGTGTGTTTGCCATTGTCGCCAATTGCCTGATTGCTCCTATCGTGTTTAAGGAGCGGGTCAAGTGGAGCAACATGATGGGGGTAGCGGTGACGGTGGTAGGCATTCTGTTTGTGGTTCTGAGTGCCACAAGTGCCCAGAGCGACACACGACCGGTGGAACCACGTGATCCGCATGCCATGATAATGGCGGCTCTTCAACAGAAGTCCTTCCTCGTCTACATTGTGTTTGTGTTTGTATCGGCAACGCTGCTGTTGCATTTCTCAAGGCAGCAGTTGCGTCAGCAGACGGCGCTCTTCGTCTACCTTGGTCTGGTGGCCCTCTTTGGCGCTCTGACTGCGCTGAGCACAAAAGCTGTGTCTTCACTGCTTTCTTTTGCATTTCTTAGGGCGCTCTACGATCCACTCACTTACGCTTGTGCGTTTGTTTTGGCTGCCACTGCTGTGTTCCAGATCAACTTTTTGAACCGAGCTCTGCAGACCTTCCCCAGCACTGTGGTGATTCCCACGCACTTCGTGCTGTTCACCTTGTCAGTCATTGTGGGCTCTGCCATGACCTATCACGACTTTGATGGCATGACTCTCGGTCAGATCACATGCTTTGTGGGGGGATGCATCATCACATTTGGAGGAGTGACTGTAATTGCGCGAACCGCTCCTGGTCGACCCAGACTGCAGCAAAACCCGAGCTATTCGAGCTTCAGCACCCGGTCACCGACACCCACAGAGTCGCTGGCGATTCCCAGCGAAGTGTCAGGTCTGTTGGAGGTACCTCCTGATCCCACTCACCAGCTGGCATCGTCTGCACCCGCGCCACATCACCATCATCATGCTCTGAGAAGAACTAGGTCGGCTCATCTAGCATTTGACCCTATCGCACTTGGTGGAATCAGTTTCTTTGTCGACAGCGCGAGAGAATGGAGGAGCCAGAGCTTGGGACGAGGAGAGAGAGAGGAGCCCTAGACTGTGGGTGTGACTCCAGGATACTATGAACGATATGGGGCGGTTGCGCGACAGATGGGTGATCACAGGATTCACCTGTGTGACAAGCCTGTGTAGGAGTTATACTAGAAATCTCTGAATGTGGTGGCTACACGGACTGCCGCTCTTTACAGTTGCAGATTGAACGCTATGAGTCCCAAGCAGCTCTCACCCTCTTTTGCTCGTTCCAACTCCGCACATCTCACGAATTCACAGCTTAGAGTGGAAAGGTCGTCTACCACTCAACATTGCATACATGGCTATCTCAGTAGCTCAATTATTTATTATTCCTTGACTGTAGGCGGTTATCAGCTTCATTGATAGTCATTGATAGTCATGATGGTGTGGACATGTCGGTTGATCCTCTATGAGTAATTATTCTTCACTGACAGCTACGGGAGAGATTACTGTTGGGATGGAGCTCACGACTCGAGGACACGAAGTCGTAATATTCTGATCCAAGCCGATATATATCAATTGTTAGGCTCTGGAACAGTGTACGATACATCTTCATGACAGCCAAGCTGCCACTTGACTCAATGACATAAGTACCGATCAGTATGTACAGCACACTTGTATGTGAGGAACCCCTCGGCTATAATGTTTAGCGAGTAGTTACAAGTAGATGAGGACTAAAATGAGCCGCGAGGGAATGATAGCCCCTTTGCCCTTTCGGTTTTCCCCATTCGTTTCAATCGTTCACTCCGTACCTGTAGTTCACTTGTTCGTTTGATCTTGCCGATTTGATATCTCTCCGCCAGTTAAAAGCCGGATAAAGATACCTCTCCGCCAGTGTCTCAGCTGTTTCATATGTCTCACAATCAGTCTCACTTTTGTTCGTTTTTCATGCCAATATATGTAAAAATGTCTCACGAGCTCTTTTGGCGAGGTCTCAAATCTGCCTCTGGCAGCGGATTTTGATGCATCTTTCGTTTCTTTTTGAACAGGTCCAATTGCGAGATTCTGTACCGCAGTTTTCTTACAGCTCACACATTTGGCCACTTGCAATGGCTCCCGTCTACGGTAGCACAACCACTGTTTGTACATTCCTCGGGGTATTTGTCTGCTTTGGTGCATGGTGTCATTGCTCTGGCAAAGTCAATCGGAAGTCCGCGATTGTGTGAAAAAACCGAAAAATACGAGGTGTTGCTGCACCCTGCCGGCAGTTAGGCAGGGACTCCGTGGTACAGGTTTTGACACGGGATAATGAAACATATTTGCAGGGGTCACATGGTCGAGGGCGGTCCGTAGCGATAGAGTGTGTTCCCGCAGACGGTGTATCAGTGTTGGCAACGAACGACATCCATCACTTTTGAATGGGTCTTTGCACTGTTGGTTTTTTTCCTGTACTCTGCTCAAGGCATGCGGTGATTGACATGAGTGCAGTTCAGGGGTGTATGTGAGTACAGTACATATGGTTCAGTATGTATGTACATACTGTTGGCGAATCTGTGGTCGATTAGAAGAAGATCTTAACCGGATATCTGATATCTGAAGCGGAATCGGTCCGTGGTTGCTTGCCGCAGCCAGAAGCAGTAAGTAGTCTAGTACTTTCACTTCATACAAAGAATATGAGGCACGGATACACATGAGGCACATGAGACGTTTCGGGTCACATCGGGGTAATGGTGGGAATCGGGTAAAAACGAGATAGTGGGGTTCGTTCGGTGAGATAGAAACGGTCAATGAGGCAAGCGTTGGAGCTTACATGTTGTCGGATATGATTAGGGCGAGCATTGCTGTTAATATGGCGTCGATAGCGTGGTGCTGGTTATTGTTTTAAATTAAAGAATTAACGGCGAATAAAATGAAAATGAACTGAAAATGAAAAGAAAAGAAAAGAAAATGAAAAGAAAAGAAAAGAAAAGGAAAGGAAAAGGCTCTGAAAAGGAAAGGAAAAAGCTCTGTAAATTCAGATAAATTCGATATACAGTATACAGGAAATTTGCAAAAACAAAAACAAAAACAAAAACATAACCATCTACCATCGCCCATTCACTCTCCTCTACACACTCCATCCTTACAGTAGCTACTGTACTTGACTTGACTGTACTTGTACGGTCGTATCCACAGCATTTTAAAGTGCAAGGGTATCGTAGATCGGGTATCTCCAGTCAATGTCGGGGAGATGGCGTAACCATATACAAAAGGGGTGTGTGTGCACAGACGTTCTATACCCTCCGAACTAATAATACCTCGCTGCCTTATTCCATGCTCCCCCATACCACACCAATGCCGAGCTTTTAGCACCTCCACACACACCCTTGCACCGAACCACACCGGCAACTCCCACAAAGCCAAACATGTCCAAAGCCAAAAGTGCCAACCCAAAAGTGCCAACCGTCAGAGTGCCGCCAAAAGTGAACCACCACCCTTACTAACCCTGCACTAATCAAACGTCGTCCGTCCGACTCTCCATTCTTCTGTAAACGGCATGTCGGAGTATCTCCCGCCTCCGCCGCCGCTGTCGCCGTTTTCGGAATGGTTTGAATTCGGCGACACAGACCTGCAAATTGACAAATTGCAACTGGCACCGGACCAAAGTACCGCGACCGCGCCTTCCACAGCAGGCACAACCTCCGCCTCAGCCCCCACACAACCTCCGCCACCACCGCCAGCGCCTTTTATCTCCGCCCGCGAGTCTTCCATGAACGTGGGACCCCAACATCTTCCTAGAGACATGGGCAGACCTCCCCAGCCTACACATAGTCAGTCTCAACCATCACATTCCCAGATACACACACAGATCCCTAAGCATGCTCCCCCACCCATTCCAACGTTAAAAAAGCCGCCACCGCCCATCCGGCACTACTCGAGCCCTTCGAATGGCTCCTCGGCGGCCAATGCCATCCCGGGAGCCAATCACCCGCCCCCACAAGCCCAGAGCCAGCATTCACAGGCCGCCCAGGCCGCCCAACAAGCTCATGCGGCCCTTCATGCGGCCCAGAGCGCATCGGCACCCGTCTCGGCCGTCTCACCAGTGTCAAACACTCCATTGGTCACGTCGTGGGACAAGACCAAGGTGGCCGAATGGCTGCGATCGCTTAAGTGTGCAGAGTACATCCCCATGTTTGAGCAGAACGAAATCTGTGGTGAAGTGCTGCTGGAAATCGACCAGAAGCTGCTCAAGGACATGGGTGTGGTCAAAGTGGGTGACCGGGTAAGAATCAATGTGGCCATCAAGGATTTGCGAAGCCAACATAGAAAAACCACTTTGCAGAATCAGCAACCCACCCCACACCAGCGTTCACAGCACAGAACTGGAAAAACTCTGTCATATTTGGACGAGCAATGCGTCTCCCCCTTTGCAAGCCATGGTCTTGGCATCTCGTCATCGTCAGGAACCCCAGTCACCCCAGACAGAGCATCTAGCGCTGGATCAGACTTCTCCAGCCACCTTAGACCCCAAACAGCGCGGGCTCCTTCCTCCACCACATCTACTGGCGACGTTAAGGGTATCTTGTCCATGGACCAGGTTCGACAGGGAACTGTCAAGTTCATCTACACCATGGGCCAGAGCAAGACAGTTAACATTTCAGGCTGCTTCAATGCCGAATCAATCATTCGCACGGCACTCAAGAAGTTTGCCATTAAGGATTCGCCCAACAACTGGTGTATCCATGTTTCCGATAATGCATTCGCCACATCCACCCGGATTGTGTCTGACAATGAGCTGGTGACCATCTGCCACTCTCCTTCACGTGCTGAGCGTCGTCGACTCATGCTGTGTCTCAACGACATGCCTCCCACTCAAAAGCAGTTTGCCAAGTCTCAATCTGTGTTGCTGGAGTCTGTGGACACAAACACAAACTCGTCTTCGTCTTCCGGCAACTACTCAGCCAACCAGCCTACCATTTCGCAACTCTCGGGCGACTACTTTTCGTCCGACCCCCAAAAAATGGCCCCGCTGCCCCGATCCAATCTTCCCCACAATTCTCGACGACTTCAGAGATTCGGTCATCGACCTCCTTCGGAGCTCATTTCTTCCAACCTGGCAGAATATTTTCCTCAGGCAGGCTCCAAGGTGTTGGAGCAGACGATCCGAAACTCGATTCGGTTTTCCAACCGAATGTCCCGCATGAGTACCAGTACTGCGTCCAACTACCACTACAACCGAATGAGTATTGCGACCATCTCGTCGTTCATGAACAACGAGGGCGGGATTGGCTCGGAAAACGACTCGGACAATATCCCTGCTGTTCCGGAGATTCCTTCGGATCTCTCGATGCCCCAAACTCTTACTCGAGAGTCCATGCAGCCCAGCCGAACACAGTCTTCGTCTCAGGTTGAGCGTGGAAGCTCTCTGCGAAAGAGTACAGCATCCATTCCTGCTACTCTCGAGACTCTGAGCCAGCAAGAAGAGGCTGCATCAGCAGCAGCTTCAGCAACAGCTTCTCTCGTGGACCCTCCCCACAGCGCTACCCCTTCCGAGGATGACATGTCAGATGAGCAGATCATTGCAATGCAGTCTGAGGCTCCCAAGAACTGGATCAAGGGTACGTTGATTGGCCAGGGCTCGTTTGGATGTGTTCATCTTGGCATGAACAGTCTTACTGGAGAGCTTATGGCCGTCAAGCAGGTTTCTCTGGGCGACTTTTCCAAAACATCGCATAAGCAGGCCATGGTTGACGCTCTTCAGCGTGAGATGAATTTGCTACGGGATTTCCAGCATGACAACATTGTGCAGTATCTTGGTTCGTCTTCTGACGAGGAGTATCTCAACATTTTCCTCGAGTACGTTCCTGGTGGTTCCGTGTCTTCTATGCTGACCAAATATGGACAGTTTGAGGAACCTCTTGTCAAACATTTTGTGCGCCAGATTCTTAAGGGTCTCGATTACTTGCATTCTAGAAACATCATCCATCGAGACATCAAGGGCGCCAATGTGCTGGTGGACAACAAGGGAAATGTGAAGATTTCCGATTTCGGCATTTCTAAGAAGATCGAGGCTTCATCGTCCAACCGGCAGTCTCTTCAGGGCTCTGTTTACTGGATGGCCCCCGAGGTTGTCAAGCAGACGAGTTACACTCTCAAGGCCGACATTTGGAGTTTAGGGTGTCTGATTGTGGAAATGTTGACCGGCTCGCATCCGTTTCCTCAATTCAGTCAGATGCAGGCCATTTTCAAGATTGGTACCAGTGGTAGACCCGACATTCCTGAAAACTGTTCTGAGGACACTAAGGACATGCTTCGGCAGACCTTTGAGCAGGATTACAACAAGCGTCCGTCGGCCGCGGAGTTGCTGGCCCACGAGTTTTTGAATACGTGATGCTTGTATGATGGTATTTAAGGAATGAAGCTAGCCATTGAGGAGACTTGATGGTTCTATTTAATAATGATCCGAGATCGCAACCCCATATTAACCTTATTTCATATAAAGTTGCGTCTCGGTTAGGCGTGCGTGATTGAAATTAATTAATTTCGGATAAACTCAGGTAAAATCGTGTAAATGAGTTTCCATTACGAATACAAGATGATAACGGATCGGCTCGGATACATAACTGTCCATTGACGTTACATACTATCAGTGGAAGTCTACAATTTGTTGGATAGTAATAGTCATGAAATATATTAAGGGGGTCATATGCTGTTGAATGCAAATAAATAAGTTGAATTAGTGTTTTAGGCAGAGTGGATAGAAACAGCCTGGCTCTTGATTGCGGCCTTCTCGCCATGAGGTTTCACCTCGATAATCGTCTCAGGCACATGTTCCAGACCTTCACCTGTAGACGAGTTGTAGAGCACAATACCGTTCTCCTTGGCATGCTGTCGTTCGTCTCGCTTGTAGAAGTAGAGAACGACCATGGTCCAGATCATAAGACAGAAGGCAGAGCAAGCAGTAAAAGTGAAACCCTTGAGGTATCGAGGAGCCTCCGAGGTTTTCCATACGAGCACGGAAATCCAAGCAGTGGAGGTCTGGGCCATCATGTTCATGATCATGAGAATGATGGCTCTGACCTGGGGGTCGTGACGACAGATATCGTTGAGCCAGGAGTACATGGTGGCTGCCATGGCCCATCCAAAGTACTGGAGCATCCAGGCAAACCACTTGGCTCCCTCGGGAACGTCCCAGACGGCGAGAATCGTGTTACCAGTGAAGTTGAATAGCTGGGTGAAGACAATGGCTCCCCATCGAGATCCGAAAAGATCAGCAATGCCGACAGTGAGTACAATCCAGACCATACCAAGACCGGGGGTAATGGCTCCCAGATCGTTGACCTTGGAGTTTGTGTATCGCTGCTCGCCCTCGGAGTTTTTGAGAGACTTGAGCCACAGAAGGTAGGCTCCAGAGGTACCGTTGTTGTTGTTCCAGCAGAAGATGCCCTCGAGACAGAGCACGTAGATTTGCCAGGAGGAAAAGATCTTTTTCCACATGCCTCGATCACCAAAGGAGTACTTTGGCTTGGGGGGTTCGCCGGAGGTTCGCTCCTTGTGGTCCTTGAGACGTTCTCGGGCAAGCACGACTTCCTCCTTGGACAGGAAGATGGAGTAGCACTTCTCGGGGGTTCCAGGAATCATCCACAGACCGATAATACCAATGGGCATGGTGATGATTCCGTCAATGATAAACAGCCATCTCCATCCCTCAAGCCCGTTAACGCCGTCGAGATGCTTGACGGCTCCAGCGGCGATGACAGAAGAGGTGAGCACTCCGAAGAACTGAGCGAGGTACATGAAACCAGCTCGTCGGTTGATTTCCTTGGGCTTGAACCACGATCCGAGCAGGTAATGCAAAGCAGGATAAAGAGAGGCCTCGAAGGCTCCAACAAGAAATCGCATGGCCTGAATGCCTCCGACATTGTTCATCTTGTACTGACACAGAGTCATGATACCCCAGCAGAAGTCGAGGAGAGGGAGAACAATATGGAGAGGGACCTTGGGGAGCAGAAACATGAAGGGGAGCTGGAACACGATGGCTCCGACGGAGAAAATGGCCTGAGTGTTGACCAGGTCATTGCCTTTGAAATGGACATCGTCAGAGAGACCGGCAACGTAGGCGTTGTTCAGGTTAGTCTGGTCGAGGAACTTGACCCAGTAGATGAGAAAGGCGTAGCAGGAGAGCAGAATGTCGAGTTTCCAGATGAGTTTTCGCTCGGCAGGAGTATCGTTTTCGTCGAACCACTTGAACCACTTTTGGCCAGATCGGTCCTGCTTATTAAGACGGTACTCGTACTCATCAAAGAACTTCCACCAGGGTCGGCCCGCCTCGTCTCGGTACTCGAGCTCTTTTTCCTCGGTCACGCCCAGAGCCACAGACACAATGTCCGAGTCCTCGGCGGTGATTTTCTCAGAGCTGCTGTGTTCATCAGTGTCCGATACCGCAGCGGTTACCACCGGAGGAGCGTATTTGGGGTGGCTCTGGTAGACGTTGTTGTAGTCCGTTTCCGACGGAGTATTGAGATGGGGAAGGAACTTCCAGACCATGATTTTCGCTTGTGTGAGACCGATGAGATACTTTGGACCACTTTAGCAGCTCCATTCATATATATATATATACATATCGTTTGTTGTACATCTGACCCGGAATCTTCGTACCCAGGTATGAGCACGGTTCACGTGACGGTGCAAGAGCGTCTAAAGTTGTTGGAGTGCTGCTGATAGGCATCCAGCCGGGTGTGGCTTGTTCACAGGGACCTGAGGAAAAAGAAAAAGAAAAAACGGGAGTGCCAAGCGAGGAGATTGAGATGTTGCTGTGCAGAAAAAATGAGTCCATTTCACGTGAGTTGGCATCAGCCGTGCGGAGACCATCTGGAATGATTGCAGGATATCTCAACAATATCACGGCTCAACATAGACCCAGCTGGTGCCACTGTATCACGGACCCATGCCTGATTCATACGAAGCACATTAACTCTTGGCCTGTCCTCTTTCGAGCCTTGGTTTCTCTTTAGAGCCGTCCAAGCTTTTCTTTAGATCTGCCTTAATTTAGCGCCTTTTTTTTTTTTTTATTCCTTCTTCTTCTTCTGCCATGAAAGTCAAATGTTCTACTGTATATGGCGCATTAACGGAGACTGCGTCCCACCGAACTCACTGTGAACTGGCGTGGCCGGCACATACCCCGGAACTGCCTGCTTCTTGTTTCTCTGCACGCTGTGATGGACTCGGAGCGCTGTACATAGGAGACCTACTTTACGATACTCTACCCCTCTTCATAATGTCGACTCCTACTTACATCACAATGCTTGACACAGCCAACCACCATCTTCCAGGGCCACCGGAACAACCTCTCGAAAACCTTGCCAAAGGTTTGCTATATTCGTTATGGCGGTAAATTTCGCTAAACTCTTCCACCTGGGCTACAGTACATACATGGGGGGTGCGGCCCTAAGGGTGTTCACTGCACGGATTGCTGCAGTATGGGGAATGCATCCTACAGGCACTAATCAGCTAAGTTTGACTCTGATCGCGTAATATGATACCCAGGACCATTTTTTGTTAGTTTGTTCCATAACTACCAATGTTCATGCCATCGTTCATTCATTTATCTAAATTAGTGGCAGAAACAGAGACATGATCGGACCTTGTTATCTTTGCGGCGCCTATCTCTGTGGCTGCTCTAAAGCCTCTAAACCATCAGGCCCCTTAGCTTCAGTGGCTTGCGACGTTTCTTGCACTTGTGCCTCATCCTCGGCCGTATCCTCCGTCCCAACTTCCTGCTCATCGGAATCTTCCGCATCTAGCTCGATGAGATTCTCGGCCTCCGCAGCCTCAGCAGCCTCCTCCTCTGCCAGAAGAGCCTCGAAATGCTTCCGATCCTCCTCAAGGAACGCCTTGAGAGATGCCGGGAGTTCCCCACAAGGCATATCGCTGTTCTCGGAGGTGGCATACAACAGAGTCACTTCCTGGGCATCAAACTGGTCGGAGCCACGGGCAGCATGCTCACAAACCTCCTCTACCGTAGTAGGACGGATTGCATAAAGACTATCCACAGATACGGGAGCTTCGTCCAGATAAGCCACATGTAGCCATTGTCCATGATGGTTGTAGTAAAACTCTGTTGGGGAAATGATGGCACCCATGAGATTGTATTCAGGCCCATATGGAGGCACATCCACATCGTCCGTCAATTCCTCAAGCTTATCGATTCGTAATCCGATCTCCTCTCGAGCATCCAGGTACTGATTCTGGAGTTTTCGTAGCTCTGTGACTCCCTCCCTGGTCTCATCGTCGAAATGACCAACAGCAACCTCCAGCAACTTAGTAACACTGACGCCCTGGAAGTTTGACATTTCAAATCGCTTCTGGAACAGCGCTTGCGACTCCTTCTTGGCCTCAATGGCTCGACTGTGCACCGACTTGACCTTGTCCAGGTAGGCCTCCGAGTACCGATGAGGAGAGAACTTTGGCGTCACAGCCAGACCAGAACCACTTTGGGCGTCTTCACGTCGACATGTGATGGAGATAACAGGTGGGATTTCCTTGAGATAGGTCACTTCGTCTGTAGAAGATCCATCTCGGAGTCCACTCCATAACAACAAATCTAGTCCGTCGGAAATGGTGAGACAAGTGTCTGAAGGCTCCCTGGTTCCCAGCAAGATGTTGTACATAGGTTCCGACTCCTCTCCATCCGTAGCCACCATCCTGAAGGTTTTCGCTGCGTTCTCATGCCGCATGATGAGTTGTTCCAAAAACGCACCAACCGCAGTAGAGTCGTCACTAGATCGAGACGAGCCGCTGAGTTGGGATGCTATAGATGAAGGGATGCATCTGACGAGATTGGAGATGGTGTTGAAGCCTCGCCCGGTGCTGCCATCGAGAAATGCGAGCAGCTTTTGTGTTTCCTCCACCAACGACGTCTTTTTAGAACAGGTGCCGGAGCGCCAGCTGGGGTCAAACTCGTACGTGTCCTTTGCACCCTCCAATAGCGCATCTCTGGCCTGTGGAATAGCATGCAAAATCGTCAGCAAGGGCGCGATATCGATGGCAGCATGAGAAGGTAGCAAGATTGGAGGATCCAAACTTCTAACCGTCTGGTTTGCTGTCAATTCACTGAGATCGAACCGTGAATATGAAAGCTCAGGCTCATGTACGTACGCCTCTCTGCTCTCCTCAATTAGGTCCTCCTCAGCCGTCTCCTCAACATGTGGAATCTGGTGGTAAGGCACAATCTCCCGGGTGTAGTCCCTGGGCTCGATATCTCCGCTGGTGTCTGCGTTGGGGTCTCGTCGCGGCGGTAGCTCGGGCGCAGCCACCTCGTTATCGCTCTCCACAATGTTGTCGTGCGAAAAAATGTATTCGAGGGCCTTCTCCACGTTGTGGTCGTTTCTGCGGAGCGCAATCTTGGCGACATCCTCGCTGATGCCCATTTCAATCAGTTGCTGGATCTGAGACATGTCGGTAGTGTCGTCAATGTATTTTTTGGACGTCCCCTGGTGGTCAAACAGGCGTTTTGTCTTGCGTACTACCGACTTTCGAAACGTGCGCATGTGTGTAGGAGGGGTCTAAGTTAGATAAGCTTGGAGAGGTTTAGAGTTGAAACCTCGAGGTTTTTCGACACTGTTGACTGTGGTCATGGAGGGTTAGTTTCTGGCAAAGGGCTCATTGAGGTAGTAGCTGACGGTGTCTAAGCTAGGAGAGCGGTAAAATGAAGAAGAAAAAAAAAAAAAAAAAAAAAAAACAAGAAACAACTAAGAAGATCTCGGGGAATATGTTCAGGAGGTGGCCCAACTTGCTGAAACTCTATAGTGTGTTCCATATCTACCTACTTGTAGTGCGGTGTCAAGAAGCAACCTGAAACGGGGATTTCACGAATAATTAAGAGGAAAAGAGGAAGTAAACATATTCTTTTTTTCATTAGCTGCTAAGAATTGAATCGATCAACTGTTAATCCTCTACAATTGAGGGAATTGCCTCACTATCAGGGGGTAAACTATTGGATGGAGATTTGAGGAAGCAATGAGATAAAAACACCCATCATTCGGAGCTACACATGAGTATAGTACCTTAATGTCGTTTGTATTGGTCTTATATAAACCTCATCTGTTTGCTGGTAGTCTTTTTACTCTGAAACAGTCGGTTTGAGTCATGTTTTGGGTCTACCTGTGGGTTGTCATAGCAAACTTGGAAAGGTTGTAAAACATGTAAAAATGGGTTTAGGGTGGCATTGTCGTCACCATTTGATTAATTCAGGTGTCTAGTTTCCAATGGTATTACTTTTATCCCAAAATCGCGGGTTAATGAGGTCAGAATTTTGATTATGGTTGCAGAAATTTCCTCTAATCAACGCTTAATTTAAGCCATCATAGTATAGTGGTTAGTACACCACGTTGTGGCCGTGGAAACCTCAGTTCGATTCTGGGTGATGGCAGTTTAACAACTGCTCCAAACAAGTGGGTTAAATTCCCACAACCTTTTTTAATATTTTTCCCTTTTCCTTTTCCTTTTCGCTTGCTCTAGTGTACTCTTATGAGATGGATGGCGATCTACGCCTTGAAACCCGAAGACACACGATAACCGATGCATATGGCAATATCTCCGCGCAAGAGCCGAAGAGAATGTTGGGTTTCGTGCGATAATCAACTGCCTGCTTTTTCGTTTGAAGTTTAGCCCAGCCGCTCTCTTTTTCACCTGCTGTCGCACTAACGCCATCCACGTCACAGCTCATGACAAAACCTCCTCGGAGGAGCCCAGAATAATCAGTATTGCACCCCACACCACGTTTCGGCGCGCAATCGCAAATAAGAGGGCACAGGTGATGGTTGCTGAGGCAGGCACTTGTACGTCATAGGTGTATGACTCAGGGTGCATTGAACAGGTAATAACTGCCCATCCACTTTGTTGTTGGGCAATGTGTGTGTGCTAAATTTCGTCTGGAGAGTGATTTTCACAAGATGTAGAATCCACCACATCTCAATTGATGGCACAGCGTCGCCACACACGCACATGGGCCTCCGAGTCGCACTTTATGTGGGGAAAGTTAGGCTCCCCCCATGCTCACCAATAACAGTACATATAGACCCATGGAAACCCAAAGAAGGGACCTCACCTTTGGCTGAGAGAGCGTGCACGACGGGAGCACTTGTACAACAATCGGATCGACGCCAACCAGCCCAGCCTGAAAGACCCACCACAATCGTCGCCACGAGGCCACCGCCAAAAAGATCAAAGGACACGCATATATATCACACACATGCCATCACACGTGACGAGGACAAGTTCAGATCAGGTTACCCTACCGCACACCACGCATCATCGTCTTGGCCAGGTCAGCCAGCACTTAACTTCTTCATCCAACACCAGCAACATGTCTACCTACACTACCCGGTCCATTGGTGCCCCCAACACTCTCGACTACAAGGTCTACATTGAGAAGGACGGCAAGCCCGTTTCCGCCTTCCACGACATTCCTCTGTACGCCAATGCTGAGAAGACCATTCTCAACATGATTGTCGAGGTTCCTCGATGGACCAACGCCAAGATGGAGATCTCCAAGGACCTTGCTCTGAACCCCATCATCCAGGACACCAAGAAGGGCAAGCTCCGATTCGTCCGAAACTGCTTCCCCCACCACGGATACATCCACAACTACGGTGCTTTCCCCCAGACCTGGGAGGACCCCAACCACGTCCACCCCGAGACCAAGGCCAAGGGTGACAACGACCCGCTCGACGTCTGCGAGATCGGTGAGACTGTTGGCTACACTGGCCAGGTCAAGCAGGTCAAGGTCCTCGGTGTCATGGCTCTCCTCGACGAGGGTGAGACTGACTGGAAGATCATCGCCATCGATGTCAAGGACCCTCTTGCCTCCAAGGTCAATGACATTGAGGATGTTGAGCGACACCTGCCCGGTCTTCTGCGAGCCACCAACGAGTGGTTCCGAATCTACAAGATCCCTGACGGAAAGCCCGAGAACCAGTTTGCCTTCTCCGGTGAGTGCAAGAACAAGAAGTACGCCGACGAGGTCATCCGAGAGTGCGAGGAGGCCTGGGAGACCCTCATTGCCGGAAAGGCATCCGACGACAAGGGCATTTCTCTCGAGAACACCACTCTTGAGAACACCCCCACCTTCACTGCCTCTGCTTCCATTCCCGAGGGCCAGAACCTTGCCCCTGCCCCCATTGATCAGAGCATTGACAAGTGGTTCTACATCTCTGGTGCTTCTGTCTAAACAGAGTCCCTAGTGTAGTTTATATATAGTGCAAGAAATTGTTGATACAAGTGAGTGAGTGAGTGGATGTATGAGGAGAATATGTAGTCGTTGAAGTGATGTGACGATCAATTGATTGATTGGTGCTCTAGGTTGAATCAGGATACAAGTGCAGTACGAGTATTTGTACCGGTAGCTACTTGTATTTATGTCAAGTATGTACAGTATATCGTTTTGTTTTTGTTTTTTTTTATGTACTGTAAATATTTGTCGGGTAGCACTCGACGATACAACATTTCACTTCTAATAGCAATTGATAGAGGCGACTTTCTCGACATGTTGATACACATCAATCATGCTATTCAAGTCCTTCTTTCAGTTATCGACAACTGTTTATGTCGGTTTTTGGTCGTGTCCTCTTGGGTATTTACTCATAACCTGTGAGAAATGGAAACACCCACACACGCACACCAGAATGCCACCAAAACATGCACTACAGAGTCTACATTGAGGGTATAAAACGTGAAAAATGAGGGGGGGGAAATTGTTTTTAAATAATTGAGTAGATAGAAAGATTGTTTCTCCTCTTTGGCTTGATATCACGTGTTTCGACCCCAGTGTGTACCCTCCCTCCGGTCACTGTTTTTGATTGAGCTTGCTTGTCTACATTGTTATGCATATTAACTTTGAAATTTTACAACCCCATCAACACACTATTGAAATGGCGTCTCTATGGACCTATGAGAGCGTGTACTACTTGCTCAAGAGTGGCCGTGCCTCCGAGGACCAGAAGCAGTCGCTTCACACGTTTTTGACCGCCAATCTCAAGGATCTCCAGACGTGTTGTGACCCCATTTGTGACCCAACGGTTCTGGCAGCGGTGCGGTTCGAGGAGGATCGCAAGGGCAATGACGTGCACAAAAAGGCTGGCGAGACCACCAAGACCAAGATTGAGCAGATCAAGAAGCTCAAGGACACATCCATCAACGGATCCACCGTCAAGGTGCCCGAGGAGGCCGTCAAGGATGCAGAGCTGGTTCTCAACCACCTCAACGTGTCTGTGGCCGAGGCGGTGCGAGTCGTCATGTCGTTCCCCTTTGGCACCACCGACGATGCCAAACGGGTGCGGTTGTACACCAACCGGATTCTTAGCGAGCGACGTTTCAAGGTCCAGGTTGTGTCTGAGCTGTTCTACATGTCTTCTCGATTGGCCAAAGCAAACGGCAACCTGGGCGACCTCCCTGACGAGTTTGCTCGTAAAATCCACACCAAGGGCTTTTCCAGTCATGTTCTGGAACAACTTGTGCGAAACGCCAACCTCAGTACATACTGTCGACGAGAGAAGGAGCCATTAGTGGCTGGAAAAAAGTACGAGAGTGCAACAGACATTCTCGGGCTATTGCGATTTGCTGTGAGTATGATCGGAGAGTCTTGAAGAACGCTTCTGGTAAGGACACGAGGTTATAGAGCGAAGAACTCTGACCTCCAATTATTTACACAGCTAACTAACACAGTCACAAAGACTCCAGGTGGAGATTCTGAAACTAGCATACAACGGATACTACTTTTTCGACGAGAATCCGTCTGCCGCTGACGTCAAGCAATGGTTCGAGAGCCTGGACAACCTACCGTTCCTGGGGGAGTACTCCGAGGCCTTCTGCTACTCGATTCTCATTTCTCTGGTTCTTCTCGACCTGGACCAGATGTTCGACGTTCCATCAGACCTCGATGACCGAGTCGATCCTCCGGAAACTGACGAGCCCATCCCCGACAACGTTTACTTTAAAGACCCTGCAACCCTGACTGCGGTCAATAACATCATTCAGGAACATATGAATGAGGAGCTCTGGAGCCCCATTGTTCTGGCATGGTCCCATGTGCTTCAGCGAGTCACATTCAGACAGGAGGAGACCAACGATCGGGCTCTGGTGCCCTTTATCGATCAGGTTTCGGCTGACTGCAACGGCCAGAGCCCCTACATTGTTTGCACACAACTGGCCAACCAGTCTCTCAACCGAGGAGTGTTGGCAGTAACACAGAGCGCGTACCGAGGACTGGCAAAGTCCGCAGAACACACCATGGTCTTCATGTCTCTTTGTCGAGCCAGTTTCCGTCTTGTTCCTTTGACGGAGGCGTTCGCAGAGCTCGTGGCTACAGTGCTGGGTCCCTATCCAGGATACTGTCGATACCTATTGGAGAACACACTCAAGATCAGAGATGCCATGCTAATTGCGCTATCTCGATTTCCCTTTGACATTGAGCCGTTTCTGTACATTATGCTGGCTATGGATGGAGAAACAGCCTTCACTGAGGTATACCAGATGCGAACTTTGATGCAGCAGCTGTTACCCGGATTCAAGGACTACACATTCTCTGAGACCGATACCAACATTGTCACATTGACGGGCGGAGTGCCTGTGTTCCCCGAGTTTGTCATTCCTCCTGGAACCTCCGGTACTCTTGTTCCCGGTGACAACATACCTCCTCTGGTCATGTGGGCAACGGAGTTCAACGGATGGGCGTACCTTGGTAAGCTTCTTTCTCAACTGAGTGGTCGAACGGCTGCTCTCATCATTAAGCTCATGCGAAAGGTGATTTCCAAAGTTGATGCTGAGGTTGCAGACGAGCTGCTCAGAAGTGCATCCATGTGGGAGGAGGATATTGTAGAGGTGATTGCTAAGCACCTGGTGGACGCTTACGCCAACCAGCATATTTTTGTGGCTACCGAGAGTGTCAAGTTTTTCACAGCTCTGTGTCGAATTCAACCCGATCGAATCTGGCCCTTCCTTTCCCGAGCAGGAATTCTTGCTCAGAACGGACGGCCGGGATTTGCAGCCATGGTTCTTGGAAGCACAGAGATTGTCAATGGCGAGTACTCTTTGACTCTGGCATTGCTTGATTTGGCCGATACTCTTGTAGAGAACGCTGTGGCTTCTTCCATCGACTCCAAGGTGTCTGCCAAGGAACAGAGCGATGTGCTGCACAAGCTTACACGACACTACATCGACGTGTTTGAGTCGTGCAGCTACTGGAAGTACGTCAACAAGGACCAGCGTGTGGAGCTCATGTCCAAGAGTGTGAGAATGTTCCAGCAGACTGTGCATTATGCCTTTGCCATGGATAATGTTGTGCCTGTACTTCGGGCTAGTGCAGAGTACATTCTGGAGGGATTCCTGACTTCCACGGGCGAGGACCTGGGTCCCCAGAGACCTCTGCTTACCTGTCTGGACTCTACTTCGGTGGAATGGGTCAATGCCTCTTTGGAGTTCCTTACCAAGATTGTGGAGGCCCGAACTAACCTCGAGCTGGCTCCTTCTGTGCTTGAGAAGCAGCTCTTCTTGGCCAGTCCCCAACTCGTTGAGCTGTACCAGCAGTTCCCCTTTCACAAGAAGGTGATTGATCTGATGACTGCTCTTGTTGATTCCAGTTGGGTTGATTGTGAACAACCCTCTCTGTTGGCCCATCTGGGGCAGTTTCACTCCCAGTTGCTTCTCAAGTCGCTTATCGCGTCAATGGAGAATAATTTGGAGACCACAGAGACTGTTATTGGCATCTGTGCATTCTTTGGAGCTGTCGTTGACGGTTCTTCGCGTCAGGATGGTCTGTCTATTCTGCTGGTGACGGAGAAAGACTCTCTCTTGGAGGTGCTTGAGACCAAAGCTCTTGAATCCAAGGACTACTCGTCGAGAGTGTTTGTGCATGTCATCAAGGCCATTGCTCTTGCTCGAAACACCTGGTCCACCGTCACAAAGACTTCTAAGGATCGACTCACGAAACTGGTTGGAAAGATGGTCGAGGTTGTTGATTCTGTGCCTCTGCAGCTTCCGCAGGAGATCAGAAGTCCCAAAAAGTCGTCCAACAAGACGGTGACTGTCGAGGCTGCGTACCAGCGATTCTCCGCTGCCAAGGCTGTGCAGGTGATAGCTCAGGAGCTATTCAAGGACCCTGAGACTGTCGGAGCTCTGATCAAGTCCAAGTGGGGCTCTAAAATGCTCAAGCTCACCAAGTCCTTCTCTTCCATCCAGCTGTACAGATCTTCTCTTCATGGCAACCTCATTCGCAACTTTCACGCAAAGTGGAACATGGAGTTGTTCCAGTTCCGAAAGAAGGACCCCGAGTACTACGGATCCAGCTTTGTGTATGATCTGGAGGACATGAACGCCGTTTTTGGCCCTTCTCTGGGTGAGTTTGAGTCCGAGATTGCCGAGGCCAACCTCAATCTGTCTCTTGTCAACTCCGAGACGGAGCTGTCTCTTGCCTGGGGTCAGCTGCTTGTGGTGGCTATTGACGTCAAGATTGCCGAAAGCCTGGGAGACATTGTGGTTGCATTGATGGAGATTTCTCTGGGTGGTATGATTGCTCCCGTGTTCGAGGGCGTCTACAATGCTCGTCTGGAGGTCATTTTTCACATTCTCAAGTCTCCCGAGCTAAAGGACGTCGACGTCACGGAGGGTCTGAAGCTCTGCTGGGCCATTCTTGAGTCCACTGACGTTTCTTTCTTGTCTTCTCTTTCTGGCACTTCACGACTCTATAAGCCTGTTTTGAGAAGCATTAGCATCCTTGTTCGAAAGGCTCTCGAGAACCCTGAGGCAGATATGGCGCAGGTCCTGCATGGCATTTCGGATATTGTGCTTGCCAAGGGCTCGTATGCTCTTGCCAACGCCATTCAGTATGACGTGAGCCACAAGGGGCATTCTGGCGAGACGGTGGACGTTGATTTCCTGATTGAGGATCTCCGAATCATGGTTGTCTTGCTGCGAAACCTGTTGTCGTTTGAGAACACTTGTGTACCTGTTTCTCTAGCCCAGTTTGCCCTTAAGATCCAGGACACTGGGAGCATTCGGTCTCTTCTGTCGCTGTACTCGTACTCTCAGGAGATTGATCCCGTCTTTGGCGAGCTGACTCTGCTGTTCCTGCTTGAGTTGCTGCAGAACGATCAGTTGTCCGAGCAGGTGGTTTTGAACGGTCTTGTGGGAGCTCTGACTGAGGCTCCCATCTCTCGAGAGATTCAGAAGGGTAGTCTTCACCAGGGCCGACTGTACTACATCTGGATCCGGGGTATTCTCCCCATCATGCTGACCGTGCTGGTGAGGCTTGGAGGCCGCATTTCGCCGGAAATCACAATGCTGCTGAGCTTCTTCCAGCTGCAAATCGAGACCGCCATCAGAAACCTGATGGAGCCCGTCACCATTTCGCTGTCGTTCGTCGACGAGCTGCAGCAGATTGTTGTGCTCTTGCAAGTGGTCCCTAACGACCTAAAGGACACCTACAAGCCCATCATTCTGGACGGCATTGCGTACCTGCAGAAGCACCCCAAGCTGCTGGCGTCGCTGACCACCGTGGGTAACACGCAGGAGCAGCAGTTGCATGAGGACGTCAACGCCAATGGCATTTCCAAGTTGGTGACCAAGATTCTGGACCGGCTGGCGGAGGTGGCTACTCTGGGGGGAGAGGGAATTGAGGAGTATTAGAAGGACTATAACAATAATGATTGTATATTCTATGACGCGAGGATGTGACCCGGTCTACTGTTCTTGTATCTACAGTGAGAGTCTCCAGACTTGCTGCAGAGCAAACGTACAGTACAGTACATACGATCGTACTCGTTTGGTAGTTAACGTATTTGTACATCTGTAGCCCACCAAATGCACTGACGAACTCCCGAAAAGCGGCCCGAGAAATGAGACAAACTTGCCGTGAAGAACTTTGAGACAACGACTTGCGACATGTCTTACATCGAGTACTTGTAGTTGAAGCACTGGAATGTATAGACGATTGATGGTATGCACCGAATATGCGATTATTATTGGACCATTGACTTGTTAATTCCAAGTCTTTGTCGAGGGGGGGACCAAGGTTCGTCTCATGTTAGACACATCGAATCAGAGGCATATGTTGTGAAAAGTTGATTTCTGCGGGTGCGCGAAAAAAAAAAAAAACCATTTTCAAATGATCTACGATGAGTCTACAACCAGAGTGTCAAAACAAGCAAGATAGAAAGATTCTATTTACAATGATAAATATCTATACATAAATAATAACCAGGAGTCGTCAACTGAATGGTCAAGTCCTTGAGCGTGCGTAGCGCCATATAATTTAAGCATGTTTGAAGCAACATCTGTCGTTGTAGGCGCAGGTGCCGGTCCGCAGCCAGTTCTGGCACAGCTTGGAGCGCCACTTAGGCGGCCGGTCCACGTTTTTCAACTCGTGTTCGCCGTGGGCAAACTGGCACTTTTCGCCGTACGAGCACGAGCCCGTCTTCTGGAACGACGAGCACATCTCTGTCTTGTACAGCTCGGAGTTGATGTTGGCCTTTCGTCGGGGCTGCTGCTGGGGCACGGCGTTGGCGGCAGTAGGCGTCACGGGAGCCATCTGCGGCATCATGCCCTGCATGTGCATCCCGTTGGCAAGAGGCTGCTGCATGGCCATGGGGTTGGGCATGCCGTTGGGGGGCATGCCGTTGGCCTGGTGCACGTTAGGCTGCATCATGGGTCCTCCCATGTGACCACGTCGCTTGTCTTCTCCCCAGGGATCAAAAGGCTGCTGGGGATACTCCTCAAAGTAGGCAGCGTTGGGAGCCCCGGGGGGCACGGTGGCCGAGGTGGGGGTGCCGAAGCCGGTACCATAGCCCAGAGCGCTCAGCGACACGGACGAGTTTGTGTGCGTGGCAAAGTTGGACGAGTGGGCCGATCCAGCGGCGCCGGGGGCAGCCGCAGGGTCGTCAAGGTAGCTGATGTCGATGCCTGGGAAGTCGTTGGCCTGCGACATGGCGGCCACGACAGAAGGTCGGGGAGCTCCCTGCTGCTGCTGCTGAGGCGCCACGGGTGCTGCGGGCTGCGACACGGTTGAGCCCGAGGAGCTTGAGGGCGTGGGGGCCTCGAAGGGAGCAAATTTGGACGTGGACGAGGCCGACGTCTGGGAGGTAGTGGAGGAGTCGTCTCCCCAAATGTCGGACTTGATGCCGAGCGAGAAGGGTGACGAGATTCGAGTGGAGGTGGGACGTGAAAGGAAGCCGCTGAAGAGCCGGTCGTGCTGCTTAGACGAGCCGGTGCCGGGAGCGGCTCCATTCTGACTAGCGGTCAGGTCGGCGGTGGATCCCACAGGTGAAGACTGGGCCGAGCCGTCCATGGAGGAGACGGTGGAAGATGCAAACGAAACGGGTTTCGGGTGGGCCAGAAGCGAGTGCTGGTGCTGGTGCTGGTGCTGGTGCGGGTGCTGGGGTTGCTGGGTCGGGTTGGCTGGGTTGCCGCCCTTTCCATCTCCGTATTCAAACGACATGAGCATCGGTCTTGGTGTGGGGTGTTGAATAAATAGGTAATAAATAGCGTATAAATAAGGGTAGCAAAGACTTGGGTCGTGACGTTCTCGATGCTACTATTTTTTCTCGTTTTGTCGTTGCTGCTGCCAAGTATATCGTACTATGCCCGGTTTGTTTCCCCCCTCTTCTTCCGATGAAACACAAAAACACAGAGTCGCTTGGTTATCGCCTTGGTGGTGCTGAAAGGTTGTATGCTAAGAGTAGACAAGTTTGCACCTGCTGGGAGAAAAAATCCCATCTCAATTCTAAAACTTTTTACCGGTAGGGTAAATCTGCAGGTGCAAACAAATCCTGTGGGGGGTGGGGCCCTCTGGGGAGTCGCCGAGCAGGAGGAAACCGCATGGACATCTCCTGTGCGCCTTCAACTCTGTCTTGCCGCCGGAGACCCCGTCTCTTGCGACCCCTTTTTCGCCTCTACTGACGTTCTATTCTACCCGTCATCGCCCGTCCTTTGTAGTGCTCACACCTCTTTGCCCAAGGTATTTTAGCTTTGGGACAAGCGTCTGCGACACGTCATTCCAGCTAACCCAATCCGATTGGCTACTTAACGGCCCTCCAGAAGAGCCCACGACCTTTTGTTACATTTGCCATGCGAGGTTCACGCTGCTGAGCACGTCGCATTGTGGGCGGATCCGAGTCGCCCTTGGACAAGAGCTGCCCGGCGCCCCCGCAGCCGTTGGAAAAAACAAGAACAATCGGGCGGCTGCAAACGGCTGTACACGTAAAAAAAACTAGTTAAAAAACTTGTTATCATGTTTCACCCGAGATGAGTGGCTGACCAAAGACAGTTCTGCGGGGGTACAAGTCATGTGATGGAGACAGCTCCCGTGTTTGACAAGGTGAGGAGGTGAGGAGGTGTAGGGGTAAAAGGACACAAGTAAAGCAATGTAGTGTCATATTGTGTGTGTTTGACCAGTTGAAGAGCACGATACTCGCAGTTGCGTGATACACCTCATTATGGACCTCCAGATCACCTTATGGTTCTTTTTTTAAACGCTCATCGCATATTTCACTTGATAATCGTAAAAGGCTGGGCCGAGTATGTACTGATCCATGAAGTCTTGAGAGCGTGCCACCTAACAAGTACTGACACAGTAATTCACGACAAGTACTCGTATAGTACATCCCGTACAGTAATTCTCGTACCACCACTCGTACAGTACATCACGTACAAGTATGTACTCATACTCGCACTGCAGAATTAGCTTGGACAGTCTCACACAGTAATTAGGACCCTGTGACATGATCTTTTAGTAATTCAGTACAAGCATGGCATGGGAACATGTACAGAAATGCCTGCATACTATTACTGTACTATAGATACCATGATTATATGCATCTTTGCGACTTGGGCTGCCTGCAACAGAATCCCCCAAATATGCAGAAACAACTACCTATTCACGTTGTCAGGCGGCGACGATGAAGGATGCGATAAGATGCGATAAGATGCGATAAGATGCGATAAGCATGCATGTGACCTATCGGGGTTCCGAGACATGTCACATTGCAACCAGTCGGGTTTGATTTGTTAGATTGCTTTGTGCTACAGTAGTCCACTTGACGCCCCGGTTTGGCTACCATTCAGCGTGACATCCGGCGTTAGTGTGAATAGTGGCTGGGTTGATTTATCGGGGTTACACGCTCAGTTGATAAAAGAAAAAACAATGGGTTATATTAACGAGCTCAGCTATTCAGCTCTACCACTTTTACCCTTCTAGCACCCTCAGCAGTATGGCAGTATGATGTACGGTGTATGGTAGTGATTGTACGTACACGCCTTCTGCAAAACGTCAGTCCAGGAACGTTTTTACAAGTACAGTATGTACTGTTCTCGCACGACCTTTCCTCCAACCGTAGATTCACAGCAATGAAGGCCATTAGATCAACGTCAGCTCTTCACTTACTAATGTACGAGCGTGTAGATCCGCTAGGTAAGTACAGCAGTACAGTATGTACGTACTCATAGATACAAGTACAAGCATATGCCACTGAGTACTCCGGCCTGTCTATGAACGATATGGTTATTAGCACGCAACAACAGTCTTTGTCCAGTGATCACCAGTAACCGTGCAGACAGAGGGTTATCTCACATGGCCTACATGTTATCTCACATGAACTACGTTATCGTTTCTTTGTCATATCGTTAAGAATAATACAATGCTCTATATGTTAAGTCCTGTTTTTTGGGGGGGGTGTGTAAGTGGGAGATGCTTAGAAAGTAGTCTTCTTACCCTTGAACTCGCCAAGGGGAGCGGTGTTAGCGCCGGTGTTGAAGCCGCCTCGGCCACCTCGGCCGCCAAAGCCTCCTCGACCGCCTCGACCGCCGAATCCGCCTCGTCCACCTCGGTCACCACCGAAGCCACCTCGGCCACCTCGGTTACCGCCGAAGCCACCTCGTCCGCCTCGTCCTCCGCCGTTGAAGCCACCAGCGGGCTTGGGAGAGGTGTAGTCGAGTCGGAAAGATCGTCCGAGGTACTCGTAGCCGGACAGACCCTCAAGGGCTGCCTTGGCCTCGTCAACGGAGCCAAACTGGACGTAGCCGAAACCCTTGGGCTGCTCGGTCTCAGGGTGGGTGGGGAGTCGGATGGAAACAACAGATCCGTACTCGCCAAAGATGCCAAAGAGATCGTCTCGGTTAGTGTCGAAGGACAGGTTGCCGACGAACAGAGTGTCAGCGGGCTCGGAGAGCTGGTCGCCGTACTGAGAAGATCGGTCTCGCTGCTTCTGCTCGGGGGTCTGTCGAACGTTGGTAGAGATATCGAGTCGAACGGTTCGGCCGTCAATCTCCTTGTCCTGGAACTCCTCGACACACTTCTGGGCGTCAGCACCAGAGGCAAAGTCGACGTATCCGAAACCCTTGGATCGACCAGTGGCCTTCTCGGTGATGACTCGAGCGGAAACGGCGCCAGCATCAGCAAACTCCTTGGTGAGCCAGTCGTCGTCAACGTTCCAAGACAGACCGCCAACGAAGACGGTCTTGAACTCGGGCTCAGCGGCAGCCTCGGGCTCAGCGGCAGGCTCGGCCTTGGTCTCGGCCTTGACCTCAGTCTTCTCCTCGGTCTTCTCGTCGTCAGAGTCAGAGTCGGAGTCAGAACCAGAGTCGGAGTCAGAGTCAGAAGAATCGGAGTCGGAGTCAGAAGAGTCGGAAGAATCCTCCTTCTTGGCCTTCTTGACAACCTTCTCCTCGACCTTCTTGTCCTCCTTCTTCTCGTCGTCGGAAGAGTCAGAGTCGGAGTCAGAGTCAGAGTCAGAGTCGGAAGAAGAGTCAGAGTCAGAGTCGGAAGAGGAAGAGGCATCGCTCATCTCCTCATCCTCGTCGTCGGAGGAGTCGGAGGACTCGGAAGAGGACTCGTCCTTCTTCTTCTTGGAAAGCTCAGCAATGGACTTCTCGATGGCCTCGGCCTTCTTGGAAGAAACCTTGGACTTCTTGTCAGTCTTGGAGGGCTTGGAAACGCCCTTGGAAGCAGATTTAGAACCCATTATAGAAATTTTTTGTGTAATGGAGTAGTGTGATGAGGAGGAGAAAGTGCCCTTACTGCCCTTCTTATTAGATTTTTCGCCCTGCAAAATTTCTAGACAAACTTTCCTAAATTTTTTCAATCGGACAAAGAAATCTCATGCACTATATGCACCTCCCTGGAGCCTAATTGGATAGGTCATGTGACTTGGCCAGCCACGAATGGGAGGTGGATGGGCGTCTATGGGTGCGGAAACAGCTCCAGTAGGGACCCACGGGGAGTTCTATGTCGTTCAAATCTCGTTCCAGGCTTCCCAGCTGCCTGCTCGGCGCCAATTCATCTTTTATCGCATCTCTCTTTGATGCTGTGAGGCTCTGTATTCTTTTGTGTTTTTTTTTTATCGATGAAGAAAATTTCCACCTTAAAAACTTGAGGCGGAAAGAAGCTTGTGGATCAATCCGTTTGGGGGCGCCCAAACGAAACGAAAAGAGGTACGGGGCACGTGAGACAAACAGGCGAAACGCCGGGACTCGCTAAATCGACTCCACACGGAATTCGAACAATTTCCCCCGCCTCTGTGTCGCTGTAGAGCCACTTTACATCCTTCTCTCGCATGGTAGCTAATCGCACAGCGTCTGCATGTACCGTATAGGTCGTCTCCGGTTAGAGATGACCCGGCCTAACCACCGTCATGTACGCTGACGATAATGGTGCATGTCCAACGGCGAGAGGGACGGAGTAACAAAGTAAGAAATTTGCCGCGGCGGCTCTCCAAACACAAGAGGTGTCTGCAACTGTGGTACATTACAGACAAAAAGAGACATGATGGCAACCGTGTCTCCGACTTATGCTAGAAGCTCATGGTCTCCCCTGGCTGGCCACAAGTGCTGTCAACTTCTTACCACTCAATTGGATCGACGCAACATTGCTACACTAGCTTTCAGTTAGGTTTCAATGGAGGGTGGATGCTGAGCTACTGCGGCGAATAGTCGTGTGACGGTCTATTCTTTTTTAGCTTGGCCCAAGACAAGATGGCTTAGGTAAGCTGGAACAGTGATGAGATGGAGGTAGGAGCGTGTGCCGTGGAAAGACTCTGGTGGCTGCGAGTCTTCAGGATGGAACATGTTACATGGACACTTTCAGAGAACATTGATGCTGATCGAGACCCTCATCATTACAGGTATTGTACTGCTTCTGATGCTTGCACTGTAATGCCAGCCCTTAGCTAAAGCATCGAGTCTCTTGAAGGTTAAGGCAAACACACTGAAAGGACATCAGTGAACGTGCTCCTTACCATCGAACATGCTCCTTACCATCGAACATGCTCCTGACCATCGAACATGCTCCTGACCATCGAACATGCTCCTTACCATCGAACATGAACCATCCCCAGATTGGAGGTCCTCTTCATCTACATTACCTGTTCGCTCGTGACCTTTGGCCACTCACTACCAAGAAGAAGTATTTTATCCTATCTACACATGTTCCTTTCCAAAGGTCTCATTTCCTCCATGAGTGTCCCTAACAGAGTGTCAACGCCATCGTACCTTAGAGCTGCTTCACGTTGGAACCGTCGTAGGCCAACTCCTGGACCTCCCATCGGCAGTCGATGCCCTCCTTGTTGAATCGCGACACAATCTCCTTGGCGATTGTCTCGAAGTTGTCGGTGGCCAGAGCCAGAATGGTGGGCCCAGCGCCAGACAGACAGATGCCCAGCAGACCCTCGTGAGTCTTGGGGGTAACGGAGGCCAGAATCTCAGGCAGACCGGGGATCAGGGTCTTTCGGTAGGGCTGGTGGACCTTGTCCTGCATGGCCTGATAGATGAGGTCGGCCTGGGGAGGCGATCGGGTGAGGGCGGTGGTGAGAACGGCCAGTCGCTGCAGGTTGAAGATCATATCTGAAGCAGTGTAGGCAGTGGGGAGCACTCCTCGGGCCGAGGCGGTGGAGACCTCAAAGTTGGGAATCACCACAATGGCCTTGATTTCTCGGCACCAGTCGTACTTGATGTGGTGTCCGATGTTGAGAGGAGGCTCGGGGGGTACAAGGCCGGTATCTCGGCCTCCGGCAGGCTCGGGGAGAACCTCAGCAAGGGGGATCTCCACTCGCTCGAGATCAGCAGCAGACAGCTCCCGCAGGTAAGAACCCACAAAGCCGCCCATCATGGCTGCGGTGATGTTGTCGGGATGTCGCTCGATCATGAGACAATAGTCGAGCATTCGCTGCTTGGAGAAGCCCAGCTTTCCGACCTCGTTTCCGAGCATGACACCAGCCACCACAGCCGCTCCAGACGAGCCCAGACCTCGACCCAGAGGAATGGGGTTGTTGACGTGCACAAAGGTGCCCGAGGGGAAAGATCTAATGCCGTTGCATCGCAGAACGTAGAGAGCCACTCGGGTGACAAGGTTGTGGTCACTGTCGAGAGGAACGCCGTCAGCTCCCTCGCCCTCGTAGGTGATAATGCAGTTGTTGGGGTCCTTTCGGTCCGAGGTTTTGGACGAGTCGATTTCGACGTTGATCACGAGGAACTTGGCCAGAGCGAGGCCGAGCACGTCGAAACCGGGACCAATGTTGGCCGAGGACGCGGGCACAGAAATTTCAAACTTTCGAGACATTTGTGGTGGAGTGTGTTAAGTCTCTCTGCGACTGATTTCGGAGTATTCAGTCATTTGGAAAAACTAAACCTTGTTTAGAGACGTGTTCCATGGAGGGTCTGGGTCAACTGGAGGGGCTCAAATGCAACGGAAGCAGTGAAAGAGCCACAAGCACACAAGTACACAAGTCACGTGATAAAACAACAGGATGGAGTCTCGAGAATCCGCCCCAACCCCTCTCTTCTGCTACATCAACTGCTTATCTGTGCCATCCCCCCCCACAGAGCCTAATCAGTTCATGTCTGATGTGAAATCCAGGTTGTGGCTCAAAATGAAAAAAACTTGTGGCGGTGTAGCTGAAACGGTACAACGGATTTGTGGCTTGTGTGGAGTTACCAGGTTGTTGGAGTGTGACTGAACCGCAAGTTTGTCGAAATGCAGCTTGCAAACCTCGACTTTCCAGCACCGGCATCGGCCCCCCGCCCTCATGTGCTTCCACCATGTCTGGTCTCCCCTCGCAATGGCGCCCATAGCCGATGTATCGAGAAGCACCGGTTTTTCGCTCTCTTATTGGTGATGTGACATAATTGCGGTTGAGAAGGACAGATGGTGCAGAGTATATGGACAAGTGCAAGACTCGACATGTATATATATATATACACAATGTCCGTTTGTGTCCATGGAGCGTAGAGACGTATATCTGACATTGTTGTGTGGGTAAGATGTTGACATGGCGGCAGCAGCTATCGTAGTCAAGTAATACGATACTGTAGCTGTAATATTCGTACACCAGTGATGGAGGGCTAAATTGGTACGATAAGAGAAACTGCGATTTTTTAGAAAAGTGGGACAATAACGACAAATAGTATACTGTAGTGTCTTGTCGGTCTTCTCTGCCTTTCGGTGTCACTTTTAGCCGCCCAAAAGGTACCATGCCATGTCATCGTCTGAACTAAGACCTGGTCCTGGCCCAATCTCGTCCAAATTGCAGCTGGTTGGACCCCATATTGATTACTAAGCCACCATTAGTAACTACAATACGGGCACCTTAGTCATTTCTCCCATCCACACAGTCCAGAACAGCCCACTAATTAGAAAGTGGCAAACTGCGTCTGTCATGTCTGTCATGATGGGGAATTCTGGGGGTTGAACGGTGTAGAATGGCTGAAAGGAGAGGGGGGAAAAAAGAGAAAAAATAACCATTAAATCGGGTGGAATTTTTGTCACCCGAGAAATATCGGATTTCCACCAATAGACCTGCATGCCTCCGAATATGACCAATAATCCACTGTCTGCCCTCTCCAACACGTGACTTATGTATCTAGCGCAGACGCATCGCTATGAAATTTCAGTTGGGTTATTATCGCAACAAAACACACACAAAAAAAATGCTTCGGGGAATCAAACGTGTGCCTCGACTCAATGTGGGTGCCTCTAAGCGGCTATACTCGACCGAAGCCGGCGACACCAAAATCCACACTCTTTCCAACGGCCTGAGAGTCGCAGTCCGACCTTCCCCAGGCTTCTTCTCAGCCCTGGGTCTCTATGTCGATGCAGGCTCCCGGTTCGAGCCCCGAAACCTCAGTGGCGTCAGTCATATCATGGATCGACTGGCATTCAAGCAGGCGACCCAGCGACGGTCTGCCGACGAGGTTGCTGACACCATCGAGTCTCTAGGAGGCAACTTTTTCGGCTCCAGTGCCCGAGAGAGCATCATTTACCAGGCCACAGTGTTCAACAAGGACGTAGAGACGGCTCTGGCGCTGCTGGCCGAAAGCGTGATTGTGCCCCAGATCACCGAGGAGGACGTGGGCGAAAAAAAGAAGACCATGGAGTTCGAGCTGGACCAGCTGTGGAAGGAGCCTTCGCTGATTCTGCCTGAGGTGGTCCACATGACTGCATACGACGGCACTCTGGGCAACCCTCTGGTGTGTCCCTACGAGCAGCTTCCCCACATCAACGCCCGGGCCGTCAACGAGTACCGGGATCTCTTTTACCATCCCGAGCGGTTTGTTCTGGGTTTTGTGGGAGTGCCTGAGGAGAACGCCATTGAGCTGGCCGAAAAGTACTTTGGATGGATGAAGCGGTCCGATAAGCAGCTCGAAAACCCCGCCAGTGTCTACGTTGGAGGCGAGCAGTTCATGGACGCTGCCGATACCGAGTTTGCCCACATTCACGTTGCTTACGAGGGTCTTCCCGCTGATGATCCTGATGTGTACGCTCTGTCTTGTCTGCAGACTCTGCTCGGAGGAGGAGGCTCCTTTTCCGCAGGAGGTCCCGGAAAGGGTATGTATTCGCGACTCTATCTCAATGTTCTCAACCGGTTTGGCTACATTGAATCGTGCCAGGCTTTCAACTACCATCACAGTGACTCCGGTATCTTTGGAATCTCTGCCTCGTGTGTCCCCAACGCCGCTCCCTACATGGCTGACGTTATTGGTCGACAGCTGGCTCTCACTTTCACCGAGGGCGAGGGCAGTCTGACTCACCAGGAGGTTGAGCGAGCCAAGAACCAGCTGCGGTCTTCTCTGCTGATGCAGCTCGAGTCCAAGGTGGTGCAACTCGACGATATGGGCCGGCAGATCCAGCTGCATGGCCGAACGGTGCCCGTGACGGAAATGTGCAAGAACATTGAAAACCTGACCGTCAAGGACATCAAGAGAGTAGCCCAGCGGGTGCTGACCGGCAACTCCAACAACCCCGGCAACGGCAGCGGCAAGCCCACAGTTGTCATGAACGGAGTGCGAGCATGGTTCGGAGACGTGGAGCTTGTGCTGGCCAAGTACGGACTGGGAAAGCAGTCCAAGGGCGGAATTCACACTTCCTCTAGAGCCCGAAACGAGGCCAGAAAGAACTGGTGGTGATGTACATAGATAGTAGATAACGATGACAATCAAGTGGGCATGTAGCGTTATAGAATCGAACACACATCTGACATAATCGTACTTACCGCATGTCTCACTCTTTTATTCTCTATTTGTAATTTTTTTTTCTGTAATATGGAGATCTTTTGAACACCTCTTAACTACTTAGTTGGGTCTGTTGTCATTGTACTCGAGCATGTAGTTAACCCAGTTTCGTTACATGACCCACAATATGCACGGTTTGTCTGTGCAGTAGTTAAACATCGAGCCAACTTTCAGTCCAAACTTTTTTGATCAATGCTCAGAACAACGACAAGAAGGCTGGTAGCCCGAGGCTCAGCAACTCGCAGGACGTCGGTGCGGCAGTTATCGACCGTGGACATTGTGCGCCCCGTGGAAACCGCTCTCAACGCCATCCACGACTTCTCGGGCTTGCCGTGGTGGGCCGTCATTCCTCTCGTCACACTGACTCTGCGATCTACCGTGACTCTTCCGATAGCCATTTCAACGCGGCTGCGAGCACAGAAACAACACGAGCTGAGACCGTTGATATCGGCGCTGGGACCCATTTTGCGGGCAAAGCTGGCTTTCAACGCCAACAAGGCTGAGACCGCTCTAACGGCTCCCCAGATCGAAATGCTGGCCATGAAAGAACGCCGGAAACGACGGGTCAAGCTGTACAAGGAGCACGGGTGCGAAATGTGGAAGTCGCTGTTCATCGGACCGCTCGTCCAGCTGCCCATCTGGATCACAATGTCGCTGGCAGTACGAGCAATGTGTGGATGGACCGTGGTCAAGGGTATTCCTGTTGTCAAGAGCATGGGCACCGAGGGAGCGCTGTGGTTCCCCGATCTGCTCATGATGGATCATTCGGGAGTGCTTCCGGCCGCTGTGGGCATCATCACGCTGCTCAACGTTGAACTGACTACCAAAGCACAGGCCCAAGCGATGGGAACAACGGGGTCGGAGGGTCCCAAACTGCCCAAAATGATGGCCAACTTTGCCCGTGTCGGAGCCATTGCATTGTTCAGCATCGCCGCACAAACACCAACAGCCGTGTGTCTGTACTGGATCTCATCGTCGGGCTTCTCGCTGATCCAAAACGTGCTTCTCAACAAGTACATGCCTCTCCGAGAAGAACCGCCAATGTTCACGGCGGCCAATTACGAGGCACTGGAGAAGATTGGCAAGACGGATCAAATCGAGGTGATCATTCCCAAACTGAAGGGGATCGAACATTAGTTGCATGCATAGATAGAAGAGGGCCGGGATGGAGTATATAGGGTAGACCCGAGGACATGTTGGACTATGACAACAAGTACATTATGAATAAATACATGACAGACATATAGGTACAAGTGCAAGCAGACAGAAGACTCTGTGGCTTAAAGTCTTGTTTGTCGACGTAACAAACGACGGTCTTGCGATGGCTGTTTGATCTCTTCTAGCCTAGGCCGTTGAGTCTATCTACGACGTCGTTTCGCGGGTCGCTCTTCTTCCTTCTCCTCCTTCTCCTCCTTCTCCTCCTCATTGGTCTTGACTATCTTCACATCTTCCTGCTCCTTTTTACCGGTCTTGTTTGTTCCCTTATCAGCATACTTGTCTCTCATACCCAAGACCCACGCTTCCTGCTCGGCTTCAACGGCATTGAGATCTCGCTGATGACCCCATGCCACAATGGCATTCAGGAACTTTTCATAGGCCTTCAACGTGTACGTGATTTTCACACCTGGACAAACGTGCGCAAACGCCTCGTCGCTGAAAAACGGCACATTGACGCTCATGACAGACCCCAACAGAGACGCCGTAGCCGGACCCACGCCTTTCAGCTCACTCAAGACCTTGATTGCTTCGATGATCTCGTCACCTGCAATCAGATGAGCCGCTTTTTGTGTTACTTGCTCCACCTCCTCGGCCCTGTTCGATTCCGCGAGCTGTTGCAGTTTTGGACGGAACGTGCCGCGTTTCAGCTTCCAGGTCATGAGTTTGGCGAGTTCACCGTGGGTCAGAGCACGGGGGTTTTCTCGTACGTCATCAGACAGCTGCTTACGCCACTCGTCCAGCTCGGCCAGCGTCTCCTTGCCTCCCTTCTTGGCCGACTTTGACGCCTTCAGCTGGAGCAACTCGTGGTAGTCCATGTGTAGAGTTTGGACCCCTCTTCACCATGTGCGTGCGCTTGAAGAATACATTGGCTTAGTAATATACATCCATTTATAAATACATGCTAATCCTGGGCAGAGCCGTCTCGAGGTCGGTAAACCACACCCTTGCTCTTCAGATCATCCACAATGTCCTGCGGCAACTTTCCATTCACCTTGACGGCATACAGACCGGGCTGGAAGCCGTCGATTCGCAGCCACTTGGACACCCACGATGAGCTGGGGTCACAGAGCGCCACCTGGCCTTCGAATGCTGGGGGTTAGTCAAAGCTTCAAACAAAAAGATCCATCAATTGTCGTCCCTCTTCATACTCACATGGACTGGTGCAGTCCTGTGTCAGACTATCGTCGGCCTTCATGTCGAGCACCGAATCGCAGTTAGGACATCCCTTGGAAATGAAAGCCTGGGTTAGTAGGTGAAACAATAGATCAGGTCACGTGATACTCACCTTGAGCGGCTGGACGATTCCACAGAGCATACATGCTCGCTCAGTTCGAGTAGACATGGTCGTTGGCGTGTTGGAAAAGTGCTGGCCCAGAGTTTGTCATGCGTCTCACAGATTATGACATGGTAGTGTGAAATGAACTTAAAATTTGTGAGTGGATGGAGTGAGATTGAAACGGTGCCAGGTACTGTACCTGTACAAATATGAAAATATATAATAAAAATTAAACCAGACTTGAGTTATTGCTCTCTTTTTTTGGTTATTTTATCGATTTAGGCATATTTTTTTGAGCTGTTACAGCCCCGTTTGTACATCTAAAGTCGCCTCCTAATAGACACAGTATATACAGTTCTTGGGAGTATCATCTTCGCACCCTTCCAACTAAAAGTCCGAGTAAAAATGGAAGTTAGATATTTACTAAAAATCTCATAATTCATATAAAATAACTATCAAAAGGGTATTTTATCTAGCCTCATAGATTTATTCCATCCCGCAAAAGTACTTGTTCTGACTTGTATATTGGTCACTTTCTACAAAATGTGGAACACGGCATTCAATCCCCCAGTCCATTTTTTTTTAAGTCAACTAAAGTCTAACAAGAGATTATTTATACGCAATTCTACCAAGTCTACATTCTGCAACCGCTCCGCTTCGGCTGCTTGTCATGGGTATAATGTATTTAAATATAAATGAAATGAACGATTAAACAAAGGAGGGCTCAAAGTTGGAGTTGTTGTTGACGTACGCCTCCAGCCGTGACTTCCAGTTCTCCAAATCCTTCTCCAGCCGTAGAGACTTTTCTCGCAGCTCTCTAGACTCTCGCTCTGCCCGTCGAGCCACCACCTGGTACTGCGACTCGCTTCCCTGTGCCTTCTCAACTGCTTCCACCAGTCGGTTCACCTTGGCCTCCGACTTGGCAGACTCCTCCTGCAGTCGCTTTACCAGCTGGTCACGCTGATCAAGCTGATCCCGGAGCTCACGTGCCTGACGGTCACCTCCTCGAGACGACTTGAGGTCAGCAAGCATATCCGACTGCTGCTGCTGGAGCTCTTTCTCGAGCTGAGACACCCGCTTTCTGAGGGCCTCGGTATCCCCTCCTCCAGAAGACAAAAGTCTTGACTCGAGATCGAGAATCTTGAGGTTGAGCTCCTTGGTCTGCTGCTCTGACTCTCGCTTCTGAGTCTGCATCACCCTGCGCTCACGCTCCAGAGCGGCCAGAGCGTCGGCAGCAGACTTCTCAGCAGTTCGAAGCTGCGTGGAAGACACCTGAGAGGAGGTTCGAGAGAGAGGCGTCTCACCGTGGCTCTTTAGAAGACTCTCGAGATCAACTGCCATGGTAGACACACGGCTTTCAAGAGCTCGTTTGTCCTTGAGCAGCTGGTCTCTGTCAGTGGCAATCTCGTCCATGGTGGTTCGCAGATTCTGAACCTGAGACAGCAGCGAAGCAACCCGCTTCTGGGCCTCGGAGTTGGCCTTTTCGTCAGCCTGGGCCTGCTGCTGAAGGTCGTGCACCTGTGCAGCCAGCCGGTCGTGCTCGTCGCGCCATTGCTTGGCCTCGGACTGCTCAAGCTCCCGCTGACGCTTCATAGCATCAGTCTGCTGCTGCAGCATCATGTTTTGCTGTCTTAGGGAAGACACGTTCTTGGTCTCGGCTGCCAGAGTCTTGGTCAGCTCAGCCAGCTCGCTCTTAGAACCCTCAAGACCCCGACCCTGTTCGGTCTCCAATCGTTTATGGGACCGCCGAAGAGTCGCCACCTCCATCTCCTTGTCCTCCAGCTGGTTCTCCAGACCCCGAACCTCAGCCTGCAGCTCAATCAGAGCAGTCTCGGCCTTTTGACGCTCGGCCAGAAGCTGTGATCGCTCGCTCTCAGCCTCCTGGCACCGCTGCTTGGCAAACTCCTCTGCTCGAGACGACTTGAGAATCGCAATCTCGGCAGACTCAATCTTACCGTAATACTCCTCGGCCCGCTGTCTATACAGCTGCAGATCTTCCTGAAGATCACGGTTTCGAGACCGCTCGGCTTCAAGCTGGAAGTTCATGTCAGGCTTGCTGGAGATAGAAGCCTTACTGGAAGGACGCTCGGGAGACATGTCTCGGGCAGAGACATGAGATCGGCTTCGTGCCTCTTCAGCTTCCTTGGCCAGAAGCTTGTTCTTGGCAAGAGCTTGGGACAGCGCTAACTCAGCAGCAGCAAGCTTCTCCTTCAACTTGGCATCCATTCCATTGGAGTCTCTGTTGAGATGAGACACAGCAGAAACAGAAAGAGGACGCTTGGTCTTGGAGGGAGAAGTGTACGAGGTCAGGTTGATGTCCTCATGCGATCGTCGAGAAGACAGGTTGTCGGTATCAGCAGACCATCGTTGCTTGGCACTTCGGAACTGCTCCTCTGCAAGCTGCTTGCCATCCTGAAGAGCCTTGCATCGACGTTCAGACTCTTCAAGGCGGGTGGCAAGATCAACAGTGGACGAAATAGCTTTCTCCAGAGACTCGGGGTCGGAAGGAAGGGGCTTGTTTGGACCAAGGACAGCTCGGTTAAGAGCAGTAACCTGAGACGTTCGAAGCTCCACAGTCTCAGTCAAGGAATCAACCTGGCTCTGCAACTTGCGGCGAAGAACAGCAGTCTCGGATCGCTCTCGTCGCTCCTTTTCAAGAGCAGCCTTGAGCTCGGTCACCAGCCGTTCCTGCGACAAAGCAGACTTGTGGTCCTGGGTGTTGTGATGCTTGAGATCCTCGATTTCTCTGGCCATTCGCTCTCGCTGCTTCTCGCCGGTACTGTACACAGTCTCCAGCTCAGACAGCTTTCGTTTGAGAGATGCCACATGGTCATCGGACTGCTGCTTCTCTTGAGACGACTGAGAGACATGAGCCAGACGAGCTTGAGTCTCAGCCTCGACCTGGGAACGCAGCTTGGTCAGCTGGTTGTTCTTGACATCAATAGCCTCTCGCAGAACAGCCAGCTGGTCCTTATCGGCACCAGAAGCAGAAGTGAGAGTGGCAATCTGAGAAGTCAGAGCCTTCTTCTCAGTTGCTAGAGCGTCCAGACGAGTCTTGAACGAACCAGCATCAGCAGTGAGCGCCTCGTTCAAAGTGCGATGCTTTGCACTCTCGTTTCTCAGACTCTCTACCTGCGACTTGAGAGACAGCTCGCGAGACTTGTCCTGACGCGTCAGATGCGCTGCCTCGTCCTGGGCCACCTTGAGATCGGCTTCAACCTTTGAAAGAGCCCGCTCAGCAGCACTCTGGGCGGCTTGGGCCTTCTCGACCTGGCTCTGAAGTCGCTTGACCTCCTTGTCAGCCGACTGCTTCGACTTTTGAAGACCCTCAACCTCAGAAGACTTGGCAGAGAGCTCAGACTTGACTCGAGACACCTCGTTCTGAGTCTTGGAAGCCTCAGACTCAGCCACGGTTCGTCGACGACGCTCCTTGGCCAGCTCCTCCTTGAGAGCTTCGGTCTCGAGCATCATCTGGGCCGCCTTTTGCTTCTCCTCGCTCTCAGACTCCTGTCGACGAGTCTCCAGCTCCTGCTTGAGCTGCTCGTGGTTGGCAGACAGAGTCTTGATTTCCTCGTTGGCAGCAGCCAGCTCAGCAGAGACAGACTCATGCTTTGTTTCAAGAGACTGCTTCTGCCGAGAAATGTCCTCCAGGTCCTTCACGTGACGGTCCAGATCGGCCTTGAGCACTGCCTGCTCCTGTTCCTTCTTGCGCACAAGCTTCTCATAGCCGAACGACGTGGCATGCAGGTCTGCCAGCTGGTCTCGGACTTCCTTGTTCTCACGGATGAGTTCTCGGATCCGTCTGTTGGCAGAATCAAAACCAGAAGTCGCAGCAGCAAGACGAGACCCCAGCTCTTTCTCCGACTCTTCCAGACGACTCTCTAGCTCCTCAATCTTGGCTTCTCGCATGGCAACGCAGTTTCGGATCATGGAAAGCTGTTCGTTGAGTGACTCGGACTCGGTCAAACGGTTAGAGTGCTTCTCAGTGGCCTCGGCAAGCTCCTTCTCGATCGACGCCATACTGGTGGCCAGATCTGTTTTCTCAGACTCCAGCTTGCTCAGCAACTTGGCACCATTGTCAAGCTCCTTCTTGAGAGTGTCTGTCTGCTCATCAGCTCGCTTCTTAGCAGCCAGAAGCTCCTCCATCTGGGTCTCCAGCTGGTCCAAATCCTCGTAGGCCTCTTCTAACTGAGCGGAAAGCTCAGCCTCCTTCTCCTGTGACCTCCTGAGAATCTCGTCCTTGTCGGCAGCTGTGGCTCGCTCAGAGGTAAGCTTCTCCTCAATCTTGGCAAGCTCAGTCTCGGCCTTCCGACACCGCTCATCAAGACTGTCTCTGGTCTCCACAATGTCGGCCATCTTCTTTTCCAGACGCTTGACCTCGGCATCCTTGGCACGTCGCTCAACAATGTCCTTGGAAGTTGCGAGAAGAGGCCGCATCTTGACGTACAGCTTCCACCACTTGTTGTCCTTGAGGTGTCGGTACACAGAAAGGTTCTTCTTGATAATAAGAGCAGCCTCGTGTCTGTGCTGGGCCTTGAGGAACTTTCGTCGAGTCATACAGCCTCGGGCAAGAGACTGGAAGCGCACAATCACATCTCGAACACACGACTCTCGCTGCTCCTCAAGCTCGGCAAGAACGCCAGACTTGAAAAACACCTTAGTCAGACCAACCCGATAGAGATTGGTGTCCATCTTGAGACCGGACAGAATGTGCTGACAAGCCTTTTGACCGTCCATAAAACCTTGGGGCATTGGAACAAGCACCTGGTACCGCGACTTGAAGTCTGAAAATGGCAGACGGTTGGGGAAACCAGACCGGGCGATTCGAATACCTTCCAATACACCATTGCATCGAAGCTGATCCAATACAAGTAGAGAATCCAGCGACTGCGGCTGCTTCTTGTGGTTGGGAATGATACATCGCACAAAATGTGGATGTGTGGCCTGCAGCCGGGTCATCAATGAGTTCAGCTGCTCCTTGTGTTTCTGAGCAACCGTTCTAAAGATTCCCTTCTTGCCTCCCTTGCCTCTAGCTGAAGTCTCTCGAGCGGCCTCCTTGGCCTCCTCCTGGAACAGACATCGAATATGGGAGTCGGAAGACTCCACCAGAAGCTCAATCACATTGGCGTTAAGAGGATCCTTGTTCTTGTCCAGCCACCCCTCGGTTGAATATTCAACGTCAGCAGCGTAGTGAGTGAGCACAAAGCCCTGCTTGAGCCGCGATGACTTGTACTTGGGCGACTTTTTGTCCCACAGCTGATGCAGCTTCTCGGTGAAGGTCTTGTCGGATGCCTTGGGCATTACACAATCTTCATCAAGGCACGAGAAGATACCGATGGGGTTGGGTTTCTCAATGAGATCGATGGTGGGTTGCAAATCGTGTCCAAAATCGACGTACTTCCACTCAATGTTCTCTCGAGCATACTCTTCTTGTTCAAGCACAAACATGTGGTGGTTGAAGAATTGCTGGAGCCGCTCGTTGGTGTAATTGATGCACAGCTGCTCGAACGAGTTGACCTGGAAGATTTCGAAACCTGCAATATCCAGAACGCCGATAAATTGGGTATCTGAGGCGCCGCTCTGGAGACATGTGTTGATTCGGTCGACGATAAACCCAAAGGTTCGTTCGTAAAGCGACTTGGCCAGTGAGTCGAGCGAAAACCGTACCTGCTCGGTCGACCGGTTCTGCTGGACCCACTCGCGGCCAGCCTTCACCTTGGGATGCAAAAGACAGGTGACAAACTGCTGGGTAGAGATTCCGAGCAGATGACACAAGCGCTCAGCCTGCGAAATGTCCACGAGGCGAGCCTGGTTGACTCCACTACCTCGCGTGCCTTCGCCTGCTAGCTCAATGTTACCTAAATGGAGAATAGCAGAAAGGGTCTGGAAAATGGAATGCTGTTCCTTGTCGGTGAAGCCCATGATCTGGAAAGACTTTTGCAGCACACCAAACTCGGCCTTGTCGTTGACACCGGGGATCTCGTAGTTGCTGCCCTTCAGATACGAGTGGTCTGCAGGGTTGACACTGTCTTTGATCAGCAACTGTTCTCTGAGCTCCGCGCTGGCTCCAGACAAAAGCTGGTAGAAGACATGGTAGTTTCGCTCACGAGAGTTTTGTGAAATGACTCGAGACTTTTCCAGCAGGTACCAGTCGATCACAGCTCCCGCAATGGCGCCAGCTCGCTCAAACTCGATGCGAATGAACTTTCCGAACCGAGAAGAGTTGTTGTTTCGCACAGTTTGGGCGTTTCCAAACGCTTCCAGAATCGGATTAGCCTGCAAAATCTTGTCCTCAAACGTGCAGTCGTCGGCAGAGGCATGCTTGCCCTCCTGAGCCACGGCCGCCAGGTACTGAATCACCTTCTTTGTGTTCTCAGTCTTGCCTGCTCCCGACTCTCCCGTCACCAGAATCGACTGGTTCTCATGAGCCTCCATCATGTTCTGAAACGCCAGGTCGGTGATGGCGAAAATGTGCGGAGGCACCTCGTCTCTGTGCTTGTTGCGGTAGCTCCTGATGGTGTCTTTGTCGTAGATGGGGAGCGATCTGTAGGGGTTGATGGCCACCAAAAAAAGCCCAGAGTATGTCTGTGTTAGAAGGCCCAGCTGTTCAGAGGCGTCAGCCTCCGGCGGTTCTCGGGTGGCTCTGTACTCACGTAGATCATGTCACTCTTGTATCTGCTTGCTAGGTTGGCAATGACGGCAGCTTCACTCAGAAACGTGAGCTCGGCCATGTCGCTGGCCATGTTGAATTTTGGTGGGTTGACCTTGTCTGTGTCATTTATCTTGACCACGCGGTTCTGTGTTAGTTTTCCTCTGCGAAAATTGCTTGCCAATGCCATCGTCACCACAACAAACTCACCTCATCTCCACAGTTGACGGTGTAATTGTCACCCTCCTCGGAGACCACGAAGCCCTTGATGAAGCCCACGGTCGGGTCGGCCACCCACACCCACTTTTTGGCGGCAAATTCGGCGTTTTCCGCCTCGAGATTGTTGGTCATGTAAGGATGTGTGTTGCAGAGTATTTTCAGGAAAGTGTTTTGGACCTGGCCCTGGTTCCCAATCCAGCTGAAACAAAACATCATCACGCACATTTAGAGTTTGGCGCTGTTGTCGGGACAACGCGCCCCGGCGCCCCCCAAAACGACGCTCCCCCCCTAAGAATAACGCATAACAAACGCGTCCAAACACGTCAAATAGGCTTGGCCCACTCCTGATACCAGAGCTAATCCTACAGTCTTGTTTGGACCGTCCCGCAAGTGGTTAAATAGCCGTACAAGTACCGGGTATTCTACAAGTAGCTATAGACTAATACACAGCGCTGACATGACTCAAGTCGACACGTCGATTATTAGGCGAATACGCATGACAAAAAATCGACAGACTGATATTACATCCCCTCGAAAATGTGTGTTGCTCCTGACGCTCCTGTATGCATGGTAACATAGGAGACGCGCTCTGTACGAGTGCCCAGTACCTACGTGCTCGTCTGTGATAGCCACCTTGAAGGGTTGTACAGTCTCTCGCATGTAGAAGCGGTTCAACAGCACTGCAAATGTTTTTTTTTTTTTTTCTTTTTTTTCGCTCAGCCACTTTGTTTTGACACCTCCTCACATATTATTATTTACAACAGAACAAGTACGTAGCATTACTGTAGGCAGGATTCGGTAATTGCGGGGGTAATTTTGAAGAAAATATACAGGAAGTGGACAACCCCCCCCACTTGTATGTACTACATCGTCAATGGAAGTGCGAACATCCGTGTTGGTAGCACTAATTTTCAGAAAGTAAATATACACGTTAATTACACAATAAATAATGCAGAAGAGAGACTAGAAAATGACACTCTTGCCACTCTGCTGACCGTCCACCCAGGACTCGACGGGGAAAAACAGCTCGCTGGGAATTTCGCCAAAAAGATCGTTGTTGTTAACTTCCTGAGGAGCCGGGTCGGCTTGCAAGTTGGAACCAGAAGGGGGATTGGGGAAGTACAGAGACGGGAAGTAGCCTTCCCAAAACTGCATATCAAACTCCTCGGAGCCGTCTGTTGGGGCGGGATTGTTGTTGTTAGGGGCAAACATGAGCGGCGGTCGCAGCATTTGGTTTGCAATGACATCGGGGGACGTAGATGATACCGAAGATGTGGAAGAAGCGTCATGAGGAACAAAAGGAGGAGTAGGTTGGCTTACATCCCCTCCGGCACCCTGCTGCTTCTGCTGCGGCTGCTGCTGCTGTTGCTGGTCAGGAATCGGATGTTGGTGTCCCGTGGGACCTCTGAATGCCGATCGAGAGCCGGCTCCTGTGACGCTGGCGGCTGATTTTTTATTGGCAAACTTTTTGTGAATCACGGCATACATTCGCTCAAACAGCGCGTTGGCCTCCCGCGCCACAATGGACGTAGGCACAAGCTTTCGAATCAGCTCCTTCATTCGCTGCAGAATGATCATATCTCCGTTACTGTTGGGGTCGGTCTCCGACTTGGAGTGCAGGTACGACAGACCAATGAGACAGGTGGCGTCAATACCGTGGTACAAACATACACCAGAGGTGAGGAAGGTGTACTTGCTGGTGAGATGGGGACGTTCATGTAGAGCAAGTACAATCTGCGAGATTCGACGAGCAGCCTCCCAACACCGAATGAAAGAGTACCGGTACGACTTGTGGTAGTGCTCAGTGTAGTGGGGACATCTGTAAGCCCGCATGAAGGGTTTGTGCAGAATCATTATGGATCTCAGCAGGATACACTCAATGATAACTGCTGTGATTTCGTCCTGGGGAAAGGGACGTGTGGGGACAACCTTGGGATCTTTGACCGTCGCAAAATCCTCAGGGACACGGAATCGAGCACACGAACGGTTCTCAAGCACACTTTGGAGATGTTTATCGACAGACAGAATGTAGTTGTAAGACACAGGTTTGGACGAAAACACCAGCCGACGCACAAATGCCTCAATTGCTAGGGCTCGGTAGACAACAACACCTGCCAAAATGATATTGTCGCCCTCAACGTTACCAGGAGACAGAGTGTCGTACGAGTTTTGAGACACAAAAGTTGGTCTGAAAAGATGTGAAGCTCGTTGTCGGTCCAGTGCGACGATTTCGTACCAGATTCGGCGTCGGAACTCGGCCTCCACAGGGTCTGTGGTGAAGTTTGAGGGGTCTCGGTGCATACCCAGAGAGTAGGCCAGGTCGACAATGGTTCCGAAGACAGGAGTAGTGACGCATCCAAGAGGCGACCTGATGGAGGCAGACACTTGGAGCATCACCAGAGAACCCAGAGTCTCCACACTGGGTCTGTTGATCATACAGGCAGCATCCAGAGACTGATGGGCAGCCAAATGAATGGAGTCTGCAATGTTATCAACAGTAATAGCTCCGCCGGCAGGCAAAACGCCCTGAAGATAGAGTCGCGTCTCATCGTTGAGTGCATAGGCTGCGACAGAGAAGACAGACAAGACCAGCGACACGTTACTGAGTTCCGCCTTTTGGTCAATGATGAGCTGGAACTTGTCTCTGACCCAAGGCTCGTGATGCAACGGCCAAAAGTAGTAAATATGCTGGAAAAAGTAGTTGAGCAGCACTGATGACACCGGGTGGTACTCGGGGTTATGAATGGGGTACGCCGGTGTTGTTTTCAGCCTTTCTTGTTGGACCTGTCCTCCAAAGCAGAAATCCGAAGTCATATCCACGTTTCCATAGATGGTGGCGCAGTGGTAGCCTGGGTTGACGCTCATGAGCGACGACGACCACAGTTTGCTGCCTGTGTGTCCAATGAGCGTCAATCTGTTTATACCCACGTTATCGTCTCTGGACGGCTCCTTGTATTCCTGGGGTTCTTCTGGCGAGCCCTGGGGCAGTTCTTCGGCGTCCTTGGTATCTTTCACAATGATGTTCTTCATGACCAGCGACGGCATGCTTTCTTCCAGCACATGTTCATCGTCCATGAGTCGCTTGAGCCGGTCCAGGTCTTCATTGAGTCGCTTGTTGTCGGCCAGCAGTCCGGCCATGGACGGAACGTCGGCCTCGCAGGCGTATTCGCACGTCAGGCCTCGTTCCACACATCGGCCGCAATACGGGCGTTCTCGGTCGCACTTGGTTTTACTTTTGAGACACGAGGAGCAGTTTTTGGGCACGCGCTTTCGCCGCTGTTTGACGGGATAGGGCGAAAATCGTTCCACCGACGAAGGCTGGATCGGCACCACATTGACCATGGGCTGCGAGTCGGCCTTGCGCTTGGTCGGGTCTGCACCTGCTTGAGAGAGATGGTCCATGTCTTGATGTAGGCCTTCTCGTGCAGTATCCTATCGTACTGTAATGGGGCGGCGTTAAGGGGTCTTAAAAGCGCCTGGGCTGCTAGTTGGGGTTTTTGCCGTTGGGAGAGGATTTAATGACATATAACCTTGTGTGCTCGAGGCGGTCGGTGGTTGATCCCAGACCAAACCTTGCACCTTAGCTTTTTGTGGGGTCTCACTTTTCAGCCGAGGCAGTCCAACCGGGAAGTGATAGCAACGCCACCAAGCAGCTGCCGGGTAAGGTGCCGGGAAAGACGGTGAGATGTGAGAGGTGAGATGGTGAGATGTGAGGTGGTGAGACGGTGAGGTGGGCGGCTAAGATGACGGGCAAAGTGCTGGTCGTTCGACGGGAGGGCTTGGACGTGTCCTTTACCCCCGCAACGGCCACGTCACTGCCACAAAGTGTCAGCCGTATTGCCTCTTTTTGTTTTGTTCTCTTCTTTTCAGTGCACTCGTGGTGCACCTCCTACCCCAGCATTTTCATATGCCGCAAGCCTGCAAAGGCCGACGACGTTCGGAGATTCTGCGGACAAGCTTCGAAGGCATCGCACATACCAGGAGCGGCAAGGAGCTAGGTAGGTAAACCATGGTAAATCATGGTAAAACGTTGGTGGCAAATGAAAAGGGGGCAGCTACCTGGAATGAACCAGAGATTTGAACCGGATGGGGATTCGTGTGACCACTCTGGATGAAGCAGCTCGTCTAAATTACGGGATGAGATTTTTAACTGAAATTGGGCATTCCAGTAGTTTCTGGACGATACTTGGACTGGACGATACTTGTAATAGTACAAAACAAGCAGCTCATCTGGTTATGGTCTGCAATGATACACGCAATGTCTGATTAGACGTTCTTATACTTGCTTTAGTCCACCTCTACTCACAAACATTGTCGACATTACCTTGATGGAATGAACATCAGTGACATTGTACTGTAACTATAGTACAAGTAGCTTGGAGATGGACCTTTCAACCTCTTTTTGATCCAGTACAACTAGATTACAGCATATACTTATATTGTACTAGTTTTGTACTTGTATCGAAGTTATTTATCTATGCACTGTTCTTGTATCGTAGGTATGTACTGTTCTTGTATGTATCGTAGTTGAAAAACAGTTATTGTATGTATCGTAGGTATATACTATTTTTGTATCGTAGGTATATACTATTTTTGTATCGTAGGTATATACTGTTCTTGTATCGTAGGTACAGTATATACTGTTTTGTATCGTACATACTCGCACTGTACTCAAACAATCAATGGTAAACACCTTTTAAATATGTGTGGATCTCACCTCATCTCGGAGCTGATTAATTTGGATTTTTGGATTAATTTATTATTTAATCGCATAATATCGTACAAGTACAGTACATACTACAAGTACAGTACAGTACATACAATACAATTATCTTCCGTCTTATCTTAGACTCCCTTGTACATACTCTACCCATCGCTCTGCGTCTGTACACAATCGCTCCAAGGAAGTGGCACCGCACCGCCAACCTTCTTTTCAACAGAAGAAGCCCACCTTGCTACAACGTACCTCGTACTGTACTTGCACATACCCTACAAGCTTGTCTGTACTCCAGCTCTACTTCTACACTGCCCATTGCTACCCATGTTCCCCATAGGAAGGAAGGGCAATAGCCAGGACAAGGGGCGCAAGAGACCCCTGCTACGGAGCCACCTGTTGCCCATAGGAACTTCGCGTGATCTCCCCGATGCTGCCAACACGGCCTCCACCGGCATGGCCACGGCCACGGCGCCGTCTGCGGTCGCTTCCGACCTCTCAAGCTCCATGTTTGTGCGCAAGGCCGTGCCGCTACGCTACGGAACCGCCCCCAACACGGGCGTTTCTAGCGTACACAGATCCAACACGGTGCCCGCCCATGCCGTCTCCAGCAGAGCGCCATCGGTGCACCCAGACAAGGAGCGCTCCAAGAGCGCAGAGATGGCAGCCGCAGTAGCTGGAATCAGACCTACCCCGCCGCCCGGGCGTCGGCTGCTTCCCGTACCTGCCCACACTCCTGCCCCCGTCCGTTCCCATTCTCGCGTCCAGCCGCAGACACCCCGAATCGACTTTCTGCCACAAAAGAACCCGCTGCGAAGAGCAGCAACTGATACCTGGGATACCCGCACGTCGACACAACTGTCGACAATGCGCTCGTCGTCGTTCGGGTCGGTGCAAAGGACTGAAGACGACGAAGACAACGACAACGACAACAGCAACGACAACGACGACGACGGCGAAGACAGCGACACGACGCCCCAGCCCACGCCCATCGCCAACAAGTACCTCAACACTGCTGTTCCTCTGGGCGACGTGGCAACTGCAGTGGCCCCCAATAAGAATGCAAACTCCAACCCGGGGTTCGACATCAAATTCAGCTCTCCCACGTTCGACCCCAAGAACAGCAGCACCGAAAAGGACGTGGAAAAGGGCGAGGGTGGAGAAGACGATGCAGATGGCAACGAAAGCACTGACGACAAGAACGAGGTGGAAATGGCCTCTCGCACTGCCAACATCCACTCCGCACAGCCCACCTTTAGCTCCAACCCCGAGTACTTGTGGGAGCTCGAAGACTTTCAGAAACGACGAGACGAGCGCAACAACAACGCCAGACACCTGATACGAAAGACAGAGGACGAGAAGCGACATGCCGAACGACGCAACAAACTCCTACTAGTTATTTGTTGCGTGCTTGCAGCGGTGCTGATTGGCATCACTGTAGGTATGACTTCGACCATCCATCGGCTTGAAAGATCAAATCAAAAACAAGGACTGGTCAACCAGAACAAACAGCACAACGATACCCAAAGAACCGACGGCGGCATGTTACCCATTGGAATCGATACCCTGACAGATGCAGCCAAGCTCGCAAGCATTCTGTCGGATACCTCTTTGCACAACGTTCTCTACGGCATTGGCTACTCGCCCCAGAACGTCATGACATCCCAATGTGGAGTCAACCAGACGGAAGTGACCTTGGATGTTGCTGCATTGTCTCGTGTTACAAAGCGGATCCGACTTTACGGCACCAGCTGTGACCAAGCCCTGTACGTTTTACGGGCGATTGATTCCCTCAAGGTAGATATGAAAGTGACTCTCGGAGTGTGGATCAACGGCAACCCTGTAGTTTGCGCTGCGCAGATTGCTGAAGCAATCACTGCTGCTGAGCAGTTCCCCCATTTGATTGAATCCATCATGGTGGGTAATGAGGTGTTTTTCCGCGGCGAGCTCGCGCCAGCCAAACTTGTGGGCTACATGCATGAAGTGCGGACGGAGCTACAGCTTCGCAACCTCACAATCCCCGTGGGCACCTCCGAGCTGGGCTCTCAATGGTCTCCGTACATGGCCTCGAATGTGGATATTCTAGGAGCCAACATCCATCCATTCTTTGGAGGCCTTGAAGTGTCTGAGGCGACCACCTGGACACTCAATTTCCTCGAGTCATTTGTCGTCAACGAGATTACAGAAGCCGAAAAAATACCCCAAATTGTGATATCCGAGATTGGATGGCCCAGTGGAGGTGGTCAACACGGCGCTGCAAAGTCGGGTGTAGCGCAACAGCAGCGACTCCTACAAGACTGGGTGTGCACGGCCAAGGACTTGCCGCAGATTGGATGGTACTGGTTCGAGGCGTTTGACGAGCCGTGGAAGCGTGTGTTTGACACCCCGACTGAAAAGTGGGAGTCTCAGTGGGGTATTTTGACCCCTGACCGGCGTCTAAAAAAGGGGTTGTCGCTGAAAATCAGCTGTAATTAGTGTCGTTTCCACGAGCAAAATAATATGTAATTCCTACCGTTCAAGTTAGGCACCATTTCTTGGTCTTGTGTTGTTGTGGTGCGAGTTCTGTTCAACAGTGCTTTCCACTATTATTAAGCTTTATCAAGCACTCTTCTTGGGTCTTCTTTTATTTTCTTAGACATTCTTTCTACAGTAGCCATAAGGTTGTTGGCGATCTAAGGCGTAACGGGAACATATTAATATGGCCACAAGCTGTGGATAACGTGTATAAGAGTCTGTATTTCCAGTTTCCAGCCACTAGCCGCTGGATCACGTGACTTGTAGCCGCCGAATGTGTTGTGTCTGGTTTTCTCAGTTGATCGTTTTCACTTGATCGATTAAGCTTTTGGCATTGGGGGTTGGGGAATCGTTCTGAATGTCGTCTCTGGGTCACGTGTGCGCATTTTAGCTGCTTCCAAACTGTTAAGATCCACTTTTTCGGCGCCTGTATTCTTTCTTATGACTAATACGGTTTCCTAGATCGGCAGCAACGTTTCCGTCATGTCACACAGGCAGCAAATATGCTCGTGAGAGATGGCAAACCCAATTTTTGCAGATGGTTAATAAAGCTCCAGACCTGTACTTTTCAGATCAAGCAACATTGGACGAGTTTTTTGACGACACAAGCACGATACTATGAAGGTGAGTAAGAGAGGTGAGGAGTGGTAATTGGTGAGAAGGGGGTTGCTGCTGTCCAACTCGAAGACCTTTTGGCGGTTTGAGACGGTATGGTTATGAGACGGTATGGTTATGAGATGGTATGGTTATGAGACGTTATGAGATGGATATGACAGTTATGAGACGGTTATTGAGGAGACAGTTGTTCTAGCGACATGTTGAAGCTATAGTCATGTCTCTGGAGAAAGCTGTTGAAGGAGCGGGGCTGTTCATCGAGAGACACTCGATCCATGTCTGTCGTCTATCGATCAAGAAACAGTGACCAAGAAACAATTTTATCAAGAATCTGGTCAGTGTTGCTCTGTAATGATCTATGACTATTGTTTCATTATGCGACCTATGATAGTCCCCACGGGTGACCTACGACCACTCGTTTCCGTGTGCCCTACTAACTCAGCAACGATTCAGTCAACTCGACCTCAAGGTGATTGCGTCTGAATTGCGCAAGTCGATTCTCAATTACCGACTGCAAAACATTTATGACCTGCTATCGTCCTCGCGGCACTTTCTGCTCAAGTTTGCCGTTCCCGAAAGCAAACAGCTGGTGGTGATTGATCCCGGCTTTCGAATCCACACCTCCAACTTCCAGCGACCCACCTCCCAGACTCCTTCCAACTTCGTGGCCAAGCTTCGTAAGCACTTGCGAACCAGACGTCTCAGTGCCATTACTCAGCCTGTAGGAGACCGAGTGCTGGTGCTCACCTTTTCTGATGGACAGTACCACCTTATTCTCGAGTTTTTTGCCGGTGGAAACCTGATTCTCGTCGACCAAGATTTCAAGATCCTGGCACTCCAGCGAGTGGTGTCCGAGGGTGCTAACAACCAGCGCGTAGCCGTGGGAGTCATCTACGAGTTCGACAAGGAGCTACTTAATAATACGGATCCTCTGCAGGTGAGCCGAACAGAAATCACAGCTGATCTGCTACAACAGTGGGTCGCTACTGTCTCCCCTGATGAAGACGACGAAGTGAATGCCATCTCTGGAGGAGTCAACAAAAAGAAGACCCGAAGAAAGGCCAAGTTGCCCTCGCTGAAGAAGCTGCTGTATTCCAATATGTCGGAGCTGTCTCCTGCTCTGCTGGAGCAATACCTCGAAAAAGAAGGAGTTGACGGCAACCTGAGCATCAAAGACGTCGATTTCAGCGAATCTACTGTTACATCTATCGCTGCCGCTGTCAAGGGCTGCGAAGATCGAGTCCAGGAACTATTGGACGCCGATCTCGTCACCGGATACATTGCCTGTGAAAAGAACCCCAACTGGAAGAAACCCGACGAGGAAAAGACTTACATTCCCGGTTCTATCGATCCCTCGGACATTGAGTATCTCTACGAGTCGTTTGAGCCCTTTGAGATTACTGTGGCAGACGGAAAGGTGGATACTTTTGAGGGCTACAATCTGACTGTGGATCGATACTTCTCCACTGTTGAAAGCACTCGATACAGTCTGCGGGTCAATGCTCAAGAGCAAATTGCCGAAAAACGACTCAATGCTGCTCGAAACGAAACCAAAAAGCGAGTTGACGGCTTGCAGCAGGTCCAGGACCGAAGTATTCTTATGGGAACGGCTCTCCAGACTTATGCTGGTCGAGTGGAGGAAGCTATTGCTGCTGTGAAGCAGTTGCAAGATCAGGGTATGGACTGGAAGGATATGGAGCATCTGATTGACCTGGAGAAGAAGAAGGGCAACCCTGTCGCTCAGATGGTGTCCAGTATGAACCTGGAGAAGAACCGTGTCACTCTGATATTGCCTAATCCAGATGTTGAAGACGAGAGTGATAGCGACAGCGACAGTGATATGGATGAAACAGACTCCGAGGGCGAGTCCGAGGAGTCCGGGTCTGAGTCCGATTCGAACAAAAATGAGTCGAAGACTCTCAAGGTCGAGGTCAATCTCGATCTCACGGCCTATGCCAATGCTAATAATTACTTTGATATCAAAAAGGTGGCTGCCCAGAAGCAAGAGAAGACGGAAAAGAACTCTGCCACCGCTCTCAAGTCTGCTGAGCAGAAGGTGAAGTTGGATCTGAAGCGATCCCTGGCCCAGGAACAGCATGCCCTTCGTCCCATGCGTCCCTCGTACTGGTTCGAAAAGTTCTGGTGGTTCTTTTCTTCTGATGGCTACCTTGTAATTGGAGGAAAGGACGCTCAGCAGAACGAGATGCTGTACAAGCGATACTTCCGAAAGGGAGACGCGTACGTCCACGCCGAGATCCAGGGAGCTTCCACTGTGATTGTCAAGAACCACCTTGGGCCCACTGCTCCTCTTCCTCCTTCCACACTTTCCCAGGCCGGTTCTCTGTCCATTTGCACATCCAAGGCATGGGACAGCAAGGTTTTGATTTCCGCCTGGTGGGTGGAGCACGGTCAGGTGAGCAAGAGTGCTCCTTCTGGCGAGTTTTTGCCTACTGGAAGTTTCATGATTCGTGGCAAGAAGAATTTCTTGCCCCCCACTTCTCTGGACGTTGGTCTGGCCATTTTGTGGATTGCCGATGAGGACAGTACTGCCAAGTACGTCAAGCAGCGCCTGGAGCGAGAGAAGCTGATTCTTGGAGAAAAAGCTGACGAGATGAAGGCTGCCGAGGAGTCTGAGAGCGAGTCAGAGTCCGAGTCCGAGTCCGATTCTGATTCTGACGATGACATGGAGTTCCCTGATACTGAAATCAACCTCAAGGGTGGAGATGAAGATGAGAGTGAAGAGGAGGGGGAGGAGGAGGAGGACGAACAAGAGGAGGAAGAGGAAGTGGGAAAGATGGAGAGACCAGCTGTCAAAGAAGCTCCTCCCAAGGGAACATCCAAGTACGACTACGAAGACAAACCCGAGGCCCCTCCATCGAAGATCGTGCAGGATCTGACTGCCCAGTCAAACAACTTTGTGCCCAAAAAGCGACTCACTGCCAAGGAGCGTCGAGAGGCTCGAAAGGCCAAGGCATCCGCGGCTAACAGCTCCCTCAACACTCCTTCTGGTATTGAAGACTCCACTTCTGTCGAGGATGTGCTCAAGGCTCTGACTATGAAGTCTGGGGGAGTTGACACCAGCGACTCTTCTCGAGACGTGACTCCCGGAAACGATACCCCTGTATCTCGATCCGCTACTCCTGCACTCAACGACACTACCCAGTCCGCTGCCTCGTCCGGACAGCCTCCTGCTAAGGTGCGAGGCAAGAAGGGCAAGCTCAAGAAGATTGCCAAGAAGTATGCTGACCAGGACGAGGAGGAGCGAAAGCTGCGAATGGACCTGCTTGGAAGCACCAAGGGTGCCGAGCGAGCTGAACAGGAGGCTGCTGAGCTGGCTGAGAAGAAACGTATCGAGGAGGAAAAACGAATCCAGCGTCAGGAGCGAATCAAGAACCAGGAGATTCGAAGACTACTCAAGGAAGAGGGTGTGGAGCAGTATGACGACGTGGACGAGGAGGAGTCCCGAACGCAGTTTGATTCGTTCATTCCTCGAGCCCAAAAGAACGATGTTGTCGTCGGAGCCATCCCCATGTTTGCCCCTTGGGCAGCTCTGTCCAAGTTCAAGTTCAAGGCAAAAATGGTGCCTGGAACCGTCAAAAAGGGCAAGGCCGTCAAGGAAATCGTCCACAAGATGACCACCGCCAAGACGGACCCTACCATGCAGGACACCGACATGCCCTGGCCCAACGAGATTGATATCATTGGAGGACTCAAGGACACTGAGCTGGTACAACCTGTGGCTGTTGGTCGAGTCCGACTTGTCATGCCCGGTGTCCAGGGAGGTTCTGGCCCCTCGTCTAAGACCAAGGGCTCCAAGAACCGAGGCAGAAAGAAGCGATAGACCATGTTTGCATATAGTAGTAATTGACCATGAAGATGATGTAGATGGAAGACATTTGGTACGATACTGTACTTGTAGCCCTCAATGGTACAAACAACGAGATTTTAGATGATTTCTAGCTACAACAAGTCCAATAGATGACAGTTTGTCACAGGACTTACTTTCTGTTCAACGACAGATTATGACCAGCAACTCATTGACTCAATGAGACGACCCTTCAGCGAACAGCCGACACAAAATCGCATTGATTATTTGCAAGTATGAGTACAAGTACAACGCCTGTAACTTCAATGGTTCTTGGTTCAAGAATTTAGTTAGCACAATATGCCGGTACTTGTAGACGTTCACCGCTGAATGTCATTGTGATGAATAAGCGGTCGATACTGTTCAATTGAGCCTGTACAATCATGTTTACACCCGCAAACTTGGTCTATTGTCCAAGTACAAGTACGCAGCTCACAGCTGTCGCCTGTCTTAGTTACAATTTGATCAAGCGTAACAGCACTTGGAGGATCGACTAACACTTCAATACGACTATTCAATTGAACCAATTACGATTGCAAAACACACAAAAACACAATATTTATCTATAGTACAGTACTTGCAACGCAAGCAGATGGCCCTCACCGAGCAGCTGGGTCACAGTCGCGCTACATGTTGCACAAAATCCATCTTATTACCTCCATATACATCCTCCATCTAGCTGAAAAACTTGCCAGCTCGCTGCGACCACTTCTGGTACACGTTCGAGATGGTTTGTTCGTTGATCTCCACTCCTCCGTACGCAATGCTTTCCTTGGCGGGTGCGGGGGTGACTCTACTTGCGATGACGACGGGATCGATCTCGAGAATGACGCCCGAGTCGACGGCCTCATCGATAGCCAGAGCCACCAGGTCAAAGTGTTCGAGCACAGACCGCTTGTCGAACGAGTGCTTGAGCAGAATCTCCAGCGCGTCCTTGATGCCGGCAACCAGCTGGTACAGCATCACCTCGTTCTCCTCAAACGATCCGACCACGTACAGAGTCACGTCCACAACCGTCTTGTACACGACCACCTTGTTGTCGAAGATGATGACGTCACCATTCTGTCGATGGGTTTTCTGCGCCAGGCCCTTTTCGAACGTCTGCTGGTCCTTGAGTGTCGTCAGGGTCTGAAGCTGCTCGTGTGATTGCACGTCGCCGTGTGGGGGCGAGTAGTACTTGGTGAAGAGTCGCTTTCCGTCCTTGTCCAGCAGCAGCACTGCCTCTACCGAGTATTCCGACGTCATGATTCTGTGTGGTTGTGTGAATGTGTCGTGATCTGCCGTTCTAGAGAGCAGTTAGGTGTTATGTTACACGTAGCGAAGTTTAAAATGCCCAACCTCCATCTCCAGTTTAAAACCTTAGTGACAAGGGATGGAGACAGACAGACACACCAACCTAGTGACGACAAACGCGGCACACGCACAATCCGCATAAATACAGACACAAACGCAGCCACAGACACATACGCGGACACAAACGCAGCTATCCTACACCACACACACAAAAGCAACGCACACGATTGCAACACACATCCATTCCTCTCTCCCACACTTCCTCCATGTCAGACTTTTACTTTGCTCTGGCCCGCATATCAGTGGCGCAACTGCTTCGAGTGGCCGGTATCGAACGATGCCCGCCTTCGGTGCTGGACACAATCACAGACCTGTACATTCGGCATCTCGATCTGCTGGCGACGGAGACGATGAATCTGGCGCATCACGGAGGCCGATTTGACGCCATCATCACAGACGTGGCACAAGCCATGGCAAACACACATGTCATCAAACCAGTGGTGCTACTCGACCCCTACGATACCGATCCTCAGGGCGACCAGGGCATGCAGGACTTTGTCAAGTGGGCCAAGGGACCTGGACCAGCAGAGGCCCGGAGAATCAGCAGAGTAGCAAACAACACTGGCCAAGCTACACAGCCAGCAGCAGCAATGGCGCCGTCCACGTACGGCATCACGGCGAAAAAACAAGAGGACGCCGCCCCCCAGGAAGAGGTGGAGTGGCTGCAGGGACTCATCAACAAACAGACCAAGATGGTGGGTCCAGCGCGTTTCAAAGATACCGTGCTAGGACCGTCATTCGAAGACAAGCTGGACCTGAAGATTGCAGGAGGACCCAGTATGGAGGAGTTTTTCGAATCGAGACAGGAGACGACCAAGTCGTGACGGACAAGTATCGCCTGGCTCCGCCCACCACTTTGCATGGCACCTGCCCCTTGTATTATAGCATTAATATACAACCCTGGACCTTTTCCTGGCTCAGGAGACTACCTACTTGGCGTGAAAGAACAGTTAAAACCTTTATTGTCCTGTGATGTTCAATTGGACACTTATATGTAGCCCCACTGGCAATGCTAACCAATATGACTTCTGTTGGTCTTTGTTGGCCTCAGCCAGCCCTCTAGTCCTTTACTACAATTGAAAAGCTCATTACTAATATACAGTCATTATCATAAATAGTTACATCCTTGGACCACCTTGCTTAAACAATAGCAGTGTTACGCTCCTGTCGTGACGCCATCTTTTGGATCATTTCTGTGTTGATCCTAATAGGCACAGGGCGTTGCTCGCCGACGGACGACGTGCTCACCATGGAGTGCATACGGTCCGAGCAGTCGGCTGCGTCCGAAGGATGGAGACCCCCGGTGTTAGTCTCGGAGGTCTCGCCAGCCATGGCCGGCGTAGTGAGATTGTTGAGGTGGGAGACCTGCATGGAGGGCGTGCGGAACCCGGAGCTCTGGCGCTTTCGAATGGCCTCAATGCGCGCGCGTGCAGCCGGGTCGCCCATCATCTGGTCATATCGTGTCATGATTTCCTTGGTAGTGATGTCTGCAGTCGCGGCTCGCAGATTGGTCTCCTTGAGCACCTCTAGAAGATCGGCAGGCACCTCAGAGAACAGTTCATGGTGCTCAATGAGAGTATGAATAGCCTCGATGGCCAGAAAGTAGCCATCACCTCCACCTCCAGCAGAAGCAGCAGCAGCAGCAGCAGCGGCGGCGGCAGCAGCGGCAGCGGCTGAATCAGCAGAGCCAGGAGTACCGGCACTTCCAGGACCATGGTCTTTTCCGGTGGGCTTGGGATAGAGAATGTTCGGAGTGATGACGGTGGCGAGGTTATGAGCGTCCATCTTGCTACCGCTCTCTTCGTCAATGTGAGAAAAGGAGGCTACCCACTTGAGAAAGTGGAGTAGCACTTCGGTCACGTCTCTGTGAGACCTGGGAAGCAGACATACAGCCAAATGAAGCACTCGCTTTCGAGTTGTGGCATCCTCGATCTTCTGGGACGAAATCCACAGCTTGTGCAGCTTAAAGGTAAAGAGAGGATTGGGCATCTCTCGCAGAAACTTCTTGAACAAAGCAGCATTCTGCACAGAGTTCTCCTTGGCGAAATCAGACGTCTTGGTGGCGCTCTTATTCACCTCCTCCGTCACAACCTTGAGCCGTCGGATGTTACCGTTCTTACGGAAGACACCTTCAATGGTCATGTCCTGAGTCTTCATCACATCAATACAGTCCTCCACAAAGCGCGGGATGCGCATCTTGTGCTGTGGGGACACGCCGAGATGTGATTCGACTCCAAACTTCTCAGTCAGAATGTCCAGGTTGCCGCCAAAGACCACAACGGAATCCTTGTCGCTCTTGTCGTTCTTTTCGCCCTTTGAGCCCTTGCGAGGAGGAAGACCTCGTTCAGCAGCTGCACGGTAGTCGAAATCCCACGAGGCAGTGTACTCGCCGTCGTTGGTTTTGCCTCCAAATGCTTTCCCAAACTTTTCCCAGAATGATAACGACTTTTTCACGTCAATCATCTCCAGTAGTTCTTCGAACGACATCCACTCCTTCACCAAGTCCCTAAGCATCATGACGGCCACATGCCGCACAATAAACATCTCGACAGAGCCCAAATCACACATGTATCGAATGGGTTGGGATCCAGAAGGAGCTGAGGAGAAGGATGTGGGCTCTGTAGAACTCAGAGCACTCTGTACTGACGACGAAACGTTTCCACCGGTCACAAGATGCTTCATGCTCTCGCCGAGATGCTGGTGCTTGAAGGCGTTGGGCCGAATGTCTCGCGCCTGCTCAGAAGCGACAATACGAGGAATATCGTCCAAAGTCAGCGACTTTTCGTTCTTCATTCGATCCTTGGCCCGCTCGGCTGCTGACGTCTGGCTCTGTCGAGCACTGTCAGACATCTTGTAGCCGTCCAGATCATTGTTCAGGTCCGAAGAGCTCTTAGAAAAGGTCGCACCGATGGTATCTGCTGATCCTCGCCGTTCCTCACCACGCAAATCGGGTCGCAACTTGCGAATGTCGTTGAGGTTGGAGTTCGCAGAGCCGGCTGTTCCACGGTTATCAGGGGCAGAAGACCGTCTGGGAGCCTCGAGAGAAGCTCCAGCAGGAGGTTGGCCTCGACTTAGGAGAATATTGAGCCGCGCAAGGGCGATTTTGGCCAGAAACATGAGCTGAGAAAGACGTGTCTCCACTGCAAAGGGCAGAATGGCGGAAGGAGGGTAATGGCCCTCGGAAACAACCTCTCCATCAACATAAGCAGCAGAAGCAATGTCGTCCCCGGAGCGAAGCACAGCTCCAGTCTTGGAGCACTTAAAACACTCCAAATGCCATCTTTTGCTTTTATGCGACTTTTGTGAGCTGTTGGAGGATGCAGAAGCTGAACCAGAGGCAACATCTAACAGAACAACACAGCTGTCCTCCACAGACTTGCCACAAGCGACACAAACGTCCGGAGTGAGCGCCGTGACGCCCAGATGCATGAGCGGCTGGTCGAAGGGGTCTGTGTTGGATACACCTTCGAGAAGCACGTCTACTGCCGGTTCTCGCGTGGGAGCAGCACTCAGGAACAGAGAGAAGCCGGAAGCGTCATTGAACTCGACTTTGCGGTCATGCTGTAGCGCTGTAGAGAGTCCAAACCGAATCAGTACCTTGAGATAGTGCGCTAGAGTGGTCACCAGAGACAGGAGGTCTTGAGTGACGCCCATTTTGGGTAGTTTCTTTTCATTGGCCTTGGAAACCATGGACATGAACGAGACAATCTTTTTGCACAGCTTTTTGGGTGTCTTTCCAAGATCGTCGTAGAGTTTTGGTGGGTGCATTCCTTGCTGCTTGCTGGTGTGGATTTCAAGCTCGTCAATGCCGCACAGAGCCAAGAGACGGTCCAGACCGACAAAGAGTTGCTCAGTCTTGAATACCAACCTCGCCGTAGCTGACAAAGCAAGTTGGTACTTACCCGACGCTGAGTATTGTAGCATATCTGAGATACATGCTGCTGTGCACTCTTCGTAGCCACACAGGGTGGTCCATACACCCAAGACCCGCTCCTCCATGCGCGTTTCCAGCAGCGACAGCAGGTCCTTTGATTCTACCTGCGGCTTTTCCACCCCGCTAATGCGCACGTTCCAGAATTTGAAAATCATATAACATTCCGGGTGCCACTGCTGCTGTTTTCCTCCGCGGTACATTTCGACAAATTGCTTGAGAATCGACGTTTGGCAGCCCTCGCATTTCGCGGCAAAGTCCGTCGAGTAGTGGTAATGGCAGAAAATGTCTCCCTGGTGCTCGTAGTACGAATCTTCGGGTCCGAACACCGAGTTGCATTTCGAGCACGAAAAGTGTTCCACGTGGTACTTGCGGCCCAGGGCTGTGATATAGGCTCCTCGTAGAGCTCCGCCACATGAGAAACACAAGAGCGACAGCCTGCTGAAGTAACACGTTTCACACAACGGCACCTGAGTTGTTGGCGACGTGGGTGGCGTGTTTTCTCCGTTTGTAGAAGGCACGTTTCCATCCACGGGGAAGAACTTTGACGAGCACAACGAGTTGCAGTCGGCGCAGCGAAAACAGTCAACGTGGAACACCGAGTCCAGGGCGCGCACAAAGTGGCCTGAGATCGGTTTGTTGCATTCGCGGCAGATTTTGCGGGTGGATTTGGATGCTGCTGACGACGACGAGCGCTCGAGGTCTGGTGATGGCGGCTTGTCGTTGAAGTTGAACTGCGGCACTGGCGGCTTGTCTGTGTTTGTGGACTCGTTCATGACCATCATGCTCTTGTGGCGGTCGAGTTGTTGGTTGATTTTTGGCGGCAGTGGCGACGGTGTGTGTGTGTGTGTTTGTGTGATGGGTTGCGTTGGCTGGGGCTTTGGCGGTTCATTGGTGACCCTCCTGATGCTCATGTGGGGGCTGCTGTTGTCGTGGGTGTCTTTGGACGGTGAGCTGAGCGGCGAGTAGTAGGTGCCTGGTGGGTGCTCGTCCGACAGGTTGCGTGAGTGTGTGGGGGTGTGGTAGGAGCGTCGCATGGGAGGCTGTTTGTTGGTGGGCCGCGAGAAGTTCATACCCGTGGCTGACCCTGACCGGGACCGAGAGCCCGATCCTGGCGGAGTGGACGGGGGAAGTGCTGGGGGATGGAGAGGCTCATCAGGAGGGTAGCGTACCCTTCCTCTGTATGACTCCATTTCTCACTGTGTTAGAATGACCGTCTGAAACGACCTCTCGCGGTCGGTGGCTCCTCACGATGGTTGTACATCACTCCGTTGTCGGTAATTACGGTAGGTGTGGTGATGTCGTGTGGTGGGATTTAGAATTGAGAGAAGTTTAGGTTGAACGAGTGTATAAGTGAGGTGGTGGTCTTGTGTAGCCCCACAGACAGAAGAACCGGCTGTAGTTGTGAGTTGTCGTCTGGACCTCTGTCGATGTATGAAGATGGTGCACTGTGGAGGCTCTTCTTTTGGGTCACGCCAAAACGTCTTGGGTGCCATATACAGCTCCAGTGCACTTTTGAGTTTGTTAGTGTTTTGGCTCCTGTCTGCTATAAACAAAGGGAGGAGGAGCAGGAGGAGTAGGGTCGGGGGGTAACAGCCCGAGGTTTCCTGAGACGAGCGGTGACGAAGTATCACGAGACACGCCATCTCGGTCCCATCTCTGCACCCTTACCCTGATACAGACCCCCCTTTTCGCTCCCCTAATCTACATCTTGGCCCGTCTCCTATATTTCGTCAACCCCCTAACAGTCCATCACAAGGGGGGAGGGAGTCTCACAGATCGGCAACTCAATCTGTCATGCCACGCAACTAATATTGTATGTACAGACGACAAGCAGGGTGGTAACCAAGTGAAGAAAAGATGTTCATGACACTGTATAAATCGTCAGAGCAACGTGGTCCGTGATTTGCACCGTCTACAGCCACCGCCGCTCCACTCTCCTTCGTTTTTTCGCTTCTCTAGCTACACGTCAACGCTCCGATACGTCATCATACATAAAATAAATCCACAAGACATGTACCCCCCCCATTTCCCCCAGAATCGCTTAACTAATTTTGTCGCATCGGGGCGCTCGTAATACTGCCAATGTCAACTCTTTTGGACACCCGCTTCGCTCTAGGAATGCCTCCTGCCTAAAGAAGCGACCCGCAGCAGATGGCAGCTCACACAAAGACCAACGACATATGTACGAGTACGAAAAACAGCCCAAAAAAGTCACACACACACAAGACACGCGTGCCACACTACGTGAGGAAGACACTTCCCAATTAGGCCACGCGATTGGAACAATTCCCGATTGGGCGTTTTTCCCGTTTTGCCCATCTTCCCTCTTTTTCCCTCTCCCGCCCCTCCTAAATACCACAAACACACCCACAGCCACACCAACTACTCGTAGCCCCTCGGTCCCCCGGTGCGCTGTATACAAACACAGGGGCATTTCTCGTGACCTCAAGGCCGGGTAATTATTCTTTGGAAAATCTGCCAATCATAAACCTTAACTGGGTGGGCGACAGTTACCCAACGCAGGTGTGGGTGCTTTTTTCCTGACATATTTTTCGCGTCTCCCAATTGAGATGCCTGGTAACATACCCTAGCCCTGATATTTCCTCATTGGCCAGCCCTATCCCAATCCCTTCCCAATCCCTAACCCCCCAGTCCCTACCCAATCCCTAACCCCAAACCCCTAACCCCAAACCCCTAACCCCAAACCAAACCCCTTTAACCCCCAACCCTCCACTCCCCTAACCCGCACACAAGCACAGACCACTCACTCGCTCTGCCGGGTAACTCCTCCATTATATCTGCGCGCTACAGCAGGCAACTGCATGGAACTGACGAATGCCACATGTCGACAAGGTTTTAGAAATGGGCTTGAACATTAGTATAATTAATGGGCTGAGTAAAGTATGGTGTATATGGAGCGGGGAGTGGATAATCGCTTAGTAAGCACATTTAAAAGTGGTGAGTCATCAGGAACAGTCAGGGGCTCCGATTTCCACATTTGCCACTCGGCTCGTACGTTTTTTTGCCACTATTGTCTCCCTTTAACCTCTGCCACATCGTGTCTGGACACGTATGCATGGGACTTTTTCAGCCGGGTTTCAGAGCCAAATAAAACGCGAGCGGTTGGACCTTCTCAGCCAAACACTTTCAGCCAAAGAAACCGCACAAAAAGACATCAGCGACGGTACGATATGCTGAGGAAATTCATTTTAGGGCTCCTGCTGGCATCTCAGGCAGTAGCTCAACTACCACACAAGGAACGAGATTACGACTCCCGTGTCTATGTGGCCCTGAGTCTTCGAGATGGGCTTGATCCCCGGGAGTTTGAGGCTTCTGTGAGTGGGTTGGACCATGGACAGTGGACGTTTGAGCATCCTGTGGGCACGATTCCCAACACATATGTGTTTTCTGCCCCTAAAGAGTACGCACCGATCGAGAACATTCGAGATCAGGACCGACTGGAGGTTGCAGGTGGCGTACTGGCCAAGAGAGAGCTTCGCAAGCGAGAAAAGCTGCAGAAGAAGTATGGCATGAGCGAGGAGGACGTTGAGAAGAGACTGGTAGCTCTTGAGCGGTTGGATTATGACTGGTCTGAGAGGGGACTGGGGTCTTTGGAGGTGCTGAGTGAACGGAGGATTCATAAGAGAGCTCCAGTCAACTGGACCGAGGAGGAAATGGAGTACTTGAAGGAGATCAAGAGAAGAGCAGAGGAGGCTCAGAAGGCCCAGGACGACAAGGGTGACAAAAAGGAGGATCAGAAGGACGACAAAAAGGAAGGCCAGGAAGCACAGAAGGAAGGTGACAAGGAGGACAATAAAGGTGACGACAAGGAAGATGGGGAGGAGGATGACGACGACGATGAAGATGAAGATGACGATGACGCTTCTCCCGCTATGCCTGTCCAGTGGAAACCCGTTGACGAAAGCATGTACGGAGGTATGCCCGATGACTCTCTGTATGACGTGTACAGAAAGTACTATCCGGACGAGGTTGGAATCAAGGACCCGTCGCTCTGGAAGCAGTGGTACCTGCATAATGTGCACAAGGCAGGTCATGATCTCAATGTGACAGGTTTGTGGCTCAGAAACGTGACGGGCTGGGGAGTAGTCACCGCCGTTGTGGATGATGGTCTGGACATGAACGCTGAGGATATCAAGGCCAACTACTTCGCCGAGGGATCCTGGGACTTCAACTTCAATAAGAGCGATCCCAAACCCAGCTCTCACGACGATTACCACGGCACTAGATGCGCTGGCGAAATTGCTGCAGTCAGAAACAACGTCTGTGGTGTCGGAGTGGCCTACGACTCCAAGGTAGCCGGCATCAGAATCTTGTCCAAGGAGATTGCAGAGGATATCGAGGCTTTGGCTATCAATTACGAAATGGACAAGAACGACATTTATTCGTGCTCCTGGGGCCCTCCTGATAACGGCCAGACTATGGCTCGACCAGGAAAGGTTGTCAAGGACGCTATGGTGAACGCCATCACTAATGGGCGACAGGGCAAGGGCAACGTGTTTGTGTTTGCGTCTGGAAACGGTGGTTCTCGGGGAGACAACTGCAACTTTGATGGTTACACAAACTCCATTTATTCCATTACTGTTGGAGCTCTGGACTTCAACGATGGTCATCCTTACTACTCTGAGGCTTGTTCAGCGAACATGGTTGTCACTTATTCGTCTGGATCAGAACATTATATTGTTGGTACCGACATTAATGCCATTGACGACAAAAGTGCTGCTCCTCGGTGCCAGAACCAACATGGAGGTACATCTGCAGCTGCACCTCTGGCTGCAGGTGTGTTTGCCCTGGCTCTTTCTGTGCGCCCTGACCTCACGTGGCGAGATATGCAGTATCTGGCACTTTATTCCGCTGTTGAGATCAACTCCAATGATGATGGATGGCAAGATACTGCTTCTGGACAGAGATTCCATCATCAGTTTGGCTACGGCAAGCTTGATGCTTCCAAAATTGTCGAGCTTGCTGAGGGGTGGAACTTGGTTAACAACCAGACTTCTTTCCATTCTGAAGTTAAGACCGTGTCTCAGAAGGTCAAGTACAATGAGCCACTAAAAAGTGTGATTACTGTGACTCGAGACGATCTTGACAAGGTGAATTTCAAGCGAGCTGAGCATATTACTGCTGTCCTCAACTTGGAAGCTTCGTACCGAGGTCACGTGCGAGTTCTTCTCAAGGGTCCTCGAGGTGTCGTCTCTGAACTGGCTGCTCTCAGACGAGACGATCGGTCCAAGGATGGTTACGACAACTGGGCTTTCATGTCTGTTGCTCACTGGGCCGACGAGGGAGAAGGTGATTGGGAGCTCACGGTTGAGAACACTGGCGAGCAGGATCAGGTGGAGCTTGTTAACTGGCAGCTCAACGTTTTCGGCGAGCAGAAGGATAAGCGAGAGGAGAACAAGGAGGGCGAGAGCAAGCCTGAGGACGAGAACAAGGAGGGCGAGAAGGAGGGAGAGAAAAAGCCCGAGGACGAGAACAAGGAGGAGGGTAATAAGGAGGACGACAAGGGTGATCAGAAGGAAGATAAGCCTGAAGACAAGCCCGAGGATAAACCGGAAGATACGCCAGAAGATAAACCCGAGGATAAGCCCGAGGACGCGCCCGAGGATAAGCCTTCTGACGAAAAGAAGCCCGAGGAGAAGCCTGAGGAGAAGCCTGTGGATAATTCTGACTCTTCCTCCGACTCATCCGACAGCCACACCTCATGGTGGCCCGATCTGTCGTCGAAAAAATCTGCATGGTTGTATGGAGCGGTTCTCCTGGTGGGAGGGTTCATTGCAGTGATTGGCATCTACGCCTGTGTCACTCGACGAAACCGGGTTCGACGAAACCGGTCCAAGGATGCTCCTTCTGCTTCTTCCTTTGAGTTCGATCTCATTCCTCACGACGACTCAGACGACGACTTTGTGTACCCAGAAGACACTCATCGTCGATCTGGTGATAATGATCGACTCTACGATCCGTTTGCTGAGGTCGAGGATGATGACGACATGTTTCGAATTTCGGATGAGGGCGAAGATGCCCATGACGTTGAGCCTGAGTTGAATCGGGTCTCCATGGAGGCTGACAAGCGGGATAACGACCGGCAGAATCTCCTGGGATAATTAGACCAGTATTAGAAGAGCGAGGATGAAAAGTATTTAAGCTGACAATTGTGATATTTAATAAATGATGGATGTATTGAGCGTGGCGAGTGACAATAGAGGACTGAAGAGAGATACAAGTGATTTTATAGATAGGTAGGTAAACACTTCAACGTGCGTAAGCCAGCCATTCCTATCAACCCACTAGACTCTGAACCAGTACGAGTCTTTACCAGCTAAGCTACTCTCTTGAACTTGTAAGGGTTGCCAATTTTGACAAGTGATGCCTTCTTCAATATTGGGAATAAAGGGGAGACATTCCCAACAGACCGGGTTCACTGATTGTAATTGTCTCATAGCACTTTGGGATGAGATGGCGGTCTCCATCAGTTCAATAATCATTCATTCATTTTTTCTATATAAAACGCCTCTTCGGTTCGCCTCCACACATTTTTGATATGGCGCATATTGTGCATGCAGTGTCCCAAATACTCCACTTTTATACATCACCAAGTCCGGTTCTTAAACTTAACCACCCATTCAACCACTCTCCACATCTACACAACGCCATGTCCGACTCGATGAAGTACGACCCGGTGCACGAGTCGCCGGAGACGCCGAAGAAGGAGGGGTCGCCTGGATCGGCCAAAAAACGACAGTACCAGCCGCGATTGACCAACCCCAAGATTCTGCATCTCAAGAAGAAGGACGGAGAGCCGCTGTGGCGAGTCGACATCCAGTTTGATTTTCTCAGCTGCATCTTCCGCAACGAAATGCGCGTCTTCAGCAACAGATACAACATGGAGGATCACAACGAATCGACGCCCAGACGAGGGGGATACACATTTGCCGATTGCTACATCAAAGCCATGGCCAAGTCACCCAAATGCTCACGTGTGCTGCATGACAAGCTCATGGGTGACAGAGAAGCCGGTCTCAATATGGCCATGGTGTGTCTGCTCGTCAACATTGGACGAATGAACACCACTCTGAACTTCTTCCCCGAGATGAGAGCCCAGCTGCGAACCTATCATCCCATCCCCTCTCTGCAGAACTCCAACTCCAAAAACGAGTACAAACAGCTGCAGGACGCACCTCGGTTGAAATCTATTCTCAAGGGTGCCTGTGAGGGCAAGTCTGAACCCGACACCATCAACGCCATGATCTCCAACGGAGAAGTGCCCCACTGCAACGCCATAAACCTTGTGTCGCTGTTGTCGTCCAACTCGGCCTTTGTGAACGCCCGTTTCTTCTACGATCAATTTGAATTTTGCGACCTGATCATGGACGCCAATCTTTCGTCTGCTTCTCGAGCTCAGGCCTTTTTGTGGCTTGCCTGGGCCTTTTTGGAAACCAACCTCGAGGAAGAAGAGCTCCTGCAGAACCCCTTTGGTTCGTCGACACAGATCCCAGAGCTCGTGGAACTGCTGCCTCATGAAGCAGAGCTCGAGAATGTGGACACTGAAGAGGAGAAGGAGTTTGCACAGCAGATGCGAGCAGTGCGGGAGGAGTACATCGAGTCTGTCTCCCAATCGCCTACCACTGTTGTTGTTGGAGGGCATGGGGGAGGCACCAAAATCAAGCCCGTGGCTTCGACTGGACGACCGAAGAAGGAGGAAGAAACGCCCGTCAAGAAAGGCAAGACTTCTACTTCGTCTACAGCTCTTCCTGCACCCATCCAGAAGATCCCCCTGGCCCCTCTCGACTCAGCCCCTTCTCAGTCGTTTGCAGAAATGTATCTTAAGGGCATCGAGTTTGAAAATGCTCGTCTTCCAAAGGTGAAGCGAAACAAGGCTTCTCGTCTACGCGAAGACCACGCCACTGCAGTTGCCGTTCTTGCCTGTCTGCAGCTTCCTAAGGCTGTCGCTGCCATTGAGCGGCTTTTGGAAAACACATCCGAGGGTCTAGCAGGCAGTCATTGCGTCATTAAGCCTTCTTCCATCAAGACGCTCGAGCAGCGACACAAAAAGTGTGTGGGCGAAGTGCGACACATCTTTAAGGTGCGCAAGGAGCGGGCTCGAAAGAAGCGACGGAAGGCTATTCTTCCCGAAATTCCTTCAGATGAGGATGTGTTTGATTCTGACGACGATATGAAGGGCGGAATATGTGGCGGGGAAGCTGTTCGTGGGACTACGACGATTACCAAGGATGGCTTTGCGTACTCTACACACGGGTCTCTACAGTGGAATTCTGGATTGCCTGCCGACTACGGCGAGAAGTTTGAGACTCGAGGCAAGGCTTTCCGGGCAGCCAGCTTGTGGTGATTTCGAACGATTTCGACAGTATTTATTCAATAAGTGACTGAGATGGCAATACGTGGTTGGAAGCACAGACGCAGTTGATGACTGGGGGCATTGCAAAGCTGATTAGTCATTTGGACGGTGGTGGTTGGCTGAGGGATTTGTAAGCCAAAGGGGAGTGTACTGTATATGTGCGGCTTTACCTGTAGCTGGGTCTCTAAAAGCCTGGATTATACGACATTCCAGATACAAGAAGTGAGGCTCCTGAGACTGTCTCACCTGGTTTGTTGGATCAACCGGACTAGAGGAGCCCAACAATAGCAAGGTTGTCGATTGTCTTTGGAGTAGGAGCTGATCAAAGGGGGTCCAGACTGCCCTGTAAACGTTGGAAAAAACATACGCTGGGTTGAAATACGTGGGTTTGTGGCGTTTTATAAATGCAGTACAAACAATGGAGTCATATGGGCTCTGTATTATATTCTGTTATGATACCAGACAAGTTATACATATCCGAGTGTATAAATGTGAGGACGGACGACGGGATTAGTTATGATTTTGTCTCACTTGTTAAGGTTGGTGTTTAATTCAGTTAAGAAAATTGCGGGGGTACTATAAGTGAGACAGCATAAACGGCCTTTACACTCACACCAACAACAGCCGCGGAGCTGGCAGGCGCCTGGATCAGCTGCACATCTCTTCGACACTCTCACAGTGGATCAAATCCACACAACTGGTAACCAACAAGCAGGGTCACAACATCACGAAGTCCTCTCACCACGCGGTCCAATTCGTCTTTAACTTTGGCAACCTCACCCAGCGACAAGACAGAGGCCCAGGCACCTGGAGGATGCCCTGGTGGGTTTTTGATACAGAGTACATTGCTTGGCTCAAGTTCCACGTCAAATCCATTCTGAAGCGATATGGTCCTTTGAAGCCCAGCCTGAAGCTGCAATGCCTGAAAAAAAACATTAAGGTCACCATCCAACAGGAAGCCAAAAACCGCGCACTTCGAGATTCCAACCACCCAGACAACAGACGCCGCGAGGCCCTCATGGCAACAGCCTCAGACTGGCAAGCCTACCCAGCTAACGAGCCATACCCGATGCTCCATGCTCGGGTCGAACAATCCAAGCAACAGATGGAGATCCACTCCCTACGGAACCACCAAGGCCGAGTGAAGACCGACACCTCCTCTCTCTGCGACATCTCAGCTCGATACTTTGACAACATCTTCGACAGAGCTGCCGATATCAACGACACCGACGACAGCGCCTTTTTAGACCTCTTCCCCGAAGAAACCCGGAGGGTGAATACAGCTAACCCAAGCCTGGACTCGTCTTTTACCAAGGAGGAGATCTTCGATACCATCAAGGCGTCTACGCACAACAGCGCGCCAGGGCCAGACGGCATCCCGTACAGGTTCTACCGCGACTGCTGGGATGAGCTGGGGGACTTGATGACGGACGTCTACAACGAAGCTGGAGCCGACTCGCCCATCAGCACCGAACGCAACACCGCTATCATCAAACTACTGTACAAGTCGGGAGATCAGGCCGACATCTCCAACTACAGGCCTATTTCTTTGATCAACACAGAGGTGAAGATCTACACACAGCTCATTAACAAAGCCATCCAGAACATTCTTCCGGACAGCATTCACGGCGCCCAAAACGGTTTCGTACCGGGTCGACACATCACTAACAATCTCGACACCATGGATCATTTTTGCAACGCCTACTCCCAGCTGAACATGGGTTGGGTCGTAGGATCACTGGACTTCCGGAAAGCCTACGACACTATCAGCCAGAGTTGGGTGATAAAGACGCTTCGAAATGTGGGTGTCTCGGAACTGATGATCAACCGTATCCTAGCTGTACAACAGAACGCAGTAACGAGAATCAACATCAGAGGTGTCCTATCTCGCCCAGTCCGCATCAAGATCGGAGTGAGACAAGGATGCCCTCTCTCTCCAACCCTCTTCATCATCGCAGTAGACGCACTTGTGCGTCGTCTGGACCGAGAGATGTTTGGACTGGCCCCAGGCCTGCCACTATCCCACCACCACACCACTGGGCACAGGCCGCCACAACCCCCTACTCACCCGGAGGCAGTGGCAGCTGGACACATGAAGGTGTCGGCTTTCGCGGACGACATAGCGGTGTTCCTCAACAACATCCAGGACGTGGCCACGGTTGGTAGAGTGCTCTGCCTCTTCCAACGGGTCTCAGGCCTCACACTAAACCCGTCAAAGACGGTGCTTCAGAAGATCGGCCCCCCCGATTGTTTTGTTCCACTAACCTTTATTGACGCAGAATGGCAGCGAACAATTGACGCCACCTGGCCAACCGACAACAACACACGACAGGCCCCGACGCTCCGGACATCTGACAACATTTTCCGGTACCTCGGAGTACACTTCGGAAATCACGAAAGGTTGGACACGCACTACGCTCAGATCAAGGAGGACCTCAAGGAGTCGCTGCGACGCCTTTCACTATGGGGTCTCCCCTATTACAGCAAGGCGTGGATGATCAACATCTACTTCTTCTCGAAACTGAATTTCCTTGGACCCTACGTCAGCCAGATCGACAACACCTTCATCCGAGAGCTGAACGAACTAGCGTGCGACAAGATCAACAAATTATCACCCGACAGAACACGCAAAACCTTCAGCAATGGTTTCATCCAAACTCCGGTAGGCAGAGGAGGACTGAACCTGCGGGACATGGGACGTTTCATGGTGTGCCTGAAGGCCGCTCGGGCTTACAGGTTCTTCCATGGCTCATCGCCGGCCCTTTGGGATTGCACCTTCCAGTTCTACAGCAGAACTCACAGTCTCACACAGGAAAAGCCACACCAGCGCGTCGACTGCCGCTTTCCGACAGGCCAAGCTTGGGGCTACGCAGCCTCCCCCACCATGCGAGACGCAATCAGAGCTTCTTTCGAGCTCAACAAGCCCCTCACCGCGGAACATGCCAACCCTCGAGAAGATCACGAGCCCTCTACAACAGACACAGTTAATCACAGAATCTGGGAACGAAACCAGGTGAACGTGAGAGCAGCAGAATCTTTCCGGGAAGCACACGTCGACATCGCAGCCGCGAGACGATACCATCCGGTCAGAATGGTGTCCACAGCGGAAATCGACCACCTCCGGTGGAGCATGGGACCACTTACTCTGGAGAACTTCATGTTTCACAAGACCTCGTCTCCCGACTTGCCAAACTTCCCACACACACTTGCACGACCGAAGAAGTGGACTCAACGAAGCGACTACGGGGGCATCTCTGACGACATGGTCTGGCAGGAGGTAATGCATGACCTTCGAAAACACTACATCGCCGACGCCAACAAAGCACAAGTTCTTCACCTCATGCGGATATCTCGACTTCCGCTCGTGAAATGGAGATACCCTGACGACCACGTTTTCACCAAGAAGAATCCAGGATGCGGGCTCTGTGATAAGGCCATCATTCAGGATCTGCACGAGCATATCTTCTGCAAGTGCGAAGTTCTTCTTTCCATGTTGACCAGGATGAAGATTCCGTCAGTGGACTCTCTAAAGGACTGGATCTTTACCGAGTCGAAATGTGGAGTACTCCCCTCTTTCCCAGGGCATGTGAACAGTGACGCCCCACGGAAACATCAACAAGTCAAGACACGCAAATATCTGCGGGAATTGGCTTATGGGATCTGGAAGATGGAGAGATCCCTCCGGTACTCAGGGGACGACGCCACCCTGGGACATGTCCAACAGGGTCTGCTTCAATTCCTGAAGGAAGCCCAGATGTGTTTCTACGATGGACAACCGCCAGCACTTCACGATGAGCGAGAGTAGACACAGTAGCAAGCGCAAAAGGCGGCCGAGGCCACCGAGAGAACAACGTTGCAGGGCGCGTAGTCACCACAGGGGACGCAGAACCAAACCAATGACGAAGAAGAACCACAAGGAGACGTTTTCAAAGGCAATGCAAACGAAGAGGGCAATGGAAGGATTGAGATTAGAGAACTGGAGACTGGAGTGGCGTTTTCCCGATGAACGAACAAACACGCGAAGCTATGTGGACCAACACACAACACGGACTGAACCAGGTTTTTTTATGATTTTTTTACTGGAAATAGGTACGTGCCAAGTTGGACCATGACACTAAACGTGTTTAATTAGTAATATTCGTGTAAGCGTACATTCATTTCAAAGGTTATTCTTTCACAGCAAAGTTATAATTAAATGAATGTATATGCAGAAAAAAAAAAAACGGGCAATACGAAGCAATATCGAATGGTCACACACACGCATTTATATATATAAAAGCGCCTGATGAAATCTAATGATAGGGAAGCATTACTTTTATTAATGGTCAGACAAGTAGTCACTGTAGAGATTGCGTTACATTAAATAAACCTGTTGCTATCACTGGTGGGCTCCAGGCATCATCACAGCCTTGGGGATCAGCCACTTGTAGGTGGACTGTGGAGAAGCCACACCTGCGTATCCGTTCCAGCATCCAAGTAGACCTGTAGAGATACAGAAGCCTCCTCCAGCGTTGGTGAGCTTGGAGTTGCTCTGGAAGTAGCCTGCAGCCAGGAAGATGAGGGCCAGGTCGAGGGAGATGAAGAGCAGGAAGAAGGCCACTGTTGCTTTTAACGTGCACAGCGTCATGAGGAAGGCAAAGATGAACCAGCCCATGAGGAAGATGCCCACGGACTGTGCAAACTCGTCTGGAGTGGAGTAGTACTTCTCGATACCAATGGGGAAGTTGAGCATGGACCAGGAGAACCAGAAGGCGCCGAAACAGAAGAAGACGGTTGCGGCAAACGTGTTCTCGGCCACAATCTCCCAGATACCAGCAATGACTTCGATAAGACCTCCTCCGAAGAAGGCACAACCAACCATGACATTGGGGGCATGGACATTACGAGCATTGACAAGACACATGCCGAGAATGAACATGGTCATGGAGAAGGCAAACAGTCCAGAAGGAGCAGCGTTACCAAACTGACGAGTGGGAACGGGTGCAGAACCAGGGTTAAGAGTACCACCAAAGGCACGGGCAAAGTCGTCTCGGTGGTACTTGACCCCGCCAATGTGGATGTATTCATCTCGTTCTCCCGAAGTACGGACCCGTCCCAGCACAACAGGCTCGTCCTGGTGGCTAGAAGGAGTCTCGATATCTTGTGGGTGGGAGGTATGGGGTTTCAGATCGTCTGACATTGATGATTGTTGGCTGATGAGGAGATTAGAGGACCCAAAACGCCATTTTATATATCAACGAGAAGAGTAGTAGAAGCAACGAAGGCCGAATGTGGGGTAAAAGGGAAAATGTACCCCTCGGTCAGCTTTGTCTCAGCGATATAAAAACGGTTCATACCTGGTCAGCCGTGTTGGTGGAGGATTCTGTTATGGGTGGATAAACGAGTTTCTTTGTCTGGAAAACTCGCTCCAACTTGCCAAAATGAATAACAAAGTCGGTTGATGAATTCCTATCCCTTCATCAGACCACTATCGCTAGTCCTGACGCTTCGAAGTGTGACCCCCAATTTACTCGGCATAAGATTGAGATAGTAGGAGCGTAAATTGAGTGTAGTGCTGCTCGCTTAAGCTGGGATGCGTCTGGCGGGGTAAAACTTTAGCGGTCTGAATGATGATAGAAAAAAGGGATAAATCATAGGTAGAGGGCATCAAAAGTTCTGAGAATGTGTATTCCTTGGACCACTGACCCCCAAGTTATAGCTCCTCTTGGCGAGATGGGCACTAGTTGGTTCGCCGTAGTCTGTCTGGTATAACTGACGCACTAGCACAGGTGTGCTAGCAGAGAAAAAGCAACCAATTGTGCAACGTTAGTCGTAGATAACCACTATAGATCAACGTGGTAGTGCATTCTGTAGCTTTAGAGACAGTTCCAGCCCGGCAATTACCTCCTTTGGCGTGTTTGTCTGGACACTTTTAACGGGTGGGGTTGTGTTAATTGTTCTCATCGAGGGGTCTCAGATCGGCACATCATCGGGGCAGGTCAAGATTTAGAACTGAATCCCAACTAAGGTGTCCTTTCAACCCAAACAGATGGCGGGGCATGGCCCGGAGATAGTGGTGATGTATGCAGGAGTGCATAGATCCGGTGGTTGTTTTATGTTGTGATGTTGAAAGAGATAGGTCCGAGCAACAGAGGGTCCCGTGAAACAAGATGCAAATGAAACGCGCAAACGAGATGAACCGACAAACGCGCAGGCGTAAATCGACAAGCCACCCCTGGCAGGCCTATTACGTCATTGTACCAGCGATTGCTGTGATCATTTCGTCGCACAGTTCTGTCACTCCTCAATATGAGACATGTAATAAGTGATAGAGCCGCTGGTGTCTCCGGGGTGGTCCGTGTAACAATAAGCTGTCAGCACTCTTTCGTGGCTGATGGCTAGAACCACACTGTCGCAAATTAGGGCCATGTTGGTGAGTAAACACCAATCTTTGCAAGGAATAGACACGGTGGCAAACTCGGAGCTGTTCGGCTTTGCACGGCTTTCCCCAGTGAAGTTTTGTGAGAAGCGAATCTGTGACGAATGGGGACCCGATCCCTGAGATGGTAGACTCTGTTCTTCCTCCTGTTCACCTGCGTCTAGCTGCGGGTTCATTAGCCCCTTCCAGTCCGTCTCCACGTTGACATCGACCGCGTCCAAAGACAGTTTTAAGCACCCCGAGTTATTGGCACTTAATGTTACGAGCTTGCCCAACCGCTTGTATCGCTCACTGAGCTTGGCGATGTTCAGCGTAGGTTTTGGTAGCATGATGTATACCTGTGGCTGGATTTCAGGCTGAACCAGCAGGTAGCTCTCCTCCTCTAGTTTCCGTGGATCCACCGGAAGATTGTGTGTCACCACCGTGGGTCCTCTTTCTCGATGCTGTGTGATTCGCACTTGTAGTTGCAACAGACCCTGGTACTGACGTAAGCTGAGCCGTACCTCGTCCATGTGATACGAACTAGAGCTTTTGAGGGCCCGGGCAAAGTCGTCCAGACTCACCAAAAACACACACATGTCGTCAAACGCACTGACACAAACGTACTGGTTGGGATCACACAGGTAGTCGACGGTGAAGTAGGCGAACAGCGAGATGGTGGTGCCGTCATTGGAGGCTGGCGATACGATTCGCACATCCGTCGGGGCGAAGATGATGTATGCCTCCTTGCGGACGGCCATTGCTGCGTTTAAAACATCTCTCAGCAGCGAGATTCGGTCCAGTTTGACCCTCAGTTTCATTTAGTCGCGTGATGGTTGAGATTTCGTTACAGTGGCACACGAATCATGCACTGTACTTTTAAGGTTCAAGATATTTTTTGACCCTAACCCTCAAAATTCAGGCGCAGATTATGCAGAGAAAAAATATTTGTGCCCTACACATCATACACACACCCACGCACGCACACGGAAGAAAAATGTCTGAGCAAGAAGAAGTGCAGTTGCCCAAGCTCGGAAAGGCACCTCAGGTGCGAGTCAACGGCAAGAACTGGAAGGAGACCAAGACCCCGTTCCGAACCTCGAGCCTCAGTGTGCCCCTGAAACATAGATCGTGGGAACGACGGCAAAAGGAGCGGGAAAACCTGCGAATGATCAAGGCTAAAGAGAAGGAAATGAAGGACGAAAAGGAGGCTGAGCATGCCGAGAAGGTGCGACGAATCAAGGAGCGCCGAATGGCCAAGGAGGAGAAGGAGCGACTGGAGAAGATGACTGCCATTCTGTCGGCCAAGAAGCTGGCTCGACGAAAGCGGAAGGAGAAGCGAAACAAGCTGCTCCGAGAGCGAAACTAAGCCATAGTTATTTATTTTGAAAAATAGACACTCTGTTATTTGTCTGGTTTGGAGAGTATTGAAGTGCAGTACATACTGTACCCGTGAGGGAACGAGTTCAGATGAAACTTCCGCTTGTAGTACTGGAATTCAAGCAGCGATATACTGGTATCTTGTACTTGTGTGTATAAGTATCAAGAGTGATCTCTGCTTCTTGTATAACCGCTTGCTACTGTGAGCTCAACATGGAACTGCTACGGAAGCAACTACAACTACAGTACATACAGTACGAGTACTTGTACGTTGGTATAACCATTGAATGTATTCCTCACTGCTCCTAGATGACAAACTACAGCCAATCGTTCAATTTCATCGCAGTGACTGAATCACTATCTATTAATCAGGCAACATTATACAATGTCTGTCTATTCTCTGTGCTGAACCATATAATCCTCAGCTACTTTAGAGGACTCTTGTCCTCCTCCGATTTTGGTGGAGCGGGGCTGACCTGGGCAGTCTCATGCGCACTACCAGATTCTCCCTCGCTCCCGTAATCTCATAGATGATACAGGATCGAACCGCACGTGTGGTTGATCTGTGGAACAAACGTGTCCAGAGGAACGGGGGGAGCTGGGGGATTCTGATTGGATGCCAAATGGAACACATCCTGATGCTGGGGGTGGCGAGGATGTGCTGAACTGTTGAGATGGAACACTTCAACTGACGATCCATAGACACACATGATTCGGTCGCTCTGAATGTATTGCATAGCCAAAGGCTCGACTCCTGCCCTTGTAAGAACTTGACGTGGTGGCATACTGACAGGAAGACGCACCTGGTCCTCGACTATACCCCTGAGGGGAATAATTGATATCCTCTGTCTGTAGTACACGGCCATGGCTGTGGAGTCCCAGGAGAGACAGTACTTGATGGATTTGAAGTCTTCCCTCGAGTTGACATTACTAATGTACAGCAGGGCTCTTTGATCGTCATCCTCCTCATCTTCCGACAGCTCCTCTTCCGGCGAGCCCGTCACTCCCAGTTCAGCGGTAGCTAATGCAAAACGGGCGCGATTTTCGTCCGGTAGGTGCTTGACACAAATGTAGCGACCAGGAGTAAGTAATGCAAGCACTCCATCGCAACTGAGACTTGTGCTCATGCTTGTTTCCATAAGCGTGCAGTAGTATTCCCACAGAGCACCTTCTTCAGTAAAATCTTCCTCGTCCAGAGTATCTGCCTGTCCGAAGATGAGAGCCTCCTGGTTTCCAATCAGTGTCATGACCTGGTCACGGGCCTGGGCCGACATTCGGAGATCTAGACGGAAATGTGGCACGTCAATCTCGTTTGTGGTCTCAACATTGATTATTGTGAGTCCACCCAGACGCCTGGCTCTGACCCACATGATGAAGGCCTTCTGAGACACGGCCAGATACTCGATCCGGGACGGAAACTGTTTCGAGTACTTGGCCGGCACGTTGGCCAGGTTAATGATGCCGCCTCTGTACTTGGACAGCAGTTCCTCCATGCAATATAACCGCACTCTTCCGAACCCAAACACCACGGCCATGTATTCACTATCGGTGGAGAAGGTGACCAGCGGAATTTCTTCCTCCGTTTTCCAGCCAAACAGGTAGAGCGGCGGGATGTTGTTGCAAAACTTTTCGCTTCCGATCGAATAGACAAAAATATATTTCCCCAGCGAGACACACAGCAGAGAGCCGTCTGGAGAAGACCAGCTCGACGCAAACGTATCTCTGCAGTCCGGCGACAGCCTCAGGTGGATCTTGAGGGTCATCTGACGAGCAACCCATTTCTGCCGCAGCAAGTTAAGATAGGTGGAGTATAGTGGGGTGGACGACAGATCGATTGTGTAAGTCGTCGGCGGAGCCGGAGTCACCGTTTTCGTCGGCGATGTTGTAGTTAGCTGTTCGGAGTCGTCGTTGTCCTCCGACTGTGTCTGTGTCTGCTCTCCATCGTCTTCGGGTGTCTCGTCGTCGTTTCCTCTCCAGTTCATGAGGGTCTGGAGATGGTCAGTCAGCACGGTATCATTGCGGGAAAAAACGCGCAGCAACTTGCACGTCTGGCCAATGTACAGAAACGAGACCGGGTCGAGCAGCCTGATGATTTTGCCTATGATTTCAGGCGGCAATGAAATCATTTAATCGACGTCGTTCTGTGCAAAAAGTGGTGATGCTTAGGTTCTGCACCTCTGAGTTTGTAGAAATAAATGTCTAAAAAATATCCAAACCTTCTCCAAGACACTGCCATGAACTCCAAGGTCGTCACCCAGCCCGAATGGGCCTATTTCGAGCTGGAATTGTGAGTACAGAGGCTGGACCGGCGTTCGAGTTTTGCGCTAACACAGAATCACAGAAAACAACCGCAGCCAGGGCTCGTTGTTTGACATTCTCACATGGAACCGAACCATCACCTCGGCTCTATCAAAACTGTTTGGAAACGTCGGGGAGGCGATCCACTTTGACATTCTGCATCATTTTTTCGCCGGAAATCGCCAGGCGTGCATTGTCCGAGTCCCGTGCGACTATCGAGACCGGTTCCAGGCTGCTGTGGCGGGCTTTCAGGGCTCTCTAGACTCTCTGGGAACCGACGATCTCCAGTGTGGAATCCACGTGGTCAGAGTGAGCAATAGCATGACTGGAGTCAGTGGACCCAGGAGATTCTAACTCCATTGGATCATTGCATTGTTGCATTATTTATTACATTGTCTAATTGACGACGGTTCGGCTATCAAAAGCTGTACAATATTTGTAGCAGCTCCCCCACACAACCAAAAAAACTACAACTGCAGCTTCACGTATCGGCACCGCACCCGTACTTATACTGCGGTTATTCCGTATCTCTCTCTTTATTCTCCGTTCCTTGTCCAGACGCATACGAATGCTCCATATGCGTGTCGACAGATACTTCCTTTGAACCGAGGAATATCGCATACTTTTTCTGCCCCCGAATCATCTGTACTATAGCCCCCCCTCCCTCTCTCTCTCGTGTACCCTTCTAATCAATAAATCAGTGTATTACTACGATTTGACCCAGTCGCTTCATTCGCACCAGGTAGTGTGGTTACTTCAAATCCTTTCTTTCCTCCTCTCGAGCAAACTCGCTTCTGCCCAAATGCGCGCTTTTCTGTCGCAGAAGAGCATCCCGCAACCTTTCAGCCTCCTCATGCTTGGTTTTCGATGCCAGACGCTCGTCCCGCTCCTCCTCCAACGCCTTAGCATCTTCCTGCATGGCTTTCAATCGAGCCAGTCGATCAGACAACTTGGCATCTGTAGCAGCCTTTCCCGTGGGAGAACTGCCAGAAGCAGCCGAGGGGGTTCTCTGACTGCCGCTAGGCGCAGAAGTGGGTGTCTGTGACGTGCCAGACACAGTCGTCGTCTTCTTGGAAGCCAACAACTTGGCTCGCATCTGTTGAAGACCCTTGGGAAGAGCATTCATCTCCTTCTCCTTGTCCTTACGCTGTGCAAACCGCTTGTCATCCTCATCCTTGTATTCTGGACGGTAAGAGTTGCGTTTGTCTCGATGAGACCGAGTTACAGGCGAACGAGAAGGAGAAAACTCATTATCGGCCCTGTAGCCATGGGAAGAATTTCCATCAGACGCATTCATGTCGGTTGAGCGTTCATCTAGCACAGATCGTCCATTGCCAACCTCATCACTAAGATCACTTCCTTGACCCCCGCCACTGTCACGCTCTCGCGATCGCGACCTGTAGTCTCTGTCACGATCAGGGTCACGTGATCTAGATCTATCCCGTAAAGATCTTTCGGAGCGAGCACTGGAACGAACACTGGACCGACCACTGGAGCGACCACTGGACTGCACATTGTCTCGGTCTCGGTCCCGGTCCCGGTCTCGGTCCCGGTCTCGATCTCGATCTCTTCTGGATCGTAATCTCTCTCTCGAACGATCTCTAGACCTTTCTTCTCGTGACCGATCCCTGTATCGCTCTCTAGATCTATTTCGGTATCTGTCTCTAGATCTAGATCTTCCTCCTTCTTCCCGAGAAGACTTTCGATCTCTCTCCTCCCTAGAAGATTGTCTATATCCTCTATCATCATCAGAAACGCTTGGAGATGGATCTCTGTTCCTCTCTCTTCTTCGTGTTCTCTCTCCATCACGTCTTCTCCTTCGTCTCTCTCCTTCCCGTTCCATATCTCGTCGGTTGCGTCTGTCACGTGAATCTTCTCGTTTCCGACGCGGTCGTCGCCGCTCTCGCTCGCGTGATCTGGATCGCTCTCGTCTGCTTCGTCGTTCACTCTCGTTGGCCTCGTCAGTGTATCCCAGCTCGCGTCCCTTTTGTCGAACTGCAACCATGGGGTCATCCTTGACCTTGTGCACAATCCCCGCGGACTCAGACTTGTCCGTCTTGGGCTGGAACCGGTCCAGGGAGTCATCGAACGCCTCCAAATCGCCCTTTTGCTTGACAATGCTGTCTATCCGTCGCTTTCCAAGCAGATAGTCGTCGGTGGAGTTGGCATCCACCTTCTTCTCATTGAACGCCTGCTGAGAACCCACCGCCGTCGGATCCTGGTACATCCACTCCACTTTTTGAACTCGCTTCTTGCCGGTAGCCATCTCCTGCAGCTTTTGAAGCTCGTCTCGTTCACGCTGCTGCTTGATCTCCTTCTGGCGCTCCTGGATTCGCCGCCGTTCCTCCAGAGCCTCCTGCTCCTTGGCGTGCACCACGGCTTGGTTTTTGTGCAGACCAGGATGCCACGATTTTTTCAGATTTAAATCGCCAGGCATTGTGCGGACGAGGGGAAAATCTGCCGTTCAGACAAGAATGTCGAAAAGTCCGTTTCTCAAAAAGAACTCTATGCCATATTGGACCATGCATATATTCCGAGGTCTGTAGATAGGGCGGTGATAAAAAGTTTTTCAACACTTGAATGCGGCTTGGGAGACGGGATATTTGGGTGCAAACTGAGCATCACAAGAGTACTGTCTTTTGTGTCTGGTTTTCTCTCGAATTTCAGCACATGTAAGGATAACTCATAACCTGTCCTGTGGAGAACAGTGACAAATAGTTGGGTCGGTCTACAAGTGCTGTATTTGAATGTATTTAAGTGATAGGGACAAGATAACCAGTTAGTTTGTAGACACTGACTAATCCCACAATCACATGATGCGGCTACTAAGTACTTGCTCTTGTCCGAGTGTACTAGTACAGTTGCTGACTAACCATTTTCACTACCTTATCATGTGTACTCGTACATACACATGATCTCTACCAATACCATGCTGCGACTCTTGAAACAGCAAGTACGACACCAGACGACTCTGGCAGATGTGCAGTGGCTCAAGAGCGTGTCGGCCTCTCAAATTCCGCGCCAGGGCTTCACGTACCGCTTCGACAAGTCGTCTGGACCGGGCGGCCAGCATGTGAACAAGACCAACACCAAGGCCACTCTCAAGATGGACGCAAAGACGCTGCGGAGCTCGACGTGGATTCCTCAGGCTGTGAAGACGCAGATCTACAAGGGGGGTTCGAATTTTCCGTTTCTCACCCTGGATCAGAGTCTACTAGTGCAGTCTGACCGGTTTCGATCCCAGACACAAAACGTGGAGGACTGCTTTGAGCGGCTGGCGGTGGCTCTGAGGCAAATCAGGCTTCCAGACCGGCCGCACTCGCAGGAGTCGATAGACAAGTGGGACAAGATTGCAAAGAAGGAGGATAAGAAGCGGTTGGCGGCCAAAAAGCGACTTAGTCAGAAGAAGGAGGGCAGGAGAGCCAAGGGGGAGTTCTGACTGAGAACACCTCTGTTGTGCGCATTTAGGAGTAGTCACGTGCGCTACCAGCGAATGTCTATTCTGTCAAGTCTGTCGATTCTATCGAGTCTGTCACCGGCCTCGATACTACCACGTTTTGCACATATTGTACCACGCAAAGGTCCGGGAAATGCCTTCTGACATAGCCGAGAGGTTGCCACCAAAGTATGAGTATCTGATTGATCCACCCGATAATACCTATCAGCGGTATTGCCTACAGGTGATCTTCGGATCCGCAGCACACTTCAATTACCGTTCGTGCCGGTGAGACGTCGTCTAGCGTCCTTTGTTCATGTTATCGCACTAAGCTGCTTGTGCTATGACTAGACTACAAGAAGCTCCCGCGCGGTGGTGCCATGCGATAATGGACTACTTTTAGCCCAGATACAGGGTGGTATTACGTCACCGTTCCTGTCACCGCGTGGGCACGAGTACAGCCCATACATATCGATACATCCAGACTTCAGGACCAAAAATGTATGGCATTGCAACCACCAAGGTGCCGTATTTCCAGGAAGAGCTGCCCTGGAATACTGCAATTGCCTGTACGAGGCGGTACGATATTGTATGGCTAGCACTCCATGTGACTGTTCAATTCTTGTGGGTTTTTCCTGCCGATACATGCTGATACATATTTTTTTATCTGACGTCATTGTTGGACGGTGCGGCTGTTGGGACAATCCGGGGACGCCCAAACAGACTAAAACTAATATATCAGAGATGGCCCAAAGCGAACCCATGACCCGGTCCCAAACCAATCACGGTCACTGTCAATTGCTATCGTGACAGCTTTCAAACGCCATTGGACACTAGTCGAGGTGCCTACCACGGGCGGTGTCTCACAGCGCCCCGCATAACTCCGGAAAATCACTTATCGTGCATCGTCTGTTCTAGGTTGGACTAGGACAGTAACTTTCCGAACTTACTCACATGAGCCGTATGCATCAACGGGCCCTCAACTCTATAATGCTACTCTGTGGGGTGGTGACAATGAGTGGAGGGGGTGTATTCTATCTGCTGGATCCGCCTGCTCGGGTCCGTGAGCTTTGAAACGACTCCAATCAGCGTGCGAAACTCGTGTCTCATGCTGTCTCTCATGGCCCAAATCAGTCATGTCCGCGATACGACTCTTGACACCATTACATCTTATGTACACCGCCTGAACTTTCGGCTACCTTATGTTGCAGGAGCATAACTTAGCCGGCCGGAGCTGGCGGAGGAAAGACCAATTGTTCACGTGAGCCTGTCGACTATCCACGTTGTTTTTCCCGACCGGCTCAGCTCTTTTTATCAGGTCCCCTGACTTAGCCGCATCAGACAAAGAAAGGCAAAACGCATCTGTCATATTATCGGGTGGTTTTATAAGTAGGGGCGATGGTCCGTTGAAAACAAGCCCTCAACACCTTGTACCGCAACTACAACCGCTACAATGAACTCCAACCAAGACTTCACCCCCACCTTTGACGAGTACGGGGCCGACAATCTCACCGACGTCCATCCCGAGGCCACCACCTCCAACGATGACAATCTCAAGAACAAGGACCCCCTGCACGCGCAGTCGCCCGTCTACGTCAAGCCGTTCGATAAGGGCGATCTGCAGCCGTCGTACGCCAACGAGATCCCCGTGCAGCACTGGGGATGGTACGAGTCTTTCATCGACACCATCGGAGGCATCATGGGTGGCCTGGGAACAATTCCCTGCTGTTTCTGTTGCCCCAACCCGTTCAAGTCCGTGCACCAGGGCCAGGTTGGTCTCGTGACCAAGTTTGGCCAGTTCTACAAGTCCGTGGACCCCGGACTCACCAAGGTCAATGTTCTTTCCGAGAAGCTGCACTTTGTGGACGTGATGGTACAGGTTCTGGACGTGCCCCACCAGCAGGCCATGACCAAGGACAACGTCAGCATCACACTTTCTTCGGTGCTTTTCTACCACGTGGTCGCTCCCCACAAGGCCAAGTTTGGCGTCAACAACGTGATTCAGGCGCTCCAGGAGCGGACCCAGACTACTCTGCGACTTGTGGTCGGATCCAGACCTCTGCAGGACATGATTGAAAAACGAGAAGAGGTGGCTGCTTCTATCCAGGCCATTATTGAAGAGCGAGTCGCCGACTGGGGAATCAAGGTCGAGTCCATTCTCATCAAGGACATTGTGCTGTCCCAGGAGCTGCAGGACTCGCTTGCGCTTGCTGCCAAGTCCCGACGAGCCGGAGAGTCCAAGATTATCAACGCCCGGGCCGAAGTCGAGTCTGCCAAGCTCATGCGAAAGGCTGCCGACATTCTTGCCTCCAAGGCCGCTATGCAGATTCGATACCTGGACGCCATGCAGAACATGTCTCGAAGCGCCAACTCCAAGGTCATTTTCATGCCCTCTGCCGGCGCCATTGAGAACATTGCTGATCAGGCGGGAGCCGGATCTTCGAAAGACGACGACCTGACTAATACCGCAGTCAACCAGACCGCCATGTTCGAGGCTCAGTTTGACCGGGTTTGATGGAGTTGAGCCTGCCACTTTCCTTTCTTGAGTATTTATAACTAATTAGTCTATTATATTTAATGTTGAACAGAGGCAGAAGAATAGAGAGATTATTGGCTAGCAATAATGCTGTTGAAAGTCAGATATACTGTCTGTAGATACTGAGCAGCTCTTGTAGGACTTGTTACGGTGATGGTGACGTCGCAGCGCGAACAAAACTGAAACCGTCGAAGCTATCTACTTGTAGTAGTCTACTAGAACACGAGGCATCTGTCTTCAATCCAACTTCGCATCTGTCTTCAATCCAACCTCACATTGTACATACTGATACAGTACCGTGGCAGCTCTACTTCCTTCAGTCTATCAACTCAAACTGAATCAATGGCGTAAGACAGGGCCTCACTGACGGTGCCCGAGAGTACAGCGCGGCTAATTGTGACATAATATTGGTCTTCTGTCTCCTAGGAACAATATTCAGCAATATATCGCCACCAACATCACTTTGCATTCCTCATTAGGACATGCAACCAGCCTTTTAACCCGCATCTTCAAGTACGGTAAGGAGTAGATGAGAGACCTACCAAGAAAAAACGCCCTGGTACTTGATATTGGGTAAAAGGGTAACAGGGCCGGCGTCTGTCTCTTTCGCCGTCATTCTACTTGCCACTGATCTACAAGCATCTGTAACTCCCCCTCCTCTCAGGAGCGCTACTTGTAGAATGTCCGACTAATATATCTCGATGAATAACATTTGAGCTTGAAATTTTTAACATTTTGGAGACTGTCAATGCGAATGTTGATGTGACATATACAGCACTATTTGCGTGTTTCGGATGGGGAGAAGTTTGTGGAATCAATTTACATTGTCATTATGAGTTCATGTGCATTTTTTCCCGCCAAGTTTCTCACAAAATTCCACGTTCCGGGTGTGTCCCTTTTTTTTTCTCTTTTTTTTCTTTTTTTTGCTTTTTTTTGCTTTTTTTTGTCTCGACATTAGTGCGTCTATCATGCACTGTATTTTTTAGTCGTCTGCGCTCCAAACTCTTTTTTTCACTTCGACAATACATGAACCCAGGAGCCAGCTGAGTAACACGAGACTCCCAAGGGAACGTGTCCCTACTTGTGAACCACATGTTCAAGAGCCAACTTCTGTTGAGCAATGACGCGTTGAAATACGCAAGAGCCTTCAAGTAAGCCGCCTGGCCAAGTGTTGTAAGACCCGCACAGCTATTGTTGAGACTAACTGCCATGAGCTGAAACGCCATGCGCCAAGAGCGAGTGTTTTGAGCCGGACGAAATGCCCAGGCTCCTCCTCCGTGCCTTGTGTAGCCCACATGAGCAAGTCGCCAGAGCCATCCGACCGTGGGAAACTCGTGGGTGAAACCCCTTTCTGAGACACTCCCACGCCGCCTACTTGTAGTAGAACTGAAGCTGAGATGCCAGAGCTACCAGTGCGAATGCCGACAAGCCGCTGAGAAGCCAGCCGAGACGCACTAGAGCAAAGATCGTAAGACACCTCCACGGTCAAGAGCAATGCAACAGTCTGAGTGAGCCAATGAGTCCTACACGGCAATAATGCCAAACGCCCGTCCCTCCAGCCAGAGCAGAGCCAGAGCCAGTACCACAGAACAGAGCTAGTAAGTCCAAAGAGCAGTGAAAGCCAGATCCAAGCCTGAGTCAATCAACTCGGACGGACAGCCATCCAGAGTGCTGTACACATGTTGCATGTCGGAAAATGTGAATAGGACGTAGGCAGTTGAACCTCCTCAGGAGGATGTAGGCTGACCGAACCTATGCTGTTAATTAATCAAGGGGAGTAGGTGAAAGAACCGCACCTCTTGGGATAATACATTAGGCCGTTGAGCACCTCCCCGTATTGTGAGTTGTAGTAGGTAGAAGTCGTATACAGTCGTAAATACAGTACATATAAACATGTCTGAAAACAGTCTGTTTTCTCAAGTGAAATTTTGGGGTTACCCGGCCTGGCAGAATAAGGGAAGTGATCACAACTCCAGTTGTAGTCCCTAAGGGAGCATTTATAACCACACCAGCGTGTTATTTGGACCATTGCGATCATTCTGGTATCCAAATAACGCACTTTGGCGGCTTCTGACCCAGTATATGTCTGGGATATGTTGCACTCGTGGAATTAACTAGACTTTAGTTAAGGCCGTAAGTGGTCTGGAGTCTCAAATTTGGGATCATTGGACTATTTCTGAAGTGTGAAGACCCTCAAATCATCAATTAAGCCATTATTACTCGAATAATGTAACATCATTTCCACATTCCCTTACATACTGTCAAGTAGTCGCAGTCAACGCCATATTCCAGTGTTTGTATATACTTAGGTTTTAGTTGGAGTGAAATCGCAGACTACAGGCAAGCAGTAGAGCAGGAATCAACAATGTAGTCAGTAACATCTGATTACCACGGGATTGACACTCAATCAGCCGTTTTCATAAACCAGATGAATATACAAGCATTTCCTATCTAATTGAACAACAGTATCTGTCGAAACCCATCCAGATACGAGTTTTCTCTCATCCATTGGTATTGAGATCGGCAAGAGGGTCACTACCACGGTGGTCTCCACGAGAATCACCAAAAGAACGAGATCAGTAGTTACAATACCCATGAAACAACACTTGATTAACGTCTTTTCCCTTCTTCTCCAAGGTCTCATCAGTATTGAGATCACTCTCTTCCTCATTCCTCACTTGGTCACTTCCTCACTTACATAATCAGCATTCTGCAGATACAGAATCTCTCAATAGTCCTGATATCAACACAACACAGTCCAACTTGAATCAAAAAAAACCAAAAAAAAAAAAAAAAAAAAAAACCAAGTGGTCACCTCCATCGTCTATCACGTGACCGGTTCGTTCCATTTCCTTCAAAAGCCCCGTTATCTTTCCCTCAATATCGCACTCAACACACCCCACATCCAAGAGTCCTCTGTCGCTGATTCACCTCCCAATGTTACCCTACCTTTGTGCAAGGTGAAATTTCCAATTTTCCAGCACCAGCACAAACAACAGGGTACCACCGAACATGCTGAGATCTATCCGACGGTACTCAACCAAGTCGCCGTTCGCCAAGGTCGGCTCCAAGACCCAGTCCTACGACTACCTGCGAGCGTTGCGGGTCACCCCCGCCGAGACTTTTGCCGATGTCCCTCTGTCTCCCGAGCTGGAGCAGGAGCTGTCCACCAAGTTCCAGGAGTTCCAGAAGGCTCTCAAGGCCGGTGAGAAGCTGGAGCAGGTCAAGGAGATTGCACGACAGGCAAGAGGCACCAAAAACGCCGCTGCCGGCGGGGACCCCCAGGCCGATCTGTCTTCCCTGATGGGCCGAATCGACAGTAAGAACATCCGAGTGGGTAATGACCAGAGTAAGATTGCTGCCATTTTCCCGTTGCTCAAGCGAACCGCCCGAGATGAGGAGTACACCAAGCAGGAGCTGTTTCTGCGACGACAGCACCGACACGATATGCTCAGCAAGTTGGGAGCCGAGGTCAAGGGCGTCTACGATCCTCTCCATATCATCAAGCATCCCAAGAGTGGCACCGAGGCCACCGTGACCAGTCTTCTGGCTGCCGGCGCTCATCTGGGCCATGCCGTCGAGCTCGGTCACGTCAACAACCAGCCTTTCATCTACGGCGTTCGAGACGGCATTTCCATCATTGATCTTGAGCAGACCGTCACCCAGCTGCGACGAGCTGCTCGAATCACCGAGGCTGTTGCCAAGCAGAACGGTCTGATTCTGTTTGTCGGCACCCGTGACGGCCAGAAGCTGGCGCTCGAGGCCATGTCGCGACGATGCGGCGCTTCCTACGTGCACTCCAAGTGGATTCCTGGAGCCATCACCAACTTTTCCAACATTGCCGCCAACTGGAAACGATACGAGGTGGTGGACGGCGAGTCTGGAACCAGCTTTGCCGACATCAACCAGCACACTGGCCGAGAGTTTGACGCAGAGATCTCGGGCCCTAACATGCGACCTGATCTGGTTATCATCCTCAACCCCGACGAGAACCCCGCTCTGATCCGAGAGTGTCTCAAGTCCTGCATCCCCACTGTCGGAGTGGCCGACACCAACTTTAACCCTTCCAAGCTGTCGTACCCCATTGCCGCCAACGATGACTCTCTCCGAACCACGGATCTGATCACTGGAGTGCTGGCTCGAGCAGCCGAGAAGGGACACAAGCTGCGACGGTTCGAGGAGCAGCAGCGACGAAACGCCGAGCTTCTGCACATGAAGAAGAATCTTGTGCAGGCTGCCGATGAAAATGACGTGACCGAGGACCCTTTCTCCTCCGGAGAGGCCCACAAGGAGTAATGTACATATAGGAGACCATGAATGAGAGGTATTCGCGAGAATGCCAGTGTATTGAATAACAGAATGACACTGTGACCCTCGAGCAGATCGAGATATATGACTAGTAGTGAGAACAAAATTGAGACTGTGCATGTACTGAGCTCTTCTATAGAGAATCGCAATATGAAGACTTTGGAACTGTTCTACGATAGAATACATACTTGTAATGTCTGAGTATGGTGCGAGTAGGCAGTACGATAATGTGGTGGGGTGGAATGAAAACAACGCTGTTGACTGCACTGAAGTAGATGTTCAATCATATCATACATGTTAATCTATATATCGTGGTCTTGTTCAGTAGTACATAAGCTGTCATCTTGCTATGCTCAAGGCTCATGTGCACCAGACGCATTCCTGTACATTCGCATAAACCGCGAAGTTGGCTTCTGCTGTGTACCGCCTCCAATCTGGGGGCTCTGGGGTTGCTTCATGGTCTGCGACATATCCATGAGCTGCTGCGCGACCTCAGGCTTGATTCGGTCGTACCGTCGCATTCGGATCTGCGGGTTATTGTACTCCTTGGACAGCTCGTTGGTCATGAGCAGATCCAGACATTGTCGGATCTCGATGAAGGTGGTCGACAGCGACGCGTTGCCTCCGTCCAAATGCAGCGTCGTCACAAACTGCTCCATGTATTGAATGTCCACGTTGTAGTTGTGCACGGCCTCGGTGGTGATGAGGCCCCGGGGCGCATTCAACAGAATCTGCAACAACGAAGAAGCCAAATGGTCAAACGCGCCAAAGTAGACGTAGTTCTTGATGGCAAAGGGTAGGTCGGCGAGCGTGGAGTTGAAAAAGATCGTAAGGAAGTTGACCATTTCGTCCAGATATGAGGAAGGTTCATCGGACGAAACTGTGGTCGACCAATCGTAGTCCTCGAGCTCCATGAAGTTGTCCACCGTCTGGGTCACGTGCTCGAATATTCGTGACTCGGCCTTGGCGGACGCCTGCTGGAACTTCTTCTGGGCCTTGAGTGTAATCTTCGACTTTCGTTGCGACGGACGACCGTCCACAATGCTCTGGGCAATGAACGGAATAACCCGCTCAAACTGCTGCAGGTCGATCAGAATCTGCACAATCTGCTCTCGGGTCGTGGTCATAAGCCGATGCAGCAGCGTGTCGCAGATAATGTCATTCAGCAGACTATCCATGGCCTGCTGCACGTAGTCCTCCGTCTGGGTAACTTCAGACACATTGAACTCGTCCAGAAATGCATAGTGCTGGTGAATCAGATGCGTAATCTTGGCACAACAAAGGGGCAAGATGGGCGAGAAGGGAAGGGTCTTGGGGAACACGCCGTCTGTAGCAGCTCCGGGTTTGCCTCCAGCTGCCTCGTCATCCGCTGGAGTCCACCAGCACGCTCGAGTGATCTTCTCATACCGATCAGCGTCGTGAATGGTGATCTTGTTGGTGTCGTCCTCCATGATTCCGGTGTTGAAGTCCTTGTCAAAGCCAGAAATGAGAAACTGGGAGAACTTTCGGAACGACAGAAGCAGAAAGTCGCCCACGTTGACCGTGTCGAATCGGTATTGTTCCATGGTCTGCACAAACAAACCCAGCTGGGCCTTGAGATTGACGAGCACTGCTTGGTCCTGGACAGAAGCTAGTTCGTGGCCAAGAGTGCCCATAAGCTTTTGCGACAGAGAAATCCACAGGTCGTCGACATCGGATTGAGGACGGAAACCCTTGGTGGTTCGCGACGAAATCGTTCTGTCGAGGATACAAAAACCTGCCAGATTCTGCAAAATCTCGGCAACTCCGTCTTCCGACGCAGAGGACATGCTGGCGACCGTAGGCACAATGTTTTGCACGTGGGAGCGTCGGAACTCATCAAATTTTTTGATAAACACGTCCGTCTTCCGCAGAGTGTGGTGGATATGCAGACACTCGTATAGAGGGTCCAGCTCGACAAGAACAGAATGGTTGTCGATGGGATCGAAAGAGGATGATCGGTAGGAGAGCTCGATCGGGCTGTTAAACTTGTAGCGAGCCAGCTCAGGGTTCCTGTGTACCTCGTCCCGCCACTCCTGGCGTAGACGCTCCGTCTCCTGGAAGGCTGCCTGACCAATGGCAGGGTAAACGGATCGCAAAGACGAAAGCCACTTGAAGGTGTCGTTGACAACATCCTCCTGCACCAGGCTCGTCAGCTGCGGCACCGAGTCGTTGATCATTCGTGCAAATCCGTAATCAGAAACTTCCTTGAGATGCACGTTTTGCAAGTCGTCCAAAGATTTGAGGGCTGCAAAGTGCTTCTTGGCCTTGATCAGATCGTGAGTCTTGTTGGTGAGCTCCAGAACCTGTAGACACGACTCGACGGTCTCGATGGCAGTGTCGAGGTTTTCACGCACTGTTCGAGCCTCCAGAAGCCGCTTCTTTCGTGTCACCAGTTGTCCTCCTGATTGCTGCAAACGGAAATTGAGGTCCTGCAGAGCTCCCCGCTGCCGATCGGCTCCGGATCGGATCTGCGACAGTTTGGGCATGCTCACCAAGTAGTCTCCCTGTCCTCCCTCACACAGCTGCTCCAGCTTGCGGTCCTGCAGACGTGTGATGCCGTCTAGACGGTCCAACAGCTCTCCAGTCCGTTTGGTCTTGATGGCATCCTTGACAATCGGCACTAGCTGCTCCAGAAAGTCCTCGGAGAAGGAATTGTTCTGCACATTGTCTGTGGATAGCATGAGCTGCTGCAAGTGCAGGGACATGTCCTGGGGCGGTTCCTGGGGCTCCTCCTTGGCTTTGGGTTTTGTCTTAGTGACCGTCAGTGGCTTTGTGGTGAGCGAAGGCACAGCTGGGGGTGTGGAGACATTGGGGATCTTCATGGTGGCACTTCTACCCGGAGTGGTGGCAGCAGACCGGGTGCCCGAAGTAATGGTAGACGATCTGCTGGGCGTGGTGGCCGGGGGGGGACGCGAGGCCTTTGGCGACGGAATAGCCGGTGCCTTGTTGACGTTGAGAGGTGCAGTGCTGGCTCCCATAATGTCTCCTGACAGCGATCGGCCGTGAGAGGGGGTGGTGGCACTCTGCGGGGACCCTCGGGGCCGGAAGTCAGCTGCGGTGACGTTGGGTGATCGCGGCACAGTTGTGTTTGAGCGCATCATGGGCGGTTTTTGTGCTTGTGGTGGTGGTTTGGACGTGATTGTGGGGGCTTGTTGGAGTGTTCGAGGACCGCCTCCGGCAGAGGCGTAAGGGTCACTGTGGGACGATTTGGCCTGGTTAGCGGCTGCCTGAGCGTAAGGGTCCGATACGGGTGCAGAGTTGCCGTAAGGATCTGCCGGAGCGGAGTATGGATCAGCTACCGCGGCGTTGTTGTTGGCATAAGGGTCCGGCGCTGACTTGTTTGCGTAGGGGTCTGTAGCAGGCTCCGAAGCGTACGGATCTTGGGCATAGGGGTCGGAGGCGTAGGGGTCGGAGGCGTAGGGATCGGCCGAGGCCGCCTTGGCCCCGTAGGCGTCGTTTTGAGCCGCGGCCGCAGCCTTGTAGGGGTTGGACATTGTGAGGTGTTTTAACGGGGCTCAATTTCGGAGATAAGGCGTTTGAGTCAATTCCTCTGTGAGTGGCGGAGGGTCACGTGATGTCGGGGTAGACGTCGACGGCGCAGGATTCTCGTTTTGCGGCCTAATTGTGCGGGTTTAGCGACCGTCCAGGTGTGTTGTGGAGATGCAATGTCGGTGAACTTGTCTGCCAGGTTACGTCTTGTGTGCATGTGTGTCGTGAGTTTTAAGTTGTGAGGGAAGTGTCCGGGAGGAAGAGGGTGGTATTTTTCAGGATGTTTTGGGTAGAAATACGGAGCAGAGAGTGCACGAATCGGATTGAGGTGGTCACGTGACATGATTCCCGTTTTTTCTGCGTCATTATCTCCTTTGGTGGTAGTTTTGGATGGTATCATTAAGGGAAGGGGGGGTGGGTTGAGAAGTTTCAGATGTGCAATATTCGGCCATGTCAAGTGTGGAGAAGCAGTTTGGAGAGTGTATTTGTTAGAGGTATATATTTTCCAAGTAGTGAGGCTAAGTAATGTTGATTATTGTCAATAAGTTCAAGTACAACAGAACGAGCCGGGTTTAACTTGTACAGGTTATGAGTCCAGCAATAGTACTTGTAGTAGGCGGTGTAGACAGTAGACGGTGTCTTTAACTCATTTATAATGATCTTTCCTTCGTTTCTGGGTCATTTTATCCCATTCTTGTCACTTTGCTTCATGTTCACTGCCATGTTTTTGCCATAAAAATAAAATAGAGCAGTTACTGTATATACTGTAGCAAGACTAAAATGTCCGCCTAACCAAGACACGGTTGATGAGTGTTGGTTTGGAATATCGAATGCTTAATATACCTAATCAAAGCGATAAGGGAGATTCAGGGTGGGGTTCGTTCTTCGTTGCTCTACTCACGTGACTCAGTACGGCATCAGTAGTGCCAGTTGTGATCACATGACGTACCCCACCCACCTTGAGACGTCCTATCGCTGGCTCTTATCAAACACGCCTTGTGTAGACAGTGCGATATTGCGTCTCGTTTGACTCACACACTCTAATTAATGCTCCAAACAAGGCGTCCCAACTTGACTTCTTGCACACCACATTATACACCAACTCCAGTGACAGCAGCGACTGGTTCAGCATAGACAGACGGGAATAATTATTACCACAGACGAGTCATCGACACAAACAAGCTATCGACACAAGTTATCGACACAAGTTATCGACACGAGTTACCGACACGAGTTACCGACAATACGCAGTTACTGATCCACAGATCATCTCACCTCACCGACACTTAGTATACAGTAGTCTATACCGCTCGCCACACACACACACACACACACACACACAATGCGAAACAAGATCCTCGTTGTCGGCCCTCCTGGAAGTGGCAAGCTGACCATGCTCAAGGAACTCATGGGCACCGTGTCGCCTGTGACAGGATCCCACGCCGGCATTATCGAAGAGTACCACATCAAAAACAAGTACTACGAGGCCCGCGTCGGGGTCTGGGTGGACGAGTTTTTGTTGGAAGGTGACTCGACCCAGCTCTCCGCAGACCGAATCGAAGGACTAGTGTCGCTGCCGGAATGGACGGAGTCCTTCTGCAGCAACGAGGCCAAGGAGGTCCGAGACTCCATCAAGGCCGTCGTCTTCACGCTGCGCCACGGCTCCGACGCGGCCCATCTTGAACCCCAGCTCAAGGTCCTCGAGCAGCTCGTGGGCATGCTGGACAACGACAACTGGGACGGGTCGTTGATCTGCCTGCAAAAGGGACATGTCAGCCCCGAGCTCGCCGCCCAGCTCGACGCCGTCTGCTTCGACTATGGCTTTGAATACATCAGCCACTTGGTGTCGGAGCAGGGCGAGACTACAGGTTATGACCGTCTACAGGAAGCCATCGAGGTGCTCGGATGGGAGACCCAGGATGAGGCCAAGGAGACGCCTGTGCCTGATCCTATTCTCACGTCGCCTACACTAATGGCCCGGTCATCGCCGTCGTTACACGCGTCGTCCTTTGACGCCCGGTCGTTGTCGCTGTCACCAGCCGACTCAGACATGCTCAAGGGCTTGCTCAACGACGACCTAGACAACTTTCAGAACATCTTTGATAAGCTGAAAATTGCCCGAAATTCCAATCTCAGCGACGAGCAGCGAACTCGGCTGGCCAACGACCTGGCAGAGCAGCTGATTGGAGGAGAAGTTCCCGGACACTAAGGTGCCGGAACACAGCATGGGAACCGGGGGAGAATAAATTGTTGGCCGAAACGCCAGCCAAGAGTTCTTGTCGAGAGGCAAGACTCGAAAGCAAAACGAAAGGTCGATCTCTGGCGGATGGCTTTATGCAACCAGCCGCATCTACATATGTACACTATTGACATCTTTTCTGATGAGAATGTTACCGCGAAAGAGTACCGCGCGTATTTACCGGGTGTTGGCCTATCCCTATCTTGATTACTGCTTTCCGCAAGCAGAAGTCTAGCTGTGACGGTGGAAACACTAGCTAGCATAGGAGTTGCGTGACTGCGACTTGCTGTAGTGGAGGAGTGAGGGATGCGTGCGGGTTTGAGCGCTCGTGCGCAGTAGCGGAGGAAGAATGCACAAGCACAGTAGCGACAAGGAGTTTCCACGACAGTTGCACTCGCTGCGTCGGTGGAGCTCACACAACAACAGTAGTGATGCGTAACCGTTGGTTGATGAGCACCTCAAGTATTGAGGTGTCTATTTACATGCGGTTGGGTATTGCGAGGGATGGATGGAAGGACAGGTTAGTTGGCGGTTCTGTTATTCTGAGTGTTGACTGTGCGACGCAGGCAGAGTGTTTACAAGTACATGATGCACCACATAACTTCATGGTACTAGTCCGAGTGAGATGATTTGTGGAAGTTATTGCAAGGACAAGGCCAAGTGCTTGTATTGTACATTACTTGCTGTGCTTTTATTTCGCGGTTTGTTGTTTCTGGGAAGTGTTGGGTTATGTCATCTGAATGGGTTTTGTATGCTGTGGCTTGATGATGGATTGAGAGATAAACGTCAATCATAAGAAGGAGACTGCGGAACGAGAGGTGCACATTGAATCTTTGATTCTATTGCATCTGCTATTTGTTTTGTACAATTTTTCAAGGATGTAGGTCCTTGTGATTGTACAACTACTTGCACTTTACAACACCACTCTCGTATCTCTACTTGTACTGGTACTTGACGTTAGATTCACGTCTCTTGGTCATAAATAAATACTCTCCTGATCATACCACCTGGTGCATGGCCTCCTGGGCCATTCTTTCCTGTTTCTCCTTCTCCACATTCTCCAGCCACGGTCTGAGATAGAGGGTCAACTCCTCCCACTGCTCAGGACACTCGTTGCTCAGTTGGGTCACGTCGGTGCCTAGTTGTTCATCCACTGCGTCCATTCTCAGGGTCAGAAACGGGATCAAGTCCATGGTGATGAGAATGAGGTAGGTGATGGCAAAGGACCAGCCAATGGTAGCACATGCCGAGGCCAATTGGTAGCCCAGCTGGACGTAATGTCCGTTGACCCATCCGCCCTGGATTACGGTGACTCCGTCTGTTTTTGTGACCCAGTCGGACGCAAAAAAGGCGGTCATGACTGAGCCTGTAAAGCCTCCAATTCCATGGAGCGCAAACACGTCTAGACCGTCGTCGATGTATACAACACCCTTGATTCCGATTCCGAGATTGGCTGCGACTCCAGAAACAATTCCAATAACTACCGCCGACCACGCGGGCACAAATCCGGCAGCTGGAGTGACCCCCACAAGCCCCACAATGGCTCCCGAACAGATACCGATGGCAGTCCACTTTCCATTGTGTCGGAAGTAGTCCACCATCATCCACGTGAGTCCACCACAGGAAGCCGCCAGATTGGTGTTCACCATGGCCACAATTCCTCGCACACTGGCTCCCCCAGCAGAGCCTCCGTTGAACCCCAGCCACCCAAACCACAGCATGATGGTGCCCATGATGATGTAGGCTACCGACGAGGGCCTGAAGGCAGGCACAAAGTCACAAGCTGGACTTTTTCGACGTCCAACCACCAAGGCAAACGCCATGGCTGCACTTCCAGAGCACATGTGAACCGGTCCTCCCCCTGCAAAGTCCAGACTGCCCAAACGAGCAGCCCAACCATTGGGGTTCCACGTCCAGTAGGCAATTGGACAATACACAATTGTCTGCCATATGAAAAGAAACACAGCCAAAGGCCCCAGTCTTACTCGCTCGTTTCCTCCGCCAATCATGAGAGCTGCAGTGACACACGCAAACATGCCCTGGTAGAAGTAACACACTACATCGGGAACTGTGGGCGTCGAAGCCGACCGAGAAGTCCATACATGTTGAGCAACAACGTGTTCCATTCCTCCAATGAAGTGTTGACCGTTATCCTTGGCCGAAAAGCTCAACGAGTAGCCCCACAACCACCACTGGAAGAAGGAGACGCCGAGAGTCATCATTCCAGTCCAAAGAGCACCCAGGGCATGGTTTTTGCGCGACAATCCCGAGTATAGAAACGCGATTCCAGGCACCATGAGCCACACTAACGCTCCGCTTGTCGTCACCCATACTAGGTCGGGTAGTTCATATTCTGACATAGTTCCCCGAGCTTTTAAGAGATGTGTCGAAGAGGGAAGTTTCAGTAGATCTGGCTTGATGGGAACTTCACAAGTTGATAAATCTCGATCTCGGTGTTGTATAGTTCCTGTTACCTATCTGGGAGTCTGTAGATATGTCTGAATGTCGTCGTCGGTATAGATATGTCGTAGAGATACGAGGGTTACGATAAAATCTCCCCGCCCAGTGTGTTTGTTGGAATGTTTCCCATAATACCTCCTACTTCCAATTACTATATATACTTACAAAGCCGTTATCTATGCACAGGCCTCACAGCACATGTTATCTGACAGCTGCTCGGAGCAATCAGTTGAAACAGGATGTCTAAAGAAAAAACCATGAAAAAAAGCAAATGGAAACGCGCAAAGCGGCACAGCCAAAGATGTAATATTCTGCAACAAAAATTGAAAAAATGGGGTGATTTCCCCTCCGTATTCGAGGGGTGGGCCGTAAGGCGGACTTCTTGATCTCGAGAAATCTTTCTATCGCCCCTATCGGTCTTGTTTGAAGAAGAAAAACAAAAAAAAAGAAAAAAAAAAAAGGGGAAACGGGAACTAAGTCTGAAGTAACCGCCGCACTACTGTCTCTCGTAGTATCCTTCTTGACACTACCGACGCATCCAGCCAAACTCGCATGGAATTGCTATTTCCGTCTCTCAACCAAGGGAAATTGGCACACATGGAGATACGAACGGCAAGGTGTCAAAGGACATATCCGTGCCCGATGTGCAATGTTAACTTTCAGTCGAGAGGCTCGAGAATGCCCCGAAAACGGATGTTAAAGATGTCATTGCGATGCGAATGACGGAAAGATTCGAATGAAATACTCACCTATTGATCCTGGTTACACCACGAGCCGCAATTGCCATCTCGCAATCCCAGAAAAGACCTTCCATCAAGTCAAACCTCAGCCATATCCCCAAACCAAACGCGGAACTAGCTGACGTGACTGAAACACTTGTCTGAACCTACTGCTACCAGCTAACCTCCCTTGCCTCTTATCAGCTAAACAGGTAGATATTTCATATGCACCCCCACCCTTCCCCCACTACAAGTAGCTCTAGGTGCATCTCTTGGATCGGGATGTGGTTAGAAGAAGCGGCTATAGCCGTTCAAAAACAGAGAGTATGACGAACCCCGACCCCTACCAACATAATAGACAGCCATTTGTCACTCTGATGTAATGCACCATGTGATAATATCGTAGAATAGGTGTTTTTTCCAAGACCTATAACGCGGTGTACTTGATATATGTGTGGAAGTGTCATTGGAGTGAGATAACGGGCTGAAAGATCAATGGCTGTAAAATCTCGGATTACAAGATATTATTCCACCAGTATTTAGTCCGTCTTTTCACCTAAAAGTTCAATTGCATCATGAAGGAAAAAAATTAAACAAAACATAAAACAACCGCCCCCTTCCAGAAAAGAACTAAAAAAAAAATAACCTCGACTTTTCATCTCGCTTAATTTTAACTCTGCGTATATATCGACTCTATGAACCCCCTAACAGACGAAGATGTAATACGCAGAAGGGGACAATTATTGGACCGAAGATAGCGGTAACATCAGTCATTCCAATCGAGTTTCAGAACTCCAACTCAAGTAGCTACTCACTCCATACGACAGGACAAAATCACGTTTCAAAAACTTGACCTCGACAACGTTCAATATCCGAGCAGTGATGCAGAAACCCGATAAAATATATAGAAAAGAGCCGGGATCGGAAAAACAAAACAAGTCACGGACCGTCTTGATCGGGAAGACTGTTATTTTTCCACCTTCTCTGACCGTCTCAAGAGGTGGAGAGCCCCCTTTGGAATCTTATCGAAACCCTATCCACCTTAATGCATCATCGTATGTATCTCGTATACAACGAAGAAGCTTGGTATTGGGGAATATCAAGGACAAACCCAGGGTTTAAAGCAAG